TCTCAGTTCGCGATTCTAAAAAATGTCTTGGCAGTCAATCAGGTCAGTTCACTACCTCCAGACTGACAGTTTGAACCGCAAAGATGAACTGACAACTGACTGATTGACTGATAGCAACTCTGATCTCAACAGTATCATGATCCGCGATACTTCCGAATATAACCACACCCAGTATGTGGCGAACCGATCAATGATTGTGCGGGACAATACGTTCAATGCAGACAGTACGCAACTCATTCGTTGCTCTGACGCCATGCTACGTGCTGAAGAGCTCGCCGATATCGAGCACCACGTCCAAAATCTAACGGACTTGGGTGATTGGAACAGTGATTACATCATAAGCTCGTACATGCTATGTTCACAGTGGAAGATCCAGGCAAAAGAACGCTACGAGGGTGATTTTAGAGCGAAAACGAGAAATCCCGTACTACTCATCGGTTCGCCATATGACGGTCGCACTCCAATCTCTGGGGCGTTTGCAGCGAACAAGAATCTTGAGGGAAGTGTGGTACTACAACACAACGGTCTGGGGGTAAGTCGGTCCACTTTTCTCACTCCGTTGCATGAGTGAAGAATCCCCAAGTGAGACGTTCGCTAACGAGAGTGATAGCATACTGTCATGTATAGCCCGGGGATCTGCGCGATCGCTGCTAGCGCTGTTTATTTCGTAAATGGAACTATGCCCAAAGAAGGTACTGTCTGTGAGCAAGACTTCACATCCTTCTCTGGAAAAGGCATGTCTGATACTCTCGACTTACTCGGAGAGTTTTGATTCATGCATGCGTGGAGGCTGGAGCTGTGTAGATGCAACTTTGGAAGGATAAGTACTGGGAAAACTGCAAATAGTGATAACACTTAGTTGGGTTCATCCGAAGCCTGATTACCTGTTGTAATGCTGAATCTCATCAACGTGGATACTGTGTCGACGTCTACTGCGGCCAAGAAAACAATTACTCGAAGCATCAACGATACATCAGAGTAGAGGTGAGAGGCCAAAGGATACGGAGCATACCGAAAGACTGTCATGTCTGGAGATAGCGTGGGGAGAAAAACAAAAGCGCAAAGCGCAATCCAAAAAGCGTTTGTAATCTACCCCGCACCACGCCTCATGTGCTTATCATGGGCCTGCCTTACTTGAACCTAAGCAAAAGCATGACAATTGTAAACCAAGTCTTCCCTCCCTCTTCAAGTCTATACTAGTTTGTAGCGAAACAACCTGTATACCTAGTATGGAGAACATCGAAACAGAGATCATAAACACGACAGAGCGAATCGGTGATATAGTCGATTGGCTCGTCTTCCGCCATGATAGGCTTCAATACTCGCCAACCATGTACATAGATCTCGAAGGCGTTAACCTCTGCCGTGAGGGCTCCATTTCCATCCTCACCCTTCTAATCGATACCGGCATTTCAACCGGGCGCGTCTACCTGATTGATGTGCATACACTAGGCGCACAAGCGTTCAACACTGCTGGTGCCAAACGAACGCTAAAGGGGACGACGATAAGGGGGACGACGCTAAAGGATATCCTTCAAGATGAAAGGATTCCAAAGGTCTTCTTTGACGTTCGCAACGATTCAGATGCGTTGTTTGCGCATTTCGGCGTGGCCTTGCAGGGGGTCGAAGACGTCCAGCTTATGGAGAGTGCGACAAGGAAGACCACGGCATCTCGGAAGTTCTTAAACGGCCTGACCAAATGTGTTGAGAACAACTTGCCCATGCACATGTGTGGCAGCGGACTAGTCAGCTGGAAGCTGGCTAAGGAGAAAGGCGAGCGATTGTTCAAGGCCGAATATGGCGGCTCGTATGACGTGTTCAACCAGCGACCGATTCCAGAGGACATATCATCCTACTGTGTCGGCGATGTCCAGTACATCCCTGAGTTACGGAATAGGCTTTACAAGAGCGCCTATCAGTGGCGAGACCTAGTCGGTGAAGAAACCAAAAAGCGCGTTGCGACGTCCCAGAGATCGGACTACCAGCCTCACGCTCCAGATAAGGTGATGGCTCCATGGAGCAAAGAACAGAACATGGTTTTGGATCAGTGGAATTATGTGCCTCCTTTCAATTACTTCGCCGAGCCCTCCGACTCAGATGATGGGTACGATGGCGGTCCGACCAACTGTAGGGACATCATCGACGATTACGACCTTTACTATTCAGACTAAGCCTCGTAAGATAGTATATCTGCATTAGATTCGTTACATGAATACTCTTCAATGGTACGTTAGCCTGTGTGTTCATGCTCGATTTACGAAGAAGCTTGATCCAATCAGTTGTGCTCGCTAGGTACTGCCTACGTAGAACCGACCCTAAAGATATGTGTGGTAGTGTATGCTACAATCATAAACGAAAAATCACAATGTATACTTTTACAGTACATCATGGTGGTGGGTATAACCCATGAACAGCTTTTCATAATGCGATAATTCTTCCAGGTTTCTACTAGAGGTTTTCGCGGTCGAGGAACCTATATCATCAGCCGGGTACTCCACCTCGAATTTGTCTCGAAGTCATTGCGCTTGGATCAGTACGCTGAGAGCGCAAGGATTCAAAGAAGCAGTTAAATGGTTGTGGTTTGATCCCCTCATCCACCCCACTCTCCTCCTCGACCAGTATCAACACTGACAAGGGTATCGGTGCTTCCGTTCCAACTCTGCCCAATAAAAGTCGACGTTACCCACGAATCTCAAGCATGAACGTGGCCCATCTCATATGCGCCGAAACATGCATATTTGAAACGAGCAAGTGGGCAGCCTCATCCGAAGAGGCGCCTGCGCACCGCCACATCATTCATCGATTTATGCATGCTCGATAATGCTGAACAAAGCTGATGGATGCCGGCAGAGCGGAGTGGTAGTGCGAAAGGTTAGCGCACAATCTCGCAAGTTGAAGCTCCTCCACAAACTACTCCGAGTGCTAAGGGGCGATCATGTCCTCTTTACCCTGCCCAACAGCTCGCATATCCATGGCCAGGCCTAGAAGCCAAAAATAAAATCAAGCCGCCAGAGCTGCCCAGCGCCAGCGCGCGAGAGAGCCGCGTACCCGGCGTTAAAACGGCGCGTCGAGGCAGCCAATCAGACCTCGTACCTGAGACGCCATGACGACTCGCCAGCCGAGACCCTTGCCGATTTCCCTTGCGGTCCAGTCGACCTGACAGGGATCAGCGGCCCTTTTTCCTTTGCACTGCGCTATCCTCTTCCACGTCGAGGGACGCGACGACAGCTCGTATCACTCACTACTGTTGCTGTTACTTGTCTGCTTTGTACACTCGTTCTCTTTAGCGCATATACCCACCCACGTTTTCTTTGTTTGCTGAGACCGCAAGAGGGGAATTGAATACGACCAACAGCCAACTTTCCGATAGAGAGATACTGTGAGAGCAGCATCGCCGCAGGAAGACATGCGCTGAGCTGTCTGACCCAAGATCGACCCTCGATACGAACGGCCGTTAACCTGCACACATAACACGTGCTACACCCACGGCATTCACAACGCTCATTACACACTACAACCACATTCGCTGCACACGTTACACGACCTCCACTGTGCCCGCCACACTCACCATGGCATCCCCACTACCGAACACGCTGCTCCGGCGGGACCTGAGCATAGAGCAAAAGTTTGAGCAATTAATGTCGGATAATCCATTGGGCGCCTCGGTACGTCCAAACCCCAATCAATTGCATACACCTCTGACAAGGCCAGGTATCCCAAGATTCAGTCCTTATCGCTATCGGCACATCCTTTGGCATCACCGCCGCCATCTTCGTACTTTTCCTCCTACTACGCCCTTTTAATACCATTGTTTACGCGCCCCGTCTCCGACATACCGACGAGAAACACCGACCGCCGCCTCTGGACAAGTCACTGTTTGCGTGGTATCACCCCGTGTTCAAGACAAACGAACCCGAGTATGTCGAGAAGATTGGGCTCGATGCGACCATCTTCCTACGCTTTGCGCGCATGTGCAGGAACATGTTCGTTGTGCTTGCCATTGTCGCCTGTGCCATCATAGTCCCTGTCAACGTAATAAAGTCGGTCGAGTTCCAGAAGAACTTTGACGGAGACATGTCGAGCAAGGCCATCTTCCTGATGACGCCCAGGGATTTATTCGGTCAGGTCTTCTGGGCTTTCGTCGTCTTGGCATACGTTATCGACATCATTGTGTGCGGCTTCTTGTGGTGGATGTACCGTGCTGTGCATCGGCTGAGACGCCAGTACCTGGAGCACCCGGACTACCAAAACAGTCTGTATGCACGCACGCTGATGATCACGGACGTTGGCCGCAGCTTTCGGAGCGACCAAGGTATTGTAGAGATCACGGATAGCTTGAAGACTACGCCCGAGGTGCCCCGCGCGTCCGTTGGACGCAATGTGAAGGATATCCCGGACCTGATCGAAGCGCACGAAGAAGCTGTCATCGAACTAGAAAAGATTCTGGCCAAATACCTGAAAAACCCCAACAAGCTCCCTGCCGAACGCCCACTCTGCACCCCCTCGAAGAAAGACCCAGAGTACACCGACCGAACGCAAAAGGTGGACGCAATCGACTACCTCACAGCACGCATCAAGCGCCTGGAAACTCAGATCAAAGAAGTCCGCGAAACGATCGATAAGCGCGATGCTCTGTCATATGGATTCGCTAGTTACGAGACCATCGACTCCGCACACATGGTCGCCTTCGCAGCCCGCAGCAAACACGTCAAGGGCACCACTGTGCGCCTCGCCCCCAAACCCAAGGATATCATCTGGAAGAACCTGACTCTGGATCCTAAAACGCGCCGCTGGAGGCGTATCGTAAACAACTTCTGGATCACGCTGCTCACCCTGCTATACTTCATCCCCAACGCCCTCATCGCTGTTTTCCTCTCCAAGCTCAGCAATCTCGGTTTCGTATGGCCAGAATTCCAGGTCGAACTAGGCAAACACTCTGATTTCTGGGCCGTGGTACAGGGTCTCGCTGCGCCTGCTCTAACGTCGCTGTTCTACTACTTCCTGCCCATCATCTTCCGGCGTCTGAGTATCAAAGCAGGTGATTTGACAAAGACGAGTCGGGAACGACACGTGACGGCGCAATTATACGCCTTCTTCGTCTTCAACAACCTCTTCGTCTTCTCGCTCTTCAGCGCCGTGTTTGGCATGGTCGTCATGATTGTCAATCTCGCGGCTGAGCAGCACGTCCCGTTTATGGATATCCTGCGTCAGATTGCTTTCTTCGACACGACTATGCGCACGCTGTGTGAAGTCAGTCCGTTTTGGGTTACATGGCTTGTGCAGCGCAATCTGGGTGCTGCGATTGATCTCGCGCAAGCTGTGAACCTCGCGTGGGGCAGTTTTTCGCGCAAGTTTTTGAATCCGACGCCCAGGGAACTTATCTCGAGGACTGCGCCACCGCCGTTTGATTATGCGAGTTATTATAACTACTTTTTGTTTTACTCGACGGTGGCGTTGTGTTTTGCGCCTTTGCAACCCATCACCCTGGTTATTGTTGCCATTTACTTTACGTTGGATAGTTGGATGAAGAAGTATCTCTTGATGTAAGTCCTCCTCTCTCAGCATTTGAACATGAAAAACGCAGTTTGTTGACTAATGTGGGATAGGTACGTCTTCTGCACGAAGAATGAATCCGGCGGCGCATTCTGGCGCGTTCTCTTCAACCGCATGCTTGTCGGCACTTTTCTGTCAAACTGCATCGTCGCCCTCCTCGTCGTCGCCCGCGGCTACGAACACAAATGGAAGATGCTGGCTGCCATGGCCCCCTTGCCCCTTGGTCTCATCGCCTTCAAATTCTACTGCAAGAACACTTTTGACCACTCGCTCAAATATTACACCCAAGGCACTAGAGCAAAGGGCACCGAAGCCCCGACCCCCATCGACAAGGAGTCTCGCCGCAGAGACCGTGTCGCGGTGCGCTTTGGGCACCCCGCGCTGTACCAGAAGTTGACTGTGCCAATGGTGCATGAGAAGAGTAAGCACCTCCTCGCAGAAATCTACCGCGGGCGTCTCGACGGCGATATCGGCGACAGCGCGGCTTTTAGCGACATTTACATGAAGCGTATGAGCAAAGAGCATCCTGGGAAGATGGCGACATCAACAACTGCCGCCGCTAGTGCGCCTGCGCCGTTTGAGTTTGTGTCCGAGTCGAATATGGATTTTGAGAATTACAAAAATCGGCCCGAGTTTAGCGATGAACATGGTGGCGAGGGTTCGGTCTACGGCGGCAGCACAGTCGGTGGCGGAGGAAGACCTGATAGCCCTGCTGGTAGTAGCCATTGGGGACGTGGTAGCGAAAGGGGCCGTCCTTCCAGTCAGGACTCACAGCGCACTTTTAATAATGGAGAGGACCCTGGTGTCTTGTATCCCCAGGGGTATCACCAGACGCCTAGTGCACTGAGGGAGTATAGTCCCAGTCCTAGTCTTGATCTGAGGGGCGTGGATTCTAGAGACGCGAGTCCTTATTATGAGATGGGCAATAACAATGACCAGGGGAGGTTGGTGTCGGGGGCGGCGCCCATGGGAAGTAGTGGTGGTGCTGGAGGGAATAGGGGGCAGGAGCAGTATACGCCGTATAGTCCTAGTAGGGATGGGGCGAGGGATTACTTCGCGCGGTGAAGGGAAGGAAAAAGCGGAGGGTGACACACGCATATTGAGACGAATTTCCTTTTTTGGGTACAAAGATGTTATAGAATCTTAGGCTGACATTGGCTCTGCGAGGAAAGGCCTTGCGGAAGCGAAAGTGGCATTTAGATGGGGAGTTTTGTATAGATGCCAGAATCAGAAACTGGTTTCCACACTTTTTTGCCCCACGATGTTTGTTGTTGTCCTATTTTCTCTAGATTGCTTTCGTGTGTAATATATTATTTGTACCGAAAGTCACCACCACTGCCTACTTTTGACAATTTCCAAGTAGTTCTTGGGTAGCAGAAGGCGAAGCCATCATCATTAACTAACACGAGCACCTTCAAGGCATTTAAATAACACCAACGGTCTCATCGGCAATGAGACAAATTAAACGACATCTGGTGTTCAAGCGCCACGACGTCTGCAACAGGGCGTCTTCTCCCACCCCACTAGCTCCTCTTGGCGAGACAAGGGTCTCTCCGCGCATCGCGAATTTCCACTTCGACCATCGTCACCAACATCGCAACCACCAAAGCCGGCATTGCGCCTCACAGAAACCCCCCGCAACCATGAATCTCTCGATAATTCGACCCGTCTTCCGGCCCTACAAAGCAACACCGCCATCGCAATCAACCAACATCTGGCAACGGACCGCACAACAAACATGTCGGCAACCGCCCAAGCCGCAACGAGCAACCTTTTCCACAACACCGTGCCTGCAGAAGAGGAGTAAAAAAGGTCCCGGAAACGATCCCAGGATAAGTACGTCCCCACGTCTACCTCCACCCGTCGCGAAGCAATCACCCTCCCCTCTTTCGCACAAGACCCTCCCCCCAGAATCAGAGACCAAAAACACCAAGTCAAAAGCAACAAAAGAAGAAGAAGCTAACATACTTCACCTCCCCCACAGCAAACATCCGCTACCACCTCTCCCACCCCCTAACCCCCCGCCCCCTCCACTTCTCCCGCAACCGCTCCCTCCGCCACTGGACCATCCACCGCGCCTGGCTCCTCTTCCTACGCAAGCGCCGCTGGGCCGAGGAACGCGAGCTAGAGCGGCAATACATGGCCATGCGGTCCGCGTGCGAGCACCTCCGCCTCATGGACAACAACGGTAACCTCGTAAAGCAGGACGAGGCGGGCGGACAGGGCGCCGATCCGAGTCGTCTAGGTAGTAAAGGAAGAGAGGTGGGCAGATTGTATCGCAGTGCGATGCTTAAGAGGGGGGTGTGGGGGAGTGTGCCGGTTGAGTATGGGAGGGTGCAGACGGATTTCCCGCCGAGGGAGGGGTGGAATCATGCGTGGGTTAGGAATCAGTAGGAATAGTAGAGAAATGCTGTCATTGCATTGTTTGTTGTTGTGCTGGTTTCATGGGCTATGAAGGTTTTCGAGGGGGACGTGTTTTTTTTTGGGGGAGGAAATGTGTAAATATATATCGTACAGCCTCCACCACTCCGGGAATCTGCAGTTACAAGGCACAACATGGTATCACCACATTATCCACACGTCCAGGCGGCAAACATATCAAATAACGGTACATTGATGAGCGGGAGACAAGTTCAATGGCTTAGCTGTCGATTGTCGCTAAACAGACTACTACATGTCGCTATTCTAGAGCAGCGCGTTTCTAGACGCATACAGCGAAAACCCCTTGGAATGTACAACTTTGTAAGGTGAGGGAAGGAGTGGATGATGATGGCGGATCTTCTCGTCAAATCATTAGCCAACATCGCAGATATAGTAGGACTCGCAAATCTTGTTCTTTCTCCATCGCATATCATCTTCCGGCCAGGCATAGAGAAAGGTAGAAAGAAAGGAAGAGAGAGAGCAGTCTTGAGCTTCCTCATTCTGAGCCCCCAATTTCGTCGCCCCAAATGCTACACACAACAAGCCAGCATAGCTTTCCTTCTCTCCAACTTGAAAGGTTACAATGCAGCTACGCTCAAAAAGATGTAAAAAACATAAAAACGAACAAAAAAACAGAAAAGAATTGAAGTTAAACCCCAAGATATATCGCCAACTCCATGTTGTTTACTCCGCCCAATGCAGTGATGTGTGATGGAAGAAGAAGCAGAAGCAGAAGAAGATCAGGATGCGGAAGCAAAGAGAGACAGAGAGCGAGAGAGAAAAAGAGGCCAAGAGAGGAGAAACACCATCTCGTGTTTTCCCATGGCCCCCCAAAGTCCCAAACCCTCTCAAAGAACAACACACCCACACCCCGGATTCTCCTTCTTATCCACACTCAACAGCGCGGCCCTAGTCGCCGCCTCAAAGACATCATCAACACCATCACCCGTCAGACTACTGCACTCGAGATACTTTCTCGCCCCAATCATCTCCTTCATATCCGTGCCCTGTTTTGTCGTCGTGAACCTCAGACTCTTCTTCCTCATCTCCTCTTGGGCCAACGGATCGTCTCTGAGATCCTTCTTGAGAGCGACGAGGATAATGGGCACCGTGGGACAGCGTTCGCGCGCCTCTTCCGCCCACTTGTGCTTGACGTTATCGAGGGAGTCGGGCGAGTCGACGCTGAAGCCGATGAGGATGACGTGCGCTTTGGAGTAGGCGAGGGGGCGCAGGCGCTCGTAGTCTTCTTGGCCGGCGGTATCCCAGAGGGCGAGCTGCACAGATTTGCCGTCTACTCGACAGTCGGTGACGTAGTTTTCAAAGACGGTTGGGACGTAGCGCTGTCCAAGTTAGAAAAGGAAGATACTTTGCAAAGGCCAGTCACGTGTTTGGGAACCTTACAGTTGGAAAGTAACCGAGAGTGAAGACACTCAGAAGACTCGTCTTTCCGCAGGCGCCGTCGCCGATGATGACGAGCTTCCTAGAGGCACAGGATCAGCATGTTGTATGGGTGTGGCATAATGTATGAGCGTCATGGTGTGACAGTGTCGGCGTGAGCGAATGACCGAAAGTAGATAGAGAAAGTTCGCATGTACTGAATAGCCAGAAGGAGAAAGAATTGAGCGCGAGTCGATAAAAAGTGGACATGGGGAGCCTGTAGGGTGGCCTATTTTTAGTCGGACGTGTCGTCGGACCGGGTGCGCCAATGCAAGCTATGGCGCAAAAGCCGGGGTGCCTCAGCTCGCATGTTGATGCAGTCGGAATATTCTCCTGCGACGTACATGCAAAGTCTGAAGGGGGGAGATGCTCAGAGGATGCAGAAGTCATGTCGTCGAAAGAGACTCGGACGGGATGAAATAGAGTTGGGGAAAAAGCAAAGGGCGCACTTGGGAAAACGGTGGTGAAAGATCGACATGATAAAGTGAAGTGTGACCAGGGTCCAAAAAGTGAAGATCAAACGTACCTGCGCATTACGGGCTCGCCATTCTGCTGCTGTTGTGCCATTATGGGGGTGAAATACCGCAGTTAGCGGGGGGTTGTTGGGAGATGTTGGGCGTGTTGTTGGGCCGGCTTGCGTGTCGAGGATGGATGGTGCGTGTCGAGGATGCGGTGGTGCGCGGGTGGGCAGGATACAGCCAAGTAGCCTTGTCCGCGCGAGGGAGCGAGGGATCGAGGGGAGCGAGTGTGATGTCGGCGGAGCGCGTGTCCCGGAGCGAGTGGTGAAGGCGTCGAATGCGTCGAGTGATGCGTCGACGGGTGTGGATGCGACGGGTATCGAGTCGACGGGCGTCAAAAAACGTCAATGGTTTGGCCGGGGGCAGGCGCAGGATGAAGCGACAGACTAGCGACGGGCAGTGTGTCGAGGGAGAGTGTGGTGAGAGTGTGGTGAGAGGGTGGTGAGTGGGTGAGTGGTGTGGTGATATGCCTCTGCGACAATGGGGATGGGTGTGATGGAGAGGTGACGGGGGGCGTTTTAATAATGAAGCTTGGGGACGATCACGGCGGAGACATGCACGAGCTAAAGCTACAGACGGCTGGACTGGGGACGGGGTGCACTGGCGTCGGTGGTGGTGCGGTGTGGGAGTGGGTGTTGAGATACGAATGGGAATCTGAGCACCTGCACAGCCTCTCTCTCCCAGCTTCCCTTGGTTCCAGAAGGCTGCCGGGGTGCCAAGACGTGGCACTTGCGGCAGGTGCGAATCGCAACGTCGGTACCACAATGGGCCGTCGACCATCAACAAGAGGCTACGACATCTCGGCATGACCTAAGCAAGACGCCGCCCGAGCACACGAGCCAGACACACCAGCGAAGAGACACTGCGCCCGACACTCGATTTCTCTCCCCATACTCGAATCGCATACCCTGCTGTGCGTGGCCGGCCCCTCCTCCACCTCTGACCTCTCCTCCTCTCACTTTTGCTGCCCCGGGTGGCTGCACGCTAGTCTGCCCGCGCCATATCGGAGCTGTCACCCACGACATAGCGAGCCCGCCCTCTAACACGTCTTCCAGCTGCCACTCCATCCCCATACATGGCCCAGGGCACCCGAGGGCCGACCCCGGCTACTATGCCGCCCAACGGCACCGCGACCCACGATCCCACCCCGACCGCCGTAAACCGCAAGAAGCAGAAGCGACGGGAGAAGGAGGCCGCCAAGAGAGCCGCACAGGAACCGCCTGCGCCTGCGCCCGCGCCTGTGAGAAACGGTGCTCCTCCTCCTCCCCCTCCCCCAGGCCAGCAGTACGCGGACCCCGAGCTGGACGAGGCGGCCTACGACGAGGGGGAGTACTACTCGGACGAGGAGTATGAGCACGCGTACGGCGCAAATGGCGACTACCAGCAAGCCTACAGCCACGTGCCAATGCGAGGGAGCACAAACAAAAAGTCCAGGCGGAAGAAGAAGGCGCCCTCCGCTCCTCCTCCGCTCGACTACACCCAGCACGTCGCGTCACGCCTCAGCCCCGCACCCGGACACTCCATGTCGCCCGCCCACTCTGTCGCGCGATCCGGCTCCAGACAGGACCGTATATGGAACACCACCATGCAGGACGAGAGGGATCGCATACGCGAGTTCTGGCTGTCCCTCGGCGAGGACGAGCGCAAGTCGCTTGTCAAGATTGAAAAGGAGGCGGTTCTGCGCAAGATGAAGGAGCAGCAGAAGCACTCGTGCAGCTGCACCGTGTGCGGCCGGAAGCGCACAGCCATCGAGGAGGAGCTGGAGGTTCTATATGATGCCTATTATGAAGAACTCGAGCAGTACGCGCACCACCAGCAAGACATCGGTAGTTTCATGCCCGAGGCTAATTATGGTTATGCGTCCAGTGCTCCTCATCACCCACGCCCTATGCTCAACTCCCACCCCCATCCACCCCCCGGCACCTACGACGACGACGACGAAGAAGAAGAAGAAGAGTACGACTCGGGCGAGGAAGACGACGAAGATTCCGAATACGACAGCGAGATCTCGTCGGAAGGCGACTACAGCTCCGGCGAGCCAAGTCTACCGCCGCCCGAGCCCTCAGACTTCCTCCAGTTTGGCAGCAGTCTGCAGGTCAAAGGTATGCATTTTCCTATACCCGTGCTGGGAGCATGCTGATTCATCCTTTTAGGTGGCATACTTACGGTTGCTGACGATTTGCTCAAGAACGACGGGAAGAAGTTCATCGAGATGATGGAGCAGCTCGCCGAGCGTAGAATGCAAAGAGAGGAAGATGCTCAAGTTCAGGCTCATCCAGGTGCGCAGCATCGATCGTATACCGGTCACAGTCACAACGCTCCGCCGCCCGACGAAGACGATTACGACGACGAGGGCGAGGATGAGGACGAGTACGATGACGACGACTACGAGGAGGATGAAGAGGATGAGGAAGTGCGTATCTTGAGTTGGCGTGTCTGTCTGCAACTAACCCTGCCAGGGCGCCATGACTGAGGAGCAACGGATGGAGGAGGGCCGCCGAATGTTTCAGATCTTCGCAGCGCGAATGTTTGAGCAAAGGGTACTCCAAGCGTATCGAGAAAAGGTAGCCGCAGAGAGGCAGCAGAAGTTGCTCGAAGAACTAGCAGAAGAGGATGTGCGAAAAGACGCGAAAGAGGCCAAGAAAGCAAAAGAAGCCCAGAAGCGAAAAGAGAAGAAGGACAAGCAGAGGCAGTTGAAGGCGGAGCAGGAAGCGAAGAAGGAAGCCGAACGAGCAGCCAAAGAGGCCGAGGCCAAGGCTGCAGAAGAGAAACGACTCGAGGAGCAACGGAAGAAGCGAGAAGAGCAGCGGAAGAAGAAAGAGGCTGAGCGCAAAGCCCAAGAGGAAGAGAAGCAACGCAAAGAAGCCGAGCGTCTGGAACGACAGCAGGAAGAACGCGAGCGACAGCAGGAAGCTGAGAGGAAAGCACGAGAACAGAAAGCGCTCGAGAAAAAGGCCAAAGACGAGGCTAAACGAAAGGAACGTGAAGAGCGAGAAGCGAAAGAGAAAGAGGCAAAAGAGAAGAAGGCACTAGAGGACAAAGAGCGCAAGGAACGCGACTCAAAACTAAAGGTCGACAAGAACCGTACGGCCAAGGAAGACCAAGCCGCCGCCGCTGCTGCTCACAATGCTATAGCTGGTGCGGCGAAAAAGTCGTCACAGCCAGCAGTCGCGGTGCCTCCCCAGTTGCTGAAGCAGAACTCGTCTGCTGGAATGCCTTCGCCACTTGTTACACCAGCTGTACCAAAGGCTCCAACACCTAACCGACCACGACAGACATCGCACCAAACCTCTCACAGTTCATCCCCCAAGACTCCCCACGCGACTCTGGGGGTGAGCAAGTCAACATCTCCGAATTCTCAGATGCCGAATCAGTCAATACCAAGGTCCATTTTGACCAAAGCACCAATCCCACAGCAAGGTCTATCCAATCCGCATGGCCAGCCAGCTTCTCCGATGCCTCCCATGGGACCACCACCGGGGATGCAAGGACCACCAGGACTCGGGATGGGTAACATGCCACCGGGTCTGAATGGCTTCCCTGGTCACACCTCAATGATGCCCGGGATGATGGGCCCCCGTCCAAATATGCCCTTCTACCCCCAGCCTGCGCCCCAGAGCTTCCGTGGTTTCCCACCACCAGGAATGCACACATCAGGCGCCCTCCCGATCGGTCGTGGCGGTTTTCCAATGGAGGGACCACCAGGTTTTCCCGCACCCCCTGGTTTTACCGCCCCAATGCCCACCGCGTTTCCAATGGGTATGCCGACGCATTCAAGACAAGGAAGCGGATCGTTTGAGAGACTTTCAAACGAAAGCCCTATTACGGGGCCGTCAGCACAGCCCATTCAACGACCTACGCCCATCAAGCGTCCAAGTAGTGTAAAGGAAGACGGTCAACAAAACGGGAGCGATGTAGATGAACTTGCGAACCACCTCGGCAGTAAAGCACTACTGGATGACGACGACGATATACCTGAGTTACCCGAGAATCGACGGCCGAGCATGCAACAACATGGCTCCGTGAGAGCGCCATCATTTGGGTTTGCGGATATTCCCGGAAGCCAATATGGGTCGTTTGGTGCACCAGGCGTTGGTGGGGGTAGTATCTGGGGTACACCTCCCTTGGGAGGTTTCCACCCAGGTCCTGCTGGTGGTGGCAATTGGGGCAACTCACCCACATCCAACATATTCAACTCGCCATTTTCTCTGAATGGAGGCAACGCAAGGGGAACGGAGCGCAACGCGAATGAACACCGCATAGTCTGGCTCCGCCGCACAATCTGCGCTGCATGCAAAACCCTCGGCCCGCGTGCCGCTGACGCAGAAGGCTATGTCGATGCAAGCGAAGTGCACAGACAAGTCGAAGCGTCAAGAGGGGCCATGGACCCTGCTGCTGTGTCTATGGAGGAGATGAAGGAAGCTTGCGACATCCTTGACGTCACGCATACTAATGGTGGTGGCACTCTGGATTACAAGGAGGCAGACAATGGGAGGGTGGAGAAGATTAGGTTCAGCGAGAGTGCGCCTGCAACTGCGATGCCTTCTAGTTTGGGCGAAATTGGTAGCCCCGTTCCTGGCCATAGCGTCCTTGCGGGTGGGTTTGGTGGCAGGTTTCCTGGGCTTGGGCCTCAGGGCTTCTGATTTGGGAGCGTAAGGGGAAGGCAGAGTGGAAAGAGAGAGAGAGTAAGGGGAGAGGGGGGGTTCTAGTGGACGTCTTAGTTGCTTGAGACTGTATCCCTTTTGTGCCTCTGACCTTTTTGACTGTTTCCGTTTCTTGTATTGGAAACTGTTTGAACCTCTGAAATTCTGGTGGCGCTACCTTTTTTATTACCTGTCAGGCAGGTTTTCTAGTCACGTTCTGATTGACTAGGGCTCTTTTCAAGTAGTCTGGTTCTTCCCTTGTCTCATTTCGCAAGTGGAGGTAATTGAGTCGGTTCGAGTGTGTCAAGATATGTTGCCCATTCTGCTTGCAACTGGTGATGTGATATTATGCTCAACAGTAGCAGTAAATCTGGCAACCATTTCATATGCCTCTGCTGGTGACGGCTGTGGTACTAGCTGACATCTTCTAGGATTTGACTAGAGCGAAATTATGGTGCATGATACCATTGCTTCACTCAAAAAGCGATGGCTGAGTAGAAGAATGTGATCGAATTCTAGGTTATTCTACGTTGACGGGTAGCGTCGGACAAAGCTCCGGACTCCACCTCAAATCACCGGAAACGTGTTGCTTGTCGCACGTTGCAACGACATGGTAAGAGGAGCGGTCAAGCTCTCCGCTTGGTACCAGTGACACAAAACCCCGCAATTGCGACATGGCCACGGCACGCCAAAAAAGAAATTCGGCGAAAGCGACAATCATCTTGCTGGCATTTGACAGGCGTTCAGACAAGTAGGTTTCAGTAGCAGCCTCACACTCTGGTCGAGCAAAGGGGCGAACAGCAACGGATGGGTACAAGACCTAATAATAGGACTCGTCAGTTGGAAGGTGAAAACGTGTTAGTCAGGCACGCATCATCATCAACAGGCACGCACAACCCTGCATGCACCATCCCTGCTAGTGCGCAAGGTTGGCGGGGTTGTGAGGAGCCTCATAGCTACCGTCAGCTAGCTATACAATACGGAGCATTCGCATCTTTTCCATTGTCAACATCCCCATCAACTACCACTCCATCCATCCACCTACCCCCCACCATGTCCGACCCCGTCGCTGACGCCGCGCAAAAGCACCCTGCGCCCGAGGGTCTTGTGTATACATATGGAACAGCTGGCTTCAGGACAAAAGCAGATGTCCTCGACTCCGTCCTGACCCGTGTCGGCCTCATTGCGGCTCTCCGGTCGCGAGCGCTCAAGGGAAAGTGGATTGGCGTCATGATTACCGCCTCGCACAACCCACCCCAGGACAACGGTGTGAAGCTTGTTGAGCCAATGGGCAACATGCTCCAAGAAGAATGGGAAGTCATCAGCACCAAGATGGCCAACCAAGCCACCCCCGCCGACGTGTCCAAATACTACCACGACATTGCCGCTCAGTACAAAATCGACCTCGATACGCCTGCCCGCGTCGTAGTAGCCCGAGACACAAGAGCGTCCGGCTCGAGGCTTCTCGAGTGCCTCAAGGACGGCTTGAACAGCGCTGGTGCCGAGACAAAGGACTATGGCTTCTTGACCACGCCGCAGTTACATTACATGGTGCGGTGCTTGAACACCGAAGGCACCAAGGATGCCTACGGTGAGCCAACGGAGAAGGGCTACTACGAGAAGTTCAGTGCGGCTTTCAAGACGGCACTCAAGGGAAAGCAGCCTTCTGGCAGTCTGACAGTGGACTGTGCCAATGGTGTCGGCGGGCCAGCGCTGAACAAGCTGGTCAAGTATCTTCCGTCCAAAGACCAAGGCGGTCTCGACATTTCTGTAATCAACGACAACGTTATCAAGCCCGAGAGCCTCAACGTCGACGTAAGTCCTCCCGTCCACAGAAGATGCAACATCGAAAAGACAAAAACGCTAATCCATTTCCCCAGTGCGGAGCAGACTTTGTAAAAACCAACCAACGCGCCCCTCCCTCTTCCAAAGCCGGACCCGGCGACCGCTGCTGCTCCCTCGACGGTGACGCCGACCGCGTCGTCTACTACTTCAAAGACGAGAAGAACGTATTCCGGCTCCTAGACGGAGACCGCATCGCCACGCTCGTCGCCAGCTTCCTCGGCGACCTCGTGCGACAGAGCAATCTAGCCGACAAGCTGAAGATTGGCGTCGTCCAGACGGCCTACGCCAACGGTGCTGCGACAAAGTACGTCGAAGACAATCTCAAACTCAAGGTCGATTGCACACCCACGGGCGTCAAGTACCTGCACCACGCGGCTGAGAAACTGGACATTGGCGTCTATTTTGAAGCGAATGGTCATGGTACGGTCATCTTTAGCCACGATACGTTGGCTACGATTGCGAGCCATGAGCCGAGGAACCCGGGGGAGAAGGAGGCGCTTGATGTGCTTCGGGCGTGCATCGAGCTAATTAACCAAGCCGTGGGCGACGCGCTTTCAGATTTCTTGCTCGTAGAAGTTGTGCTTGCGCATAAGCGGTGGGGACCGCAGGAATGGTTGTCGACGTATTCTGATCTGCCCAACCGCCTGTTGAAGGTGTTGGTTAAAGATCGATATGTTTTCAAGACGACGGATGCGGAGAGGAAATTGGTGAGCCCGGAGGGTTTGCAAGCGAAGATTGATGGCGAGGTGCAGAAGGTTAGGCAGGGGAGGAGCTTTGCGAGGGCGAGTGGGACGGAGGATGCGGTTAGGGTTTATGCCGAGGCGGAGACGAAGGCTGAGGCGGAGGATTTGGCGAGAAAGGTTGCGGGGCTTGTGGAGGGGGCTGGGGCGTGAATGGAGAGAGAGAGAACATTAGGATTGGGGGGCTGTTTTTGGACGTTGGATGAATGATATATATGCATCAAGCTTGTTAGCATTGGGAAAGGATGCATGGGGGAGAAGATAAATAAAAGTTATACCTGGAGAGAGAGAAGAACAAGTTTTGATCATGATTGTTTTCGCTGGCTTTTGATGTTTGTTCTTATCGACAGGGTCAGGTGATTCAGGCGCATTGCTATGATTCGAGGCGTTCAGATACTGACGTGACAAGTGATTTCGGGACCGTGCAAAGAAAGAGAGGTAGTAGGGTCAATCGCTGATATAATGAGGTAGGTAGGCTGAAATCTTGAATCAGGCGACAGTGATTGACCGGTTGATTGTGAATCGAGATAGAAGGATGGTTTGTAGATCTTGGCTTGCATGTCTGTTGGCGATTGGGGAGCGTCGAGCCCTCGTTGCCGCGGCTTAACAGTTATGTTTCAAGTGTTTCCTATCGTCCTCTGTAGCTCCTGGAGATGAAAAATGTACCGGGTTCGTAGAATGACGCATTGCCGCGCGCATATCGAGAGCTGCCTCTACTGCTATAGCCTAGAGGCATGGGTGTAGTAGAATCCTCGCTCAATCACTGATAACCGTGGTACAGCGGCGACCCAGAACTAACAAGCGACTCATAACGTCTCAAATTATAGAATCTACCAAATTTCAGTCTTTGAAAGTTCAAGCAACTAATATATAAAATACAGAATTCTTTCTTCATCTCTCAAACATTGTCAAGTTCTACATCTCACCAGGCTGCCTGCCGGACGTATACCAAAGCTACTACTGCTACACACACTTTTCAATACCGCATCTATCCAACTCGCGACAACTAAATCCACTACAACACCTTCTCACCAGCATCATGCACCTCACCGCGTGCCTCTCCGCCATGACGGCGATCCTCACGATGAGCTTCCCTACTGTAAGTCTCACTCCATCCTTATCTCCCTACCTTCTATCGCCCAGCTCCTTCCACCTTGTAAATCCTCCTCACTCTCACCCTGCACCCGCCTCCTAATCACCCGCAACTAATTTCATGTAGGCTCTAGCAAACGACCACAGACTGAGCCGCGACTGCAGCATGTACCACGACGGCGCAAAGCGCTGTTCGTATTACCGCGGTGAGGTACAGATCTGCGAGGGAGGTAACTGGAGGTTCTGGGAAGATTGCGAGGGCAGCTGGTATTGTGGTGATTATGATGAGTTGGGGATCAACGTCACGTGTATTCCTAATGAGTATTGGTGGGGGGAGCATGGGTTGAAGCCTGTGGTGGAGCCTTATCGGTGATTTTTCTTTTGAACTGAAACTGTTAGAGGGGGGCTGTGGATATTGCGCTATGGATGGGAAGGGTCGCGGACTGTGCATGGGGTGGGACTGGGGGACGTGGAGGGGCTGGAGATAGGCATAAATTGAGAGAGAGAACATGTTTCCCGATATCGGAAGGTGGAAGGGTCGCTCGGTGATATTTGGGTGGTGGACTTGATTGACTGATATTTCAAGTATGGTAGGTTTTGTTTATCCTTGGTAGGGCGCGAATATACGTATGCCATACGCTATACCATCAGTAAACGAGTGGATTAATGGCTCAGCATCATCGTCATTCCTACGCTTTCCTATTCGCACCTACGATGCGTCATATACTCATGCAAGTATTATTATATGCGCGATTTTTTAACGACTTCTCAGTCTTATCGCTCCATACGCTAGATAATGTCTCGATCGAGACCTATCGCAAGGACGAGTGATATATGTCATCATAACTCAGATTTCTGGATGGGAGTAATCTTGAAGCGAGGGGGTCACCGTCACTGTGGTTGCTTACCACATTATCTGCTAAATCGATTAGTCACTTTTCACATCTTTCCATGGTACAGCCATGCTCTTTCAGCAACAGGCCATTTGTCACATAATACCAACCATGGCCCATGCCGGAGCAAGTAGTGGGCGTGTTTCTTTTTAGTCAGCTCGGTAGATTTACCCATACATATCAAGCCACTCGTGATCGCAGGCAAGCGAAAGCCTGCAATCTTATAGTCATCTCATCCGTGGGCGACAGCTGCGCTGCCTCATCGTGTTCGTCAAATTACTTCATACATATGTTCACCCCACACATACAACACACTTACACCCTCCATAACCCCTACTGTACACGTATACGAAAAACTTCAATATTGGACATACCGCATTCGTGAGAAAATCTTGCTGAGACACGTGGTATCGCAACAACCCTTTCTTAACAAGCCACTCACAACGTCTACAAGTCCCAACAATCCTGAAGAAACGAACTCTGGATACATCTACTCGTAAGTATTGTTGAAACATAATTGCAATGGATTGAAATCATGGAAAATTCGCTACGCTAGTGGATGTGGCAAGCACCAGTAAGGGCACGGTAAGTACCAATAAGGGTGCGGTAAGTACCAGTGAGGGCAGGTAAGCACCACTAACAATACATGAGATGGCAGCTTCTCACAAGTATAGATACCCGCTGTTTCGTCCTGATCCTCCTCATCTCTTCATCTCCTCATCTCTTTAACTCTACATCTCTCATTGTTGCTTTCAAGCTTCAGCCCCTCATTGGTGGTCCCTCATCTGATCATACATTAAACACCTCATCACTACCGACTTTTCATCAAGCAGCCCCTCACCAATACATTCGAGTCTCTTCTCCTCCACGATCATGAAGTACTCATGCCTTCTCGTCGCCGCCTTGGCCTCACTCATCCCCACCGTAAGTCTTCTCCTCTCCTCAGTCAATCCACAGTCCGCTATCATCATGCTAATCCCTATCTCAACCCTCAGGTCGTCGCCCACAAGCCTAGGATGATGGACCCCTGGGCCTGGAAGCCCACTGGACCAAGATGCAAGTACAACGAGAAAGGCGTGTACGGCTGCTTTGGACAGCCGATTGGCCAAGAGGAAAAATACCCCGAGGATGCGGGGTGGCGCGACACGGTGCCGGAAGGCGGACGATGGCCAGGCACGCCAGGGGGCCATGCATGAGTTACTGTCGCAATCGCCATTTTGACTTGAATGGACAACTTGATCGTCGGTGTCACCAAGGGATACAAGTACAAGATGCGTTATGAATATGCAGCCAGTGGTGCGCGGATATGGGAAATGAGATTCGCGGATGGACACGCCAACCACCGCTGAGCATGGAATCATAGAGTCTCCATCGGACTGGGCCTATAGCTGAGTCTCGATAATTCACTAATCGAATCATGAGGTTCTTAGTTGACTTGGCTTGAATGGAGATGCATTGATGTCGTGATTGCGTTGCATTGAATGATATGTCTTCGTGAAGACCATGCTTATCGATCGGAAGCCGCTTGAATCTCGGCACTTCAATCGCTAACTTGAAGATGACGTCGATTGATTCAACGAAGACTATATATGTATACCTAGGATACGGCTGTGTTTCCTTCTCTATATACAACAACATCTGCATAGCTACTTCAGTATCTCCCATTAAGCCGCTCCCAACGACAAGCCTTCTCAAGTACCGACACGATCAAGTCAACCATGTGTCTTCTCTCCAACATCCTCATTCTCTTGGCCGTTACTCTCCCCACACTCGCCAACGGCGGTGACAAATGCAAAGTAGGGACAAGGAAATGCGAAGACACGTTTTCTGTCTGGGAATGCCAGAAGGAAGGATTTTTCGAGCCCCCAGAATGGAAGTGGGTGGAGAGCTGTGGCCAGGGCGAAGATAATAACTGGTGTAGTAACGCCGACGCGAAATGTCATGGCTGGCTTTATGATTAGCATTGGCACTGGCCATACAAGTGAATTGCTATGAAAAGTAAACTTAGTTAGGCATTCGATACTTTCGGACTACTGATAGAGTGAGCTGACGACTGCAGGTTTACTAGAGCAAGGGCAGCCGCGATCCTCTGTGCAGTAAGGTATACGAAATATGAGTCTGTATCGTGCATTAAGGCTGAGCTGGGCTTTGAGAATAGCTTGGAGGAGTTTGGAATGCTGGGATCTCAAAGGGATAGTGGAGCTGGAATGTCGCTGTCTCCTCTGGTTCTACCTTTATTGTGACATATCTTTGGAGTTTAATCTGGTACCTTTTGTTAGCAATTATACTGGTGTTAGAAGCTTAGCTTGTGTGAAATCTGGTCAAGAGTTCTTCATTGCTTTGATAAAGTACCATAGTTTCTAGGTGGGTTGATGTTATGAATGATTTCATTGTGTTGTAGGTTGCTTTGAAGGCGACATGAATTCTTCACACTTGTCCTCTTCACATGCGAACATTCACTGTACCTTTGAACCTTTCTCTGAGGAGTATATAACCTGCGAGCCGCTGCTATACTCCTTACTCTCCACCACCACCACATTTATATCACCACACCAGCATCTCAATCAACAAGATATCTCGCTGCCACCCAAATAAAGAGCGAAAACAATACGACTACGATGAAACTGCTCACCTCGTCCATCTTCACTGCCCTAACTCTCTCCTCTCTCACGCTTCCTACCCTCGCCAACGACCGTACTAAAGACTGTAAAGAGGGCGAGAGACGATGCTCACCCGCCAAAGACAACACCGTTCAGCAATGCAAGAACGGGAAGTGGGAGTGGGTTGAGACATGCTATGATGTCTATGTTCCCTCTGTGTGCGATGTCGGCGGGTTCTGCCGTAAACACTTTCCAGCCGTGCCTCCTACTTAGATACGTCTAGTTCACAGATTTGCGAACTGAAGGCAGCCCGCAGACTACGCTAACGAAGGGGATTATTCTAGACCAGAGGTTTCGGGAGTGACTCGGTATGAGGGGTTATGAAGTGGGGAAAGACGGCTAGGTGGAGATTTCGGCGCAAGATCTATAGTTCTTCACATAACTGGCTATAAAGTGATATCTGGAGAAGTGGTGGAAGTGGATTATCTGGAGTTTTCCTTACTAGTTTGTTAACGCGACGGTGGTATCTTGTTTAGTTTATTGGGCGACAATCCCATTCACTGCGATATAAATATGGGGTGAAAGCCTGTTTCTGATGCGACTGTAGAGGCCTACTTGTTGTGATCCTGGTTTCACTTTATCTATCGATATTCCCAGTGTTGCGTCCTATTGAACTGAACTGCAGTTTCTCACGACATCTTCGCTCATCAAACACCATGACCTAAGGATGACTGCGCCCAATAAATTTGCTCGAAGAGATTCCTTGGCTTCAGACTACATCATCCAGAAAGCACAGCGATCTATGCGCTCCAAGAATTGACTTAGTGGACAGCGACGATACTCAGATATGAGGATGCGGGCAATCGTCACAGCTCGTACAATCGAAGCGGCGAAGTGAGAATTGTATGCTCAAACAAATTGTTTTCGGCAAAGAAGTGTTACAAGCGCCGTAAAGCCTGCCGTCTTATCTCGAGTGTTGGATACCAGGATCGTGTTCACTTGCGGCCGAGTTGGGTAGCCATCGAATGGCAAAGGTGCAGAAGGATAGAATAGCGGGGTTTGCTGGTGGCCAGTGCAGAACATGGTTCGTCAGTTGTGTGGGTCGACCTCCTTACATCTACCTTCCGTTACTATTCAGCCCATCACAAGAAAGTGGAAGTATATTTCACTGTGATATCTGCGCGATAGGGTACAGCATCAGCATGTATGCGCGCCCCGCTTCTTGTGGTACTGGAAATCTTCTCCGTGCCAACCGTATACGTCCTCCTCGATCCAAACAGCTGTAGACGAACGCGCGCAGGCTGATCAGGCCGCCTTCTGCGCATCGAATCCTCCTTTCCTCTCTCCGCTTACGCGATGTTGATACGCTGATAAAAGCCTTCCTGCAAAAGACTTTCCGGTGAGGCACGACATGCTAGGATCCGTGTGGATGATTTGGTTCGTCCGTCATGGCAGGGTAGCGACGCCGCAGTGAGCTGGCGAGGGGGCCAAGCTGCCACGCCTTGCATGATCATGCGAATTTATGCGTCTGATGTATAGGCTGGGAATACCTCGATATCTACGTTGCTAAAAGGACTATACAAGCTGCGTTCCCCGTCGCGATACGAACCTCAAGCCACAACAACCCCAAAGACGACGTCTCTATCCCCATAATCGAGCGCAATCTTGACGCGCATCATGTCGTCAACGCTCTGGCCACCATCCACTGTCGGTATTACGGATGACCTTGCGGCGAGCAGGTCAAGGGCTCTTGGTAACGAGAAGCCGGAAGACAAGGGCGATATCATCTACACCGAGATTCAAGCGGAGACAAGGAATGAACTGAACATCATCGGCCCAGAAACCCTGCGTGACTCAAGCCCACTTGGCAGCGGAACCAGCTTTCAGGTAGATCGGCTTTTGTTCCTCCGACCACGAGGGCCAAATTATTATGTTGCTGTCAAACGCGTGATTACGAGGAAGATGACCATTGAAGACCTTCATCAACGTCTCTCAGTTATCAAGCGGGAGTTGCGCGTGCTGATGCATCAACCTCTGAGAGCCCACAGTTGTATTATATCTATTCTGGGTTATGGACACAGCATCGATGCATCGCAAAGCATCGTTCCCTACCTTGTCATGGGGTTTTCGGATCATGGAACATTGACACAATATCTTCGAAGATGCAATATACCTTTGAAAGAGCGGCGGGAGTTAGCGCTTGATGTTGGCATGGCGCTCCGTTCCCTCCACGAATGCCAGATAATCCATGGCGATGTAAAGATGGACAATGTACTGGTATTTGATTCAACGGATGACCTCCTAGAACGACCACAGGTGGCTAAGCTGGCCGATTTCGGGAGTGCGCTTTTTGAGAACGATTTTGTGGAGAGACACTACGTTTCATACCTCGGCACAACTAAGTACAATGCACCAGAGGTTGCCTCGCGCGACGGTCCTGGCGTAAGAAATGTGGAGAGTTCTCCGAATCTGTACGAACGTGCTGATGTCTACTCGTTCGGTCTTCTGCTACTCGAAACCATTCTTGACGGGAAAAACTTCATCGACGCGGCTTGGCTTGATCAAGGAGCGAATGATCTCACTACGAAAGATAGAGCGACGTCAAAGAACGCGGAATTGGAGTTTCTGGACAAGGTAACGTTGGAAGAAGATGCATTGCTTGGCCTTGCAAGAGGATTCGCATCTCGTCTGTCACCCGATGCGGAGTCCGATGTCATAAATCCGGTCACACAAGCAATGACGCTGTGTCTCAGAGATGATGTGTACAAGCGTGGAACTATGGTACAGGTCACGAAAGCCCTTGCTCGAGGTACGACTGAAAATCGGCCATCGTCCACTCATACATCAGCTCGTATAATCTCTCCGGTGAATTCAACGAGCACGACATCATCCTTACACAAGAAGCGAAGCGGAATCTATCGATTACACTCTTCACCACTAGAGACTTTACCATCAAGCAATTTGAGCATACGTGTAGCTAAACCAGACGACAAAAGCGCAATAGCTGAACGACACATTGGAAGCTCGAAACTGCGCTCAGGACCAGTTGCATCTTTGGTCGCAGATCCGTCATCACAATACCGAACCACAGAGATAGACATGTTCAAAGTAAGGTAGAGTACTGAACCCTGCAACGTATCCGAATAACGATAGTAGGCATCAATCACCATCTCACCTCCTTGGAAGGTTCAATTTCGCGTTGCAGAACGACTCAAGTCTGCTTTGGATGTTGAGAGAGATCCATTACTCAAAGCTCAGCTACAGCTTCATCTTGCGATAGTGTATTGGCTGGGCTACGGCACCCAACCAAAGCTCGTCGAGTCGCTCCAAAACTTAGCAGAAGCTGCCAACGCCAACAAAATTGCACAGATTATCGCTCCCAGAGTCATGGCAGCCGCTAAGCACATTACTCCGCTTGTTGAACAGTCACACCTTGTTGACACAGAATTGTATCACAACTCTACAAACAGTGGAAGTTGCCCGACATCAGGCATTGTGGACTTCCTGCGGACTGAAAGGGCTCACACACCGCGACCTCGAGCGGACGCGATTTCAGATGTTCAAAGCGATTTGATAATGGCTTGCATGGAAGGCAAGTTCGAGGTCGCTCGGAATCTTATCCCACTTTGTGGCGACTTCCCAGCCTATTTCGCTCCAAATCCTCTGCATTGGCTCGTCATGTTTCCGTACGAAGAGGCCAGATTGTTAGTTGATCTTCTCATCTTCGGCTCCGCGAATGTCCAGGGCCAGCAACACGGTGTTTGTCGTACTGTGATTAATGCGTCCTGTGTAAGCATGATCAACATTCCGGAATACTGCATGGATCTTTTCGGGACCCCACTTCATTTTGCTGTCCGCTGCGGCTTTCAAGACCTAGTGTCTGAGTTTATTCGACATGGTGCTGATGTGAACAAGCGATGGGAAGCCAGAATCATACCTACCAGTGATGGACGTTCTGTCAGGTATCCTAGTTTCAGTCCTTTGGATGTCGCGGCGACATATCATCTAGCCGATATCGCGCGACTACTACTTGGAGCAGGTGCTGTTACGTATGGGGGAGACGTTGACTGGGAGTACTCGCCCTTACACATGGTTGGACAAAAGACAATCCCCTTTGCGCGATTTGTTATGCACGGCTCGCATTCCAGAGCAGCTGCTACTCAAATCATTCGCACGCTCCACGGGTGGGGTCTAGACATCAGCAATCACGACTCCTCGGGTCAGACGCCTTTACTGCGCGCGGCTGAATATCATGACATAGACGACTATATCCTAGAAGAGCTTTTGGAGGCGGGTGCAAGGGCTGATGCTTCCACAGCATATCCAGGATGTAGCCTTGCGACTTTGCTTGCTCAACAATGCGCCGATCGGCGTTTGAACTCCTCCAAACTTCGACTACTTCTTCCACAAGTGGAAGACTTCAACTGCCTAGATTCGCACGGTCGTGGTGCTTTGCATTACTGTGCTCTCTTCGATGGTATAGAGATGGCTCGTGTATTGTTAGCGCAGCCTGGAATTGATGTCGACTGCAAGGCGAATGACGAGGGGAGAAATACCCCTTTGCTCTTTGCTGCCACTTTCGGATCCAGCGATGTCGCTGATCTGCTTATCAAAGGTGATGCAGACTTCGAGTTAGCAGACGCCGACGGACGGTCGCCATTGAGGGTGGCTGTGACTTGCAGACATATCGATGTCGCTAGTCTTCTCATCAAAGCAAGCGCGAGCCTTGTGTTCCATACACAGTCTGGAAGAACGGAGAACATTCTCCACTATGCAGTCATGAGGGAAAGTCAGCTGCCGTCCGTAATGGAACCTATACTCCGGATGTTACCTAACGAAAAGATCGCAGACTTGCTGGATGAATTTGATGGTGGAGGATGGACTCCACTTCATTATGCGAGCTACTTTGGCGACCTCGAAGGCGTTAACGCCCTTCTTGAGGCTGGAGCAAACAGAAATAGTTTCAAAAACCCGCAGTATGCTAGATCGCTTTCCAGCCGTGGCGGAACACCACTCCAGCTGATTACATTGTTGAGAAAAAAGATACAACGAGATGGTCTTGGCAAAGACCACGACGCTGTGAAGCGAGGCGGTCCAGCGGCTGAAACAAGATTCATGGATCGTCTTGAACAGATCGAACGAGTACTCAAAAGCGACGCAGCGGGATAGCAACCACGACATGATCCTCTCACCCTTTAAACGTTTTCTGGGATACTACCCACGAACACAACCATGACTGCACAATAGGCTGCTGTCGCAGAGAAGATCTCGTAGTTGCGCGAATGTGTCAGCCAACATAAGGCTGATGAAAACGCTGCAGTAAAAAGCGAGACTATGCATAGTCTTGAGGCCATGGCACGAACTTTGTACAAAGCGATGATTGGCACCGTCAGGGCCAGTACTGCTAGTAATGTGCTTAGGAACCTCGACATGGCCTGGATCCGCTCTGGACTTGATGTGAACACGAATCTGTCCTTCGACTTTGACCCATCCTTCTGATAAATCGTTAGACGCCTGCAAACTCATTGTACAATGGCTTAAGAGCTTACCTCTGAGCACCATAACTGCGTTCTCAACGTTAGCCGTATCCTATAAACCGGGAAATGAGACAAACCCATGAATATCCGCGCCTGCGGAGCAGAAATGCGCACTGCTCTAGCAATCGATCTAAGCCACCCTGGTCCGAAGGTTGGCTAGGAGCACACAGATCATCCCAGTCACTCAAAAAGCTCGATTCACCAGAAATGAGAGGCTTATTACCATCCATCCAGTTGCATACACTTTGTGTGCTCTTTCGCTCGGGTCTTGCTCTTTCGACATATCCGTAATACGACTGTAGGAGCTTGTCTACAATTGCCAACTTAGATCCAGTCCATGCGTCGGCCTTGAGTTCAGAAATGCTCACTGTATGCCTCTAATTTTAATTCCGCCTCGCGAAGAATGTCTTGTCGGATACTATTCCCGTCATGGCGTCTCGAACACAGATAATGCCCCATTGATTCTGCGTTGTCCAGTTCGTCTAATCTTTCTTCCAGTTCAGTTATTTCATCTTGTTTTTGGAGCAGTATACGCGCATGCAATCGTCCAAAATAGCGAAATGTTATAAAGTCGCGATCGCTATTCATGTAAGCAGCTAATCGTGGATATCCTCGCCGAAAGGTTTCGACTGCGTGAGACAGTAAGTGCATGTTGGTACCATCGTACTTTGGATACCTCACTTTGTGTTGGTTGGTGGATGAAGCATTGTCTTTGAGGGGTTGGTGCCCGGATACCTGTAAAGAATGAGGGATGATGAATTGGCAAGGCTGTATTTCAAGGACGTACTTGGCCGTTGTTGAGTAAATTGCATCGCATTGATCGCATCACATGTAAACTCGAAGATTCAGCTTGTGTATCTTTCTGGACGGACTGCACAAAGGCGGAACGAATATCATGCAAGAAGCTAGTAACTCGGAACTTGTGTTGGGGGGCGCGGTAAGATATGCATAGCCCCAGCCTAGCCGATCCTTCGGGCGGTGCTGGACGAGGTTCTGCCTCACTAGCCAACTGTCGTGGCATGGACCCACAGGTAGATTGCGCACTCTTCCCTAGCCGCCCCTCTCGCACATGCCTTACACGCTACGTGGTAGAAACTAGCACTCTAAGGCTAGTCTCCGATACCCATTCGGAATGTTCCTCGTGGTTCTCACACTTCTTTATCCGGTACCACCCATTCTCGAAGGCAGATACGTAATAAGGTCCAGCCGGTTGCGTCTGGCCCTGTGTTTGTAGATACACGATCGCATTCATGGCGTAAAGTGGCATAGCAGGATACTGCCCTCGATGATCAGCGAATACCACGTCTGCGCACACAGATTACACTCGCCTGAGCTGTTTGTTCGTACTCTGCCGTACGGCCGCGAAATTGACCTTCGACATTGGTGGAGAACGTTTTCGATGGTGGCTGGGCTGTCAGAGTTTACTTTATTGAGAACAAAGTGAGGGAAGCACTAACATCTAATTGCGATACCTCAGGCCTGGTTCGGCCTCTATTCTGGGAAGTCATATATATGTATACTTGATATTTACTTCGATGGTGCAAAGGTATGAAGCTGGAGTGAGGAAAGGACTTGTCGGTCGTTGGATTAACACTGAGGAACGATAAGAGGCAGAAATAGGAGGACCACGTACCAAGCTTTTGTTCTACCACCCCCAGCTAGGGTCTACCCGCTCGAGCGGCTCTGACAATTGATGGCGTATCCGGTGACCCGTTACCGGTGAGCAGTGGCTTGAACAAGGTTGCGATTCGCCAGTCTCGTAGCGACATTGGGTCAACGATCCAGAACTCATGCCCCTCCCCTTCTCAAAAGCCCGCTTACCTAGTTCATACCCTTTTCCAGATATCCAAGACGCAACTGCAAGATGGAGAATCTGCAAGAATTTACTTCCACGTTCGAGGCTACGGTCGGATCGTACTTCCCAGCCAAGCAGCCATATAGCCAAGTTCATGTACTATGTGTACACTGGGAGAAGAACGACATATTTCCAATCTCCGAGATAGAGAGACTGCGAGCGTGTCTTGAGGGCAGATACGGATACAAAGCAGCTACCTTAGCGCTTCCGAATGACGATACCCGAGAGTTGCGCCTCATCACGGAGATCGTCGACTTCGTCAAACAGTACTCTACAGTCGAGGATTCTCTGATCATCTTGTATTACGCGGGACATTGCGGTCGGAACAAAGATGGTCTTGCTGAATGGGCAGCGTATATCAAACTGAGAAGCCAACCTGGACTCTGCTAATCTTCAGTCAGGTTCGAAAAGGGCGGGCCAACAGTACAATGGCACATTGTGCAGCAATTACTGTTCGCGGCCACTGGTGATGTGCTGCTACTCCTCGACTGCTGCTTTGCTTCCCTGATCAAGAAAGGACAAAAGAGCAAGGGCAGGTTCGAACTGATAGCGGCATGTGGAATGAACGCTTGGACACCAGTTCCAGGCCCGTTGTCCTTCACCAGCCTGCTGATAAGCGAACTTCCGGAACATGCAACTGAAGGTATTACTGCTAGTAGACTTGCATCACGACTACGGGAGCGTCAAAACATAACAGGCAAGTGTATATGCATCGTACTTTGAAGTACTGTCACTTATACAGATTAGAGACACCGGTTCATCACGATTTCGCAAGAACGAAGCAAACAGGCATCAAACTCCAGCACCTTGATGATCTGAGCCAACCTAGATTTATGCAGAAGCCAACCGGTTACGTGATCTTCCGTGCATCGCTATCAGATGACCCTAAAGGCCGTGAACTTGCAGAGTGGTTGAAGACAGCGCCACCAAATAACGTAACAGCCATCCATATTGAAGCCATGGTAGCTGACGCTCGACGAATACAAAATCTTGTGGGCCTTGTACAGGGTACTCAGGAGATGTTTGTAAAAGGTTCTGTCTTTGAGAAGCTGTCGTTTCCAGCCAAACAGGAGATTGTACGAGCATTTCGAAATCTGGACACAACTTTGATGACATCATCCCGAATGGCTGATGACGCAGGTCTTCGAGGCAATAGTGAGGCAGTGAAGGGCGCATTGGAAGGTATACAGAGTACACTCAACGCTGCATGTGCGGCTGTCGAGACGCCAGTGCTCACTCAGCTTGGGCAAGGAGACTTCCAGGAAGCATACAAGAATGAGGTGGTGGCCAGCACCGGAACTAGTGCTGCCATCTCGCTGTGTCAGATGTATCATGGCATTTACTCTTCGCCGGAAAAGAAAGAGATCAGTCGAGATTTGGTCATCGTGCCAGCCAAGAAGGAAAGGATAGAGACTGGCACTATCGATGGCAGCACCGTTATCGTTGAGACTTATCAATATGAAGAGGATCCATCCACGTCAAGACCGTATGAGGAGACTCTGGAACAAGTTCAGAAGATGGCCTCCATACTCTGCCACCCCAAGGCTAGTACCCTTCACGTTCTTCCATGCCTCGGCTTTTACCACAAAAAGGTCGAACATTCATTTGGCGTCGCTTTCCGCGCACCACCTTATTTCAATCCTGAGAAGAAACCCATCACGCTGCTGAGTCTGTACAGCAAAGAAAAAAGGGTGGCGCTGAGTCATCGTATTTGCCTGGCGGCTAAGTTGGCAGCGGCACTGGATGGATTCCACACCGTCGGATGGTTTCACAAGGGGTTCCGGAGTGAAAATGTTATGTTTTTACCAATGGAAGCTCCACGCAATAACATCAGCGCAGAGCCGGTAGACATTGCGCCGACGTTTGTTGCTCAGCAGGGTTCAATCGACATATCCAATCCATACCTATTTGGATTCGAGTACATGCGTATGCAGGATGCTGGTACCAATCTGGAAGCCGATGACTCACTAGAACGTGACCTGTATCGCCACCCGGATCGTTGGGGTAAACCAAAAGTAAGGTTTGAGAAAGCTCACGATGTATACGCACTGGTAAACCTCAACCGAAAATAGTCATGTTTTTGAACGTATGATGCTGATACTTCTCTAGGGTATTATCCTGGCAGAGATTGCCTTCTGGCAACCCATTCAAAAGATCGTAGAGGTACAGGAAACGGAAGTGCTCAGGCGGTCATTATCAGGTGCCGAGGTATTGAAGCGTTTGCAAAGTAAATGCAACTCGAGGCTTCCCCACCAAGTGGGCCACATGTTTCATACAACCGTTATGGCATGCCTCGGTTTCAAGAGCGCTACAGTACAGATGGATGCGTACGAAACGCAAAAGTACTATCAAGAAAACATCAGAACGAGACTTGAGGCAGCAGTAGGCAAGGTCTGAAGCAGGTATTAGGGGCGCGCAAATATCATCAAGAGAAAGCTATCGAACGGGGAGTTCAGGATGTTTAATGGAATCCCAATTTAACCAACTCTATAAACGGTGGTGTCATATCATGCCAGGTACTCTATTGTAGACTGCTTCCAGTTTCACAGCGAATCACTGAGCCATTATTGCTGATATTCACTGCCCTTTCTTGATTGAGCCGCTCTTGAGTACTCGATAAGGTCCCTGACTCGCAGATTTCTGGATCCAACTCCCAAGTCCTAAGAACGATGAGTATCTGTTCGCGAGGCAACTGGAATGATCACTTACCAAAGTAAGCCATACTGTCTGCATTTTGCTTGGCCTGAGCAGCATAAAGGTCCTTGACACCATTCCACTCGTAGCCGACATCAATCCCTACGTGCATTAACCGTCAGCAGTTGTATACAAGAGACTCCGCTTAAGCCAGGGGATTTACATACACATCGGAAACGGTTGCGCATCTTCGTTGTGTATTGTGTGAGTTATCTGAGAACGTTAGCCTGGAAGGACAAAGATCTGTGCATTGTACTTCGTGAAGAATGACGGTGTCCAACAAATTCCAGTTGTCTATCAACGGCCCCGACTCTGCGGCACCATCATCGATGGAAAAATCGGTGTTGCCTTCTTGAAATCTGTATAAGCCTCCTCGTCGTTGGGTAGACTTAAAGAAGATACCGTCTTTACATAGTGTTATGGAGCACCTCTTCTCGTCGTTTAATTTGTTGTTGCAGTATGTGCCGCCCATCGTTGCGCGTCCCACCGTCTTAGAACAAAGCGTGTGACCATCGTAGACAATATCGCTAACTCTGTCGATTATGAGCTTTTTCGTACGCTGAGAGTTCTTGCATTTCGCCTCTTCGTCTGTGGCAACTTTGAATCTCGCGTCCTCGTCACAGAAGATCAGAGTATTGGCTTCGTCTTTGGTGGCAACGAGATCGTTGGAAATGGCATTGAGCGTTGCTATCAGCCATCAGCAAATGCGCGAGCGGAACTACACGTCCTGAGATCGGGGGCAGAATCTACCTGATATGAAAGCAGCATTATTTGAGTCCTTGAAAATGTGTTCATATAGTTTGCCAACCGGGACACGAGCATTGTCTTGGGCATCGGCCTTCATCTGCTGAATAATTCCCCATAACTTATCCACCTCGACATTTGGATTGTTGCGGCAAGATTCATCGAACCATACTGTTCTTGGTTTCAATGCTTGACCCTCGATTAAGGCTGGGAAGAGAGATGTAACGAAGAGAATTGCTCGGAAAAAGAAGGTCATGGTAATTGGGATAATTTGAATACCTCAAATGAATGGAAGAATGCAGTCGCACTCACTGGAAAACATGCCGTCAAATAACGGAAAGGGCACATCGCGCACAAACCCCGTCGCTGGTGCTACCGCAGCGGCCTACAGCGGTCTGCGTAGCACAGCCTGCCATCTACCCTTTCCGGATCAGCTTTATCAGACCCCAAGCACTACTCCTGCATCTGCCAAGAGTGAAGGACGATGCCTTTCAATAATCGCGCAAGGCTGAAACTTGTTTCGACAAATTAGATCTGAGGTGGAGATGAGAGATGGGGGCGACGCTGCAGCATTTGGGATGTGTCGCCCCCACCGCCAGGGAACCACCTACGCAGGGTTCGCTAACCCCCGCGAAAAACAAATAGTCGTCCCACTTCCATCTCACCGGAGGGCTCAATTCTTGATATAGAGTTTTACAGCCCAAGGCGAGCGCATATGCACACGAATGCGGACGTCCTTCGAATGCAACGTGCATATGGGTAGCTAAGAATAGCGAAGGCGGCTCTAGGGCTCACTGAGATGCGCCTGAGAACGCGTTGGTGTTATAGGCGCAGGACATTATGTACATGAATGCAAACACTACCAGTAACACCATCAAGTACATCTGATATCTGCTTCCTAACGAACCATGCGTCCTACCTCTCTGCGTCTTCTTGGTTGCGTCACTTCTATCATACTATGCTTGAGCACCGATGCTGCCACTTTGAAAAGAGCGCAAATAACCTTCCCTCCATCAAATGGACCATGTCGCCAAAACCATGGTCTAGAACCGCTTCAATGTACTGACGAGGCATGTATCGATATCGCAGCTTCAGGTGTTTGTCACATCCAAACACAAGAAGGCCTGCCTGTCTGCGGCTGCTGCGATTCTCAGATCACCTTGCTTTGCTCAGCGTGCGGCGGCGATGCAGGAGAAGGGATATGTCTAGGCACTGGGCTCACGGAGATCTCATTCCAAGGTTGCCCATGCACCGCGAACGGGGGTGCAGTACCTGGTGGAGGACAGATTGCAGTCTGCCCTGAGCAAACCGGTTCAGACACCCAGTCATGCAACAGTTCTACTTGTGGTGGAAGCACTAGATATGCAGGCTTGTGCGACTCCAAGACTGACATCGGTGGAGGTGCTTATCAGTTTTGCGCATGCTGTCCAGATGAGGAGCCAGCTTGTAACGATTGTGGTGGCGACAACGGCGATGGACGTTGCAAAGGTGTCGATGAGTATACGGGTAAAGGTTACAATAACTGTAAATGCAGTTCAGGCGCAGGGTCAGTCTCAGCACATAGTGAACTGCGATCAAAGCTAACGTCGAGTTGTAGTGGTGATCAGCCCGTGATCATCCCCTTCCCAATCCCCCCTCCAGGCTTCCCGATCCCGCCACCTGGTACGCCTAATCCAGAAGAGCCATGCTCGGACACGATTGACACAAAATGCTCCGAATGCGACGGAAACAATAAGTGGTGTCAGACAGGACCATCTGCTGGCTGCCCTTGCCAAGATGATGAACAAGAATGCCCAGATGGCGACGATGTTCCAAACTGCTCAGATGCAAACTGCGGCGGCGCAACAAGCGCGTCTGTCATCAGTACATGCCAAGGTGCGAACAATTAAAACAAGGACTGTACATGCTTTCAGTTTGAACCTGAGCTTGAGCCATACGCACCATTCTCCGACCAACAGCTTCTTGAACAAGAAGCATTTCTGAACAGCATCTTGGCTGCTCCAGCAACCCCTACCAGTAGCGCATCACCAACTCAAGGGTCAGGTCAGTTGACATGTTCGAAGAATTCAGCATCTCAAGTCCCCAAAGAAATGATATGGTCGGATGGAAGCAAAACGCCCAATCAAGTGCTCTATACATTGAGAGAAGTTATCTGCACGAACAGTTGCGAGATGCCGGCTGGCCTTCCAGCTGGAGTGGCATGGAAGACTGGAAGTAAGACTACAGGCGACTGCGAGATTGCCATTGCCATTGAAGGTGACATTGAAGCGGTGAGTGAGAGTTATGCAAGCGGAAGAAAGTGATCTAATACTTTTTTATAGTACTTCTATCGCGGTACACCGTCTAGCGATGAGCAGTGGCAACAATGCTGGGATTCCACTGATGCCATCATCAAGGAATGCATCAATGAAGGGCCAAATACCGGCTGGGTTAACGGGCCCAATCCTTACCAAGTAAAGCATTCTTCCACTTGAGCCTCAATTCTAGACAGAGACTGACAGAAGTAGTTCTATCAGGGTGGATTTCGACCGCTTAATGGCGATGGCGCCATACATGCACCAATGAGTGGGGATGTTCTTCTTTCAAAAACAGCCATCGGTGCAGTGACGCCAACAAACGCGCAAGGATTTACTTGCGGAAATGGTGATGGCGGAACGCGGCCGCTAGACTGTCTAGCCATACTTGGGTCGTATGTCACCCCAAAGTTGGAGATATATAAGCTGACAAACGAAGCATCATCAACGGCGAACAGCTCAGTGACACAGACACCAGCCCTAAGTTCTGCACCGACGATTCCACGTGCCTCAAAAAGGGCGAATCCGGCTCTAGTGACGGCAACATAATCTACAGCTCCTACTGTGAAGTGCAAGTGCCCTGTTCCCTACCCATACGTTGTCCCTACTAATTTTCCTATTAGTGCTTCTAACAGCGGATGTTCGTTTGTGATTGCATCGAAGCTCGCGTCTTTCGGGGGGGTACCCGGTCGGTCTTGCGTAAGTCCAAAAGACATGTCCGAGTTCATAAGACTGGGTGCAAATGAGTGTGGTTCAAATCAAGCTTCGGGGGTGTGGGCGGCAGGGTATGCCTCGGGTGAGACGGCACCGCCTTATACGGTGTACGGTCTCGTGAATGCGGCGAACCCGGGTGTTTTGTTCATATGACGATTTGTATAGAGGCCATGTTTTTCCAACTACTATGATCTTGGGCGGAGCAAACTCTGTGAAAACCATTGGCGACTGGGATAGTCGGTGGACTATCATTGAGGCTGGAGGCGTGTATAGCTCTATGCTACAACTCCGGAGTGAAATTGGAGGAGCGGCAGATGGCGCATTAGAAGCAAGATGACTTTCTGGAGCGCGATAGGATCAATAGGCTTGAGGATGACTTGACGATGATGTGTCAGCGTCGTGACATTAAACATAATGATTGCACGCGATCAAAGAAGCTGACTAGCGGAGCGGTATTATCGGCTCATCAATGATGTCCGTAACTTATTGAATGCTTTCTTCTACATATCTGTCCAATCCCTTTGATCTATCTATTAGGTCTCGTTGGTTTCCTAGGTCTGTACCTTCGACTAGGAACTCAGCAATAACTTCCTCATCGAAGCGATGGGAAGCAACTGCGTCTGAGTCGAAAACACCGCCAAAGCAGCAACAGTTGCAGAGAAGACATAGCCTACGCGTCTCCAATCAACCAGGTTTGCTCCCTTCTCATCATCCCAAAGATCGCTGTGCGGCCGATTTGGCAACGGCAGCGCTTTGATATGCGTACCCCCACGTGAGGTGCCACAAAGCACGTCGATCATCTTCTCTGCATGATACAAGGGCACGATATATCTTGCTATGAATTTCGATGTCACAGTGTCCATGGCCTGTACACTTTGCTGGGCGTGAGAGAACTTCAGAAGAGCGGTCGCGCGGTCAACACGGAGGCTTTGGGTTGTTTGAAAAGCCTTGACGAAGTCTGCGTCGGTGATGCTTTCGCCTTTACGGTTGAAAAGAGCGTGGAGTTGGTCTGCAAGAACTGCGGCATCTTCGATTGCGCTGTTTCCGCCATGGCCGCTGATAGGGTTGAACTACGAGACGTATCAGTTTGGTGATCCCCCCTCAAACCCGCTAGACTTACCTTATGGGCAGCATCTCCAATGGTCATGATGCGATTGTAATGCCATTTACTAAACACCACCTCAGGAAGAGCTTGCAGGGTTGATGTTTTGCGTAATGCATATAGTTCGCCGAACGTCAGAGTATCTGTGATATGATCGGACGCATGTTCCGCTACCAGCGCGTCCTCTTGATCTTTGGTGTAGCGCGGGATCTTGCCATAGGCCGTCACTGGAAGCTTCTTAAACAGGAACCAGTAGATGCGGTGATCTGGTCCGGTCAAGACGAGGTATGAATTGTCTCGACCTTGTACATTTTGTGTCGAACAAGGGAATTTCTCGCTTGGTCGGGATATGCCGAAGATGCAACAGTACTCTGTTGGTATCGAACGATCGCTGACAGGGAAATATCCGGGTGTTTCTTGATCTGCCAGTCTCCACATCTCCTCGCGCACTGTACTGTGAATGCCATCAGCGCCAACAAGGATATCCCCGTGGTAGGTTTCCCCGTCTGCGGTGACAACTTCAACCCCGCCAGTAGACTGCCTGACCTCGGTGACTCCTTTGTTGGTGAGGACCTTCGATTTGTCAGGCAGCTTATCATATAGAACCTGGATTATCATCTGACGGTCCACAAAGACCGGCGAATATCCAAAACTGTCCACATCAGCTTCAAGACAATGAGGTCATGCAGGGGTTTGTAACTCACCGCTCGGTTATGCGTTTGTTGGCTCCCTCAAAGAGTAATACAACCTTGCCATTGTCGTTCCTCTGAGTCAATAGCTCACCAGCATCCACACCATTGAGTAAAGCTTTGACATCTTCAAAGCAACCAAACTGATCGAAAATACGAAGGCCATAGGGAAGTATGCCAATACTCGCACCTAGATCAGGAGCAATCTTTCCATACTTTTCCAAAACCAGATAGTCTATCCCAAGCTTTTCGAGGATGTTGGCCAGGGTGAGTCCAGCAACACTCCCACCCGCTATGAGAACCTTGGTGTGCTTCTGGGATGCCATGATGAGAAGTTCAAGAAACTGGTGATATGAGACGTTGAGACAAGAGAGAATGTGCTACACAGTGATCCAATTCGTCGAAATGGATGACAGAGCTATTTAACATAGCGTTCTTGTGCTGCTGACCGAAGAAGGTCCGACCTTCCAATCCCTCTACCTTTGCCCATGCCTATACAGCAGCTTCACATCTAACATCTAGAGACGTTCCAAGATTTGACTCGTACGAACTCAACATAAGAAATCACTAATCAACTGTTCGTCGGTCGACTTGGCCAATCAATCAAAACCAGAACCTAGTATCTTCTAATCTATTCATCGGGGATTTCTAGCCGGACGGAGTGAAGTGGAGTGAAGTGGATCTCGGAGCCGAGCTTGGGGTCAAGACCTTGGCTTTTCATGGACCCCACGGTTAGCGGAATGTCGCAAATTCCGAGCACAAACAGAGCCGATGACGACACCCAGCCCGATAGCAAAGGCTTGGTGTTGGCTCACATTGATTAGTTGTAAACTTGCTATGTACCCAAGGATACTCTGCTGTGAATTTCGCAAGTTTTCGTTTCTTGAAGCATGCCGTTTCTGGGCGTGCCTCAGCTACCGCGGCCATGATATGCGGATTTCAACTTGATGACGTAATCACCGTTGATCGACAAGCGCGATTAGGTATGGACGCGACCACCGCTCTTCACACGCGTTTCGGCACTCGTGCGTCGCCATGCCGCCCAAGAAAGGTGCGTCTTCCATCTGGATTCCCAGCAATCATCAAGTTGACGTGGCTAGCTGCCAAACGTAAGGCGACCGATGATGACATGGCCAGTCGCAACGCGGCCACCGCCAAGAGAGTCGCGCTCGAAAATGAGAAGTTCGTTACACGTAGAGAACTGCCTTATGAGGCCAGAATAGGCATAAGAAATTTGTTCAACTCAGTCGTTGAGACTGATGCCGGCCATCAGGATTCTGACGAATCGGACTCTAGCGCATCGGACCTTGACGACTTTGAGGTCGACGATGGTTACGAGAAAGCAATGAAGGTAGAAGAGGAGTATGAGAGAAGCGTTGACAATGCGCATAGACATCTAGCCATCAAATCCGCGCGCGAAGAGGAAATTCAAGCGGGTGATGTGCAGGGCCAATGGGACCTTTATTCTCCCAACCTGTTGGATCTTCGCGAGGCCGAGCACCGAGGAGAGATACATTATCACTTTCGTCAATGGAAAACAGGTACTTTGGTCATCGGAGATCAAACCAACGACCCTGTGCTCTCTTCAACGGAAGTTACCGCGTCACTCTCCCTTGACGGCCTCGAAAACGATTGGCACATTCCTCTCAACGTCCCGAAACTGGCATCCTTGGACTTAGTACCTCTCACAGGTGTCCGCAAAAATTACTCAGGGTCCGGAAAGGCAGAGGTGCGACTTGACATATCGTTTTTGGGGAATGGCTATCTGAAGATGAGGATACCTGGCATATACATCGGCGGAAAGAAGCAGTGGAGAAGACACATCACGTTGTATGGCGTGAATCGGACGTTTCCGCCACGCGAAGAGGAGAATCCGGAGCCTTTACCGCGAGAAGACACGCTTCCACGAATAGGGCTGGTACAGCCTGCGCCCGTAGATGAGGATTCCAATCAACCTGTCGCTGGCCCTGGCGGAGAAGTCCTCTCTCAAGACGAGCAGCTTTTGAGGCGACGGCTATTGAAAGACCTAGATGACAGCTTGTTTGTGGACTGGCCCGATGAAAACTAGACACCCGAACAGCGTCGGATCTATCTGCAGATGGCATTTACGGACCGAGCATACGCGTCGCGCAGCGGACCGTCGTCTTCAACTGGTGTCAAGCTCAGCCTCAATCGTTACCGTGCCACATGGTACCAGCTTACGTGTCGCAATCTCGACCAATTAAAACTCCCCGGATAAAGACGAGATTCCATTGACATGCACGTGGGAGGTACTTTCAAGCATCGGAGCTCTGGAACCAAGAGATCCTCACACACCGCCATTGCCAGGTGTTCGAATTAGAAAACACCAGATCGTTGTTGCCCATCTACCATGTCAACACCTCCTCGATGGCCGATATGGCAAACGTCTCAACGGCTTCCTCTTGAATAGGTCGTCTTCCCCGCCATGGCCATCGATAATCATTGGACTAAAGCTCGAAATGTCGATCAGACTTATCTGCAGACAAGCATCAGCGCTTATATTTCTTATCGACAGTTGCGGGGCCTTCCAAGGGTGTTTTGGCCCCCATGGAAGCTGACGACTGATCAATGGGGCGTCTTCAGCCTTGCGCCTGCTGCCTGCATGATTGTCGAAATATTGAAACTTGGAAAACTGTCCACATTCGATGTCTCGTAGAACACAGCCTTCCCAGACGTGACTGACGCGAAACCTCTATGTCCACAGGCTTTTCAATATGAGCTGCGAGATGAAAGATAACGGCTCTTACAATTCCATGCAGGACGATGATGAGCTGTACGATGATCCGGTCCAGCAAGACGAATCGATGGCGGCTACGGTCGATGGCGGGGATGTCAGTGGCCCCAGTCATCAGAAGGAAACAGTAAAGATGAAGAACGATCTACAAGATACTGTAACAACACTGGGGTCGAACATGTTTGCAGAGATTGCAGAGATCTCTAAGTACAAATTCGAGCGCGCGAAGGCTCGGCAATGGGCGACGAGGGACATCTGCTTCTTGGTCTATGATGACTCAGACGTTAAAATCAATGGATACGACAGCGACGATGAGGAAGCGCAACAGGAATACGCACTACAGATGAGCTTAGGAGACAGTGGTACCGCAGCGTCAGAAGGACAAGACAGGGCCCAACGCTCAGAATACGCCAACGACTCATGGAAAGCCAAGTGCCGTGTATGTGCATGGTATCCCGAATTTTCTCATAAATGGAAGCCTCGAAAGTTTCGCCTAGTCAATCCGACGGTGGATCATCCAGGGTGGTTTGACCGGGGCGAAAAGCGTAATATCGCATCGATCGATATATGTATGCATTATGTCGCTGTGTCATACTGTTGGCCGCCGCGAGACGACAAGCCCATTCCAAGAAGCTACACCGTTCGAGATCTCGACGGGCGTGTTCGCGCTAGTCGTGCTCTCGATGATGTCTTGGATCGTGCTGTCGACTTCGCCAATTCGTATGGCCTTCGTATGATCTGGATCGACCAGGAGTGCCTCCCTCAACCGACTGAGACCAGTACAAAGGCAGATTGGGAGATGCAAGAGCTTGGCATACAGTCAATGGACATTGTGTACAATAGGGCCATGTATACGGCGGGCTTACTCGATGTCGAGATCACTTCACAGGAGCAGCTCAATGCAATCCAGACTATACTAAATGCCGATCGGGTAATGACACAAGGAGCTATGAGTCTTCGGTACTGTGAACATATCATCCGCCTCCTTCATGAAACCTGTCAAGACAGATGGTACACCCGGGCGTGGGTCATTCAAGAGGCTATCTGTGCAGGACTAAAGCTAGTACTAGCATTTCGACACAGTCCTGGTTTAACATTCCCATCAAAATTCCGAGAAGGGTATCAATGCGAGAGAGAGGATCGTCCTTACCATTCGCTCGACGACCATTCGCGTGGACTTGACTCAACACTTGCGTGTATCTCGTTGGCCAAATTCTGGCGAATCCTCGATGTCATGCGCAACCTTCTTCTACGAGACTTCTCTTCCGTTGGGTCAATGCTTGTGCGCTCTGACTACGCGCCAGCGGAGACATGGCCAGGCGCTCGATCGGTGCTCGAAGCAGCGGAAACTCTACATCCGAGAACGGTGGAGGCAAACACACTTCAACAGGTCATGATGACCTATAGCGAGGGCCAGTACGGCAAGCGGCCTACGATCAATGCTGCAGGAGCCCTGACTCTATTGAATCATCGCGAATGTTATTTTCAGTCCGACAGACTCGCTATAATAGCGAACATGTGCGACTATGATTTCCGACTCGACACAAAAGCTGTTGGCAATAATTGTCATTCCCTACGCCTTGCTATATTGGCATTAGCATTGAATAATGGCGACTTATCTCTGCTTGCGCCCGAGGCATATCCACCACCAAATGAAGTCTATTCAGGTGATGCTTACGCTGGACATGCATCAAGCTCGCTCTTGTTTCAGAGCTTTTTCCTGGAGGCTTCGCGGATCGAGCACTGCCAAGTGCGCGACTTTCTCAACGTCAGGCTTCAAGGAGTCGTGCCTGGCAGCGTTACTCCGGATGGGCTACTCTTGAATGCATATCTGTGGTCCGTGAATTACGAAGTCGACTTTACGCTCATTCAATCGACATGGGCTGATGCCTGGGAATCGCTAAGATGCTGGAGAATGTTCGTAGACCGTCAAAAGAGCGAGACCTGGGACCAATACAATGCACGGAATGGGATAATTTTCCAATGGTTCTCACAGCCAGGCGTATCCAAACAAGCTTTAGAAGATTTTCGAAAATTTGGTCATGTTCCAGATGACTCAGCTCTTTGGAAGGGCATCGATCATCGCGGAGTACAATTAACACGATACGTCGATTGTTATCGTGTGAAGCAAGTCCCAGCAATGCAGGACCTTATTGCCCGAATAATCTTCGATATTCTCAGATACACCTTGAACGCGTTCGATGATAGAGCGTTGGCGAGGGGCCTAGCCACAAGTATCTGGCAATCTGTCCGAATCGACCAAGTCCCAGGCTCAGAGGACCCACTGCCAGATGAGGTCGGTGATGCTCTTTTTGACCACGTTGACGTTCTGGAACGTCCATTCGCCACTTTGCAGCTTGAAGAGACACTCGACAAAACTTTTGCGCAGTTATGGTTTGTCGATCGGATCATGGAGACGGGGAGGCTGTGGTGTGGAACATACACACCACCAAATCCAAAAGACTCCGCCGCCTCGGAATTCCACCCCAGTCATGAATCTACTGCTGAGATAAAACCGGAAGTAAAAAAGGGGTTTGAAAAATCGCCCGCCGATGAGTCAAGGTCGATCATAAGTAAACAAATTGTGCGGCATATGTTATTTACACAGCTCCAGGGCACTCCTTCGATTAAGAAGCAACCTCTAAACTGGCGGTGGCCAATGATTGTGCTTACCGAAGTGGCAGCAAACAGGGACTATCATTCCGCCTCTGGGGAAAGGCGACGCAAGGAAACCCTGCTGTCTACCTTCGACGTGGATGGGCCATGCCAGGTGGCCACACCATACAATCCAGACTGGGAGGTACTTCCGCGTCCAAAACTTCGCAGCATGAGAGTATGCTGGGTCGTTGAAGAAAGGAACCGCAGCGACGAGACGACAGTTGCCACTGTTGAAGTAAAGCGATCACTCTCAGGCACATCGCTGGCTACACCGCTCTCCTATCAGCCGGGTGGATTAGAAGCAAAAGGAAAGAGTAGAGCGACTGACCCTTTGCCAGAGAAGGAAGTCACTGATATTGTTGATATTCCCGAAGCGACTGAGCGCTTCGGTAATCAGGGCCTCAGTTTACAAGTGCTTCGGAAGGTGAAGGGGTTGTGGCAGATTATGGATCTTCCTTCCCAGGACTACGTGTTCAGTTAGTGACTCGAAATGCGCGAAGGCATACAGCAATTTCTACAGCTTAGATGTCGCTCAGGCGTAACAAGTAGTGTTGGACATTCTCGAGATGCGACTTGAAGCCGTTGCCGATGCAACCTACTGATTCCGACCTCCAGCCCCGCCCATTCACGTGCAGGCGTGTCATGTACAAACGCGCGCATCTTACATCTGGCCAATGAAACATTTGTTGTTTGCTCTATACTCGAAAAAGCGCACGGATCTGCAATGCTAAACCAAAGCCATGAATGGAGCCGGCACTGCGGCCTGCGCCTATGTTTGAGACATAGGAAGAACGTGCAGACGGCCTAGTAGCGGCATCTTCTTTTCAGATCAGGAAATGTTGATGAGACAGCTTGTTTACAAGTAGAACAGCCCAATCAAGCACCCGGGTGATTATGCGTTCAACATCCCGGACCGAACATGCAGCCCCGAACACCTTTTTGGTGCCGCATCCAGTCCCGTTTGTCTATGTGCATGCGTGGCGTGGTACAGACCTACGTGTTACGCTCACAGCCAATGAAACCCCTCGCGTACAAACAAACGATAATGTGATGCAGGCTGAAAGCCTTTGACGATAAAACTTGGTCATCATCCGCTGATGGTCTTTCGACTCATCCGCTGATACTGTGATGACGCGAAGCAGAAGAGCCATTAACGACAGTCGCAATCAGTACCCCGATCGAACGTAACCTCACCTCCCGAAGGAAAGCCATCAAGAATATCAGACATCCCATTTTCAGTAAACAACGACTAGTTGTCAAGTTCTCCGCAACAACTTTAACACCATTATCCTGCCCCCGCACCCACTTTGCGCCACCCCACAGCCATGGATGTATGCAAAGATGTAGACAATTACATGCAGTACATTCAACAGCATAGGCGTGTTCTGCAAGACGCTAAAAAGAGACATGGTCAGCGTCCGCGCGATCGCAAAGACAGACACGTAATGTTGCTCGAGTTCATGATGGTGTCCATGAGTACCGCACAAAGGACTGGAAAGAAGGACACACAAAACATACACTCATCGTTCGTTCCACCAGCATATCCGCCTTGCACTACTGCACTCAAAACTCTCAAACCTATCAAGATTGAAGAATTGAGGCTTGAGACACATCACCGTGGCAGATTCCTTCTTCTGCGAGTAGTCACATCGCCAAATCGTATGACAGGAATCCTCGTTCTGGTGGAAGATGAATACGGAGATGTTGTGATACTGCAACTTTACCAACAGGAAGATGAAGTCAGCCGCCCAGCTACCAACGTTGTCGACAAAGGCATCGTCCTCATAGTAAAGGAACCTTTCTTCAAAGTCACGGTATCTGGAGACTACAGTCTGCGAGTGGATCATCTTTCGGATATCGTGTTCTTGAACAGCGACGATACCAGGATACCACAGTCGTGGCGGCCGCGGTTCCTAGAAATCGGGAAATGCGCGAATACATTGAAGCTTGAAGGCAATGCCCATGTGGGAAAGGGAGAGTACTGGCAGGCGATCGAGAAGTAAGTGAGACCTGTGATCAGCCAGTAGCTACACTAACAACTTTGCCAGGTACTCAAATGCCTTAGTGTACTCATCTGCTCCGAGCGAAATAAACGTAATCAAGCGAAATAGAGCGCTGGCATATCTCAAAACCAAACAATACGACGCTGCATTGTCCGACACAGGCTTCCCTGAGTTCGGTGAAGAAGCCTCAGAGAAGGCATTGTTTCGTGCAGCGGAGGCTCTATATTATCTCAGACGGTATGGAGACTGTTACGAAGTGCTTGAACAGCTATGCAAACTCTTCCCGTCCAATCATGAAGCGATTGCTGCCCTGACGCGCGCCAGACGTCGCTGCGACGAAGGTAGTACCGGGCAATTCGACTTCAAGCTCCTACACGCCGAAGCAAAGAGGTACAGCCCACCCCATCTAGATCACGCTACGTACATCGGACCAGTGGAGGTTCGGAAAGTGACTGGGAAAGGTCGTGGCTTATTTACAACTACGCCCATGAAAGCCGGGGATCTAGTGCTGTGTGAGAAAGCTTTCAGTCATGCTCACGTTGATGATGGGGAGAAAGGTAATGCAAATATCACTCTCTTGGTGAATGTAGAGACGAACAGAGCTTTCATGGGAGGCCAAGCGGATCTCATCCAGTCAATAACGCAAAAGCTCTACAAGAACCCATCAATGGCTCCCGATTTCACTAATCTGCATCATGGCGATTACAAAGCGGTCGATGTTCAATCCGTTGATGGACAACCTGTAATCGACACGTAAGTGTACCTTCCATGCGATGAACTAGCAAGTTCGGTAGACTGACGCTAAAGTTTCCCAGATTTCTTGTCGAACGAACAATGTCTCTCAACGTGTTCGGCTGCCCGGTCACGACACTGAAGAGCCACATAGAGGTGACTTCCAACAACTTCTCGAAACAGAATGCCAACTTCCATTCATGTGGCATCTGGATTAAGGCCTCGTACATCAACCACAGTTGTCTCGGCAATGTCCGTCGCTCTTTCATCGGGGATATGATGATAGTGCGCGCGGCCAAGGACCTAGATGTTGGCACAGAACTGATGTTCCCGTATGAAGCACCAGAGGGTATCTATACTTCAAAGACCGAGCGAAAGTTCAAGAACTGGGGCTTCGTGTGCACGTGCGCGCTCTGCGAAGACATCAAAGCCACTAAGTCTTCGGAAATCACAAAGAGGAAGAATCTTTTGGCTCAGTTGGATCGTCTCTGCAAGTCTGGAGTGATACCTCAGGATATGTCAATGAAGTTTGAGCGCTTACTCAAGGCGCTGAACGAGACCTACGCTCGCCCAGCGGAAGAAGTTCCTCGACTCTCGCTATGGGACCCACAGCTGCTGTTGACACGGATCTACATGGGAAAGCTTGATCTTACGAAGGGATTGGAATCAGCTAGAAAGACTTTACAGACTCTGAGTTTCGTCGTGACTGGGCTCGACCGTACCTCAGAAGCTCTAGTCGTCTTGGAATGGGGTCACACAGTGGACCATCTGGTGGAAGTCTTTTTACACGCACGCTCGGCGTTGGAACAATTAGGGCTGTCAGAGAAGTCGAAGCAGGCGAAACATTATGCAAGAGTTGCGTACCGAATACTGGTTGGGGAGGATGCATCTTTTGGTGACACATACCTGTCGTTTCGGGATCTTGAGTGAGGAAGCAGATGGGTTATGTTGCCTGTGGCATTGTATACTGGTGGACTAATATGGACTGACTTTTTCGCCGTGCTCCTGCAAGCGCCGCTAATACCCCCAACTGGATAGAAAGCTATTCTGCTATAGCCATTCTATGTCCAATCCATGCTCCCCCGCTATCCGCAATAAGGAAGATCATGTCCCCAGATCACCAATTGAATTCCTCCAATGATCGGAGGAGCGATGTCATACATATAGTGAAGACCTAATTCAATCCAGAAGTTTGCTATGCTTCTAGCGTTCATTCGCATCCAGCCAGAGTAACGTTGTCCTCTCGTGTGCCGCGGAAGATAGTCCTCAGCACGGTAGTTAGCATCCACACATTTGACAATCGAATCGACGCCTGATAAAACCTCGTCATCGGCGAAGAGAAATATCCGGTGCGATTTGAAGTCCGCGTTCATTGGTTGGCCACCCTCGCCACTGTTGTATAGCTGGCGAAGTTGATCCATGTCGAGGCCAGCTAGAGCAGGGTCTGAGCGTGCATCAAGACGAAAAAGCTACCACAACTTCTGAAATTCAGGGTCGTCTCTAGGGTCTTCTTCCTCAGATTCGATAGCATCGAAAGCTTCCTCGTGCGCACTAGTCTGGATCAGTTCAAGAAGTCGCTGCCATTGCTGATCGGAAGAAGGTCCAGGTCCGTATCCGGTACGGTAAATGGTAAAGCCCCAGTGTCTGTGGCCGGCGTAATCATCGTCTGACGGAATGAGAAGCTCATTCAACCATTGTTTGGTAGAGGTAGTCATTGGAGGCAATAAGAGCAGCCTGTCGTTACGTTTGACCTCAAGAGAATCCAGGTGTCAGCGTAAGCACTTTAAAGGAACATGCGGCACAGTCAAAGGATTGTGGCACGGCGGCTAGGCTGCAATCACGTGACTGCTCTTCTACGAGTAGGTAATGCTAAACCATAAGCAAGTGCTCTTCCACGAGCAATAGTCAGCTACTGACTATAGAGTGCGTTACTGCTCTGCTACAATTACCCACACGCTTGTACAAGAGCGTAGAACTCATTAGTATACAGTAGTACGCAACAAGCTCCAATAGCTTACTGTGTTCAACTTCGTAAATCTACTTCGAGTCTCTAAATGTTAGTACTTGATATAAGTCTCTGGTTGTTACATCAATACACTAATCGTGTCAGTACAACCCACCTGTCCATGGCACTCATTCATTCCCGAGAACTAACTCTGGGTCGTGCAAGGATGACCTTCACATCTGCGCACATGATGTAGAGTGCACAGTGCGTAAGAGATATTGACACGTCAAGGAGCTCAGAACTTGGGATATCGAGATGTGTCTGCGATACGATATATCGCGGATACCCGGACCAACGGCCTGGAAACGTCGAACGGATTAGGGGATGAAGCCGGTCACCTGGATCCGGTGTAAATCGACTTTTGACCGATGGAAGCGGGGCTCGTAGATTGGAAAAAGGGAGAGCCTTTCGGAGATGTCGTCTCTTTATAGAACGCACCGGTTTGACGTCGCTTAAAAGAGGTCTTTTGTAGATCACTCGTAACCTACATGGGACTAGCGCACGGATATAGATTGAACGTGGAAAATGCCGTATTATGCACCCAACGGAAAATCGGTTCCGCTCGGGCCATCTTTAGTACTTGCAGCAAAGAATACTATGATGTTCGCGCTAGAAGTTCCCACTTTTTCGATTCGAGCAGGTGGGTTCATTCATGGGGGCGCCACGGTTTCGAAACACGCCTGAGAATGCCTGAATGGGCTGGACAGACATCCTCTTCTGCTTTGATGGATGGCTGTGTAGGCATGTTGATATTGCGATCACTAATCATGGCTTTGGCATATAGTGCAAGGATGGCTCAGAGTGTGAGAGGCATCACACGCCCAACTCTTACACTCCTTACTTCTATTCTTCTTCTACACTTATCGCTTTCGATCTAGTTCTAAATTCGCCATGAAGTTCTTGGCAATTGCTGCTCTTGCCAGCCTGGCGCATTTGGCAAGCGCAGTTGGCGTTGTTGGCAAAGCTGAAGGTTTCGCAACCGGAGTCACGGGTGGTGGAAATGCCACGCCGCAGTACCCAAAGGACATCAAGGAGCTGACAACGTTGTTGACTGACACCACCGCTCGTGTCATCGTTCTTGACAAGACCTTTGATTACACTACATCCGAGGGTACAGTCACTGGAACTGCTTGTACGTCGAAAACGCTAGTAACGCATATCCAATATACTAAACGAAACAGGCGCATCCTGGGGAACTGGAGCAAAGTGCCAGCGCATTCTGTTGGACACTTGCGATGCGGGTCAAGTGAAGGAGACTGTCACCTACTACAAGGCTGCGAAAACCCCCATCAAAGTTGGTTCCAACAAGACCATTTTGGGTATTGGAAACAAAGGCATTATCAAGGGAAAGGGACTCTCCTTTGCCGGCAAGAACGTCATCGTTCAGAACATCCAAGTCAGTGACTTGAACCACAAGTACGTCTGGGGTGGAGATGCTCTCTCCTTTGCCGGAGCTGATCTCATCTGGATCGATCATGTTACTGTAAGTCTCTCTCTTCATATCACAACGCACATTAGCTCACATTACGCCAGACTGCTCGCCCCGGCCGACAACACTATGTTTTCGGTTTTACACCCAGCACTCGCATCACCCTGTCCAGCAACTTCATCAACGGTGCCTCTGACTACTCCACTGGTTGCGACGGCTACCACTACTGGGTTTTCGAGATGGTTGGCACTGGCGACTCCATCACCATGAAGAACAACTACATCACCAAGACTGCTGGCCGCGGCCCTGCCCTTAGCGGCAAGACCCTCCTTCACGCTGTGAACAACGTCTGGTTCGACGTCAAGGGTCACTTGCTCGAGGGAGGTGATGCTGGCGCCCGTGGAATCTTCGAGGGCAACGTCTTCAACAACGTTCAGAATGTTGTAGCCGACTACGCTGGCAAGCTCTTTGGTTCCCCCGACGCCAACACGAACAAGCAGTGCAGCACTGCTCTCGGCAGGTCTTGCGAAGTCAACCTCTTCCAGGGCACCACAACTACCGCCAGCTCTTTGACAAGCAAGAAGGACACCTCGTTCTTCAGCGAGTTCAAGAACCTAGGCATTGCAAAGGCCGTCGCTGCTTCTGCTATCACCACCAGGATCCCCAACGGTGCAGGCAACGGTAAGCTTTCTGCGCTTAGCGCAAGGTCTGTGTCAGCCAAGTTCAGAGCATGAACATCTACGACAGTGATGTCAGGGTAACCCGAAGGGTTCTCTCATGGGGGGCCTGACTGGCTACATTCAGAGGTGTATATACTGGAGCGAAATGTTCGCGCGGAGCTGTGTTCATTGTACATAATCTTTTCTTTCTCTTGCAAATATTTATAAGAACTATGTGTTACGTTCAAGACTACGCGCATTACGATGGACTTAACCTAACCACATTAGGTGCACTTGATGCGATGAAGCTTTAGCTGACTGACCATCATGGTGTGCTTTTGGAATGCTATCAATCGACACTATGGCCGTCTTTGCCTGCAATTGGCCTAGTTGTGTGCCCGCAATAGATACTTATGTATGCGACTTTTCTCATCTCGCAAGGAAGAACCAGAGGACGGGATGATATGACGAGCTCTCTGTCTCCCATGGTCGCCATATGGGAACGTTGAGCTTGTAAAAGCAGCTAGTCATTAGAATATGAGATAATAAAGACGGAGGGTAGATAACTGGAGTGACCTGGGTATTGTACATAGGCAAGAAAGACTCCTTCCCTTCTACAAATACAGAGCACATATGGAGGTGTGTCAGAGCACATCAGTTACACTGATGACAGTCGTAGCAAACGCGCAGCTAGATATTGCCTGACGAAATCGAGCAGTACTAGCCAAGGTGGACGAAGCGAACTAATCGCTAACAGTAATGCGTGACATTCTCAAAATGCTGCTGTCAAGCCAGATCACCTGGAGGACGTTCAGTACTAGAAAAGGCCGAGCGAGCGAAGTAGATGTCGGAAGCCGTATGCAACGCCCTCTTGTTTAGGACTCGACGTCGAATGGTCCAGATATGGCCAAATCTCTCTCATCCGCTCTGGCGACATGTCATACTGACTACTCTTGTGCATAAACTCCTCAAGCAGCGCCGTGTTCTGCTGCTGCTTCATCTCAAAGTCGACATAAGGTGAGATCCAGCCTTCGAAGTCGGTACCAAGAATATTCCTCGCCAACTCATGTACCCTGTGATAGTTGCTGTACTCTTCAAACTGCTGCTCGTGTTTCTGCAGGTCCTCTTCGCTGAAGCTGATCGGACATTCGCCTTCGAAACCAATGTCCTTCCAATTTGCTGCATACTCAATGAGACATGCCCGAAGTGGTACCACACCCTCTTCCGAGGCTTCTGCACAGCGTATGAAAAGTTCTCGGAGGAATAGCGGTATCTGCAAAGCTTTCCAACCCCGTATATTCTTCGACCCCGTACAAAGCTCGTAGCCTTTCGCTGTTATGTTGTCCTTTAGCCTTTGTTCTGTGATCTTCTTCTCTTCCTCGTTTAACTCGTCAAAGTCAGGTGGGAGTTTGGGGATCTCCTTCGTACCCAAGGGGTAGTCTTCACCAACAGTAACAAAGTTGGGGAAGCGTGCTTGCAGGAACAATGGTGATACCGGTATAGACTGCCAGTCGATGATCGACAGGATTTGCGCAGGTTTTCCCTCAGCCACATAGACGTTACCCATGTGGAGGTCAGTGTGCCATAGTACCGGTTCAGAAACTTTTCCGATCAGCGTGCGCTCGTTGAGTCGAGACATGACCTTTTTGGTCATATCAAGGACAGCGATGTGCTCCTCAAAAGACCCTCGCGGTGCGCCAGATGTCCTAGCAGACGAGCTCTTTTCCAAGCGCGCAAGCTCCCGCTCAACAAGGGCGATTCCAAAGGAGGACAGATTTTGCCCTACGAAGAAGAGTTAGCCATTGCGTTACTTACCAGATACTCTACTGACATGGTCCCTGGTGGCGCGAATCCGTTATTTTGGCTGCGGTGTGCCATCCTCGATCGCAAGAGGGGCCGATGCAAAATTCTCTCTCAGGATCCATGTCTAAGTCTAAGGTCATGCATGCATTGTTGACCGCCATGGAATGACGAAGGTAAAGGCTTCCGCTTGCTGGGAAGCGGATATCCGTCATCTCACCCTCGAATTCGGCCAACTGTTTCACGACTTGAATCCGGTCCAACTCATCCATATTACCCCATACCTTGAACAGTTGAACCCCAGGAGCCTTCGTCATGATGATGTACTCCGCACCGACAGGGTTCGACGCATCTTCATTCCAGGCGAGGACTCTGGGTACTGGAACCGCAGTACGTGTGTATACTCCACGAGGCGGTATAGTCAGCTCTTGACACGGAACCTTTGCGACAGTTGTAATACCTTACAATAGCGGAGAATGGCCACCTCTGATGCTGTCGTGTACTTCGGCGGTCCAGCGATTGTGCAGGGTATCTTCGCAACAACTTCTGTTCCATCCTCTTTACGCAGTAATAGCGCCTTACTGAACCCGCCTTCCATCTTCTCAATTGCGCATACTGGCGAGTGTTTCCCATCCGTGGTCGCAGCTACGGCGCAAAGCTGATCAACGTCAAACTTGACATATCTCCGATTGGCAGCTTCCTTCTCGTTCGCTAGAAAACGTCCATTCGTGTATTTAAACAATTTTTCGCGGGTGATGGATTTGCCTGTGTCTGTCAGACTGCTGACACGACTAGCATTGCGCGATGGGTACCTCGGCATGTGATGGTGAGCGATCGTGAAGATTGGGTCAATGCACGACGTGCGCTACCGTTGTGAAGGCCTCGCTTTGATATGTTTACAAGAAGCACGGGTAGCATGGCTGTATCATTGATTACACATCGCTGAGTGGTGAGTGAGCTTGCGCCGCGTGTTCCTCCACACTTGCCCCACTTCACGTCAAAGCGCCTTCCGCGAATCGTACCGAGCTGCGCAAGTGAAAGCACCGAATCTCAACTGAAAGCATTGGCATTCCGACATTGCATGTGGAGAATGCGTCTCTCAAGAATCAGTATGTGTCCATCGTCATGAGACCAGGAAACCTCGCTGAACAAGCGCCGCACGAATCAACCAAGAAACATTGGCACGCTATAGCGGAGGAGCAAGAGACTGTACGGGAAAATGACAGATAATCTAAGAGGCAACATAACAATGCATGGTGAATTAACGTGATCGGACGTTCCAGAAGACCGTCGTCGTGGAGTGACACGGCAGAAGTTACTGAAATGATTCAGGCTCAACGGAACATTGCCACGAACACATCAAGTGCGGTCCCAAGCTCTCATATCCATACCTTCACGAAAGTGTTGCGCGACGTGATCCATCCTCGTGGTCACAGATTCGAAAGTCCGCCCACAGAAGCCACACCAGCAGGAGGCAGGTCTGACATCCGACGATTCGACCAACCTCGACCAATCCTGGGGAACTTGGAAGTTTTTCCTCACTGAATCGTGTTCGCCAGCGAGATGTGCATGCAGGACGTGCTGCTTGAGGAGATCTTTTCGAAAAAAGGTACGCTCGATGATGCGCTTATCAGAACAGGGTGCGATTGCGTGCTCACCTAAATGATGGATGGTGTCCATTGCTTCTGAGCAGAAGACGCACTCGGATTGTGACTTGAACTCGTCCGTGAGCATGCATATCCACTCCCGATCGCTATGGCCATGCACACCAGCTTCGTGTCTCTTCCAGTCGAATGCACTCTTGAAAGACCGAGTGCATCCAACCACGGTGCAGGAAAAGGGTGCATCGAATTCGCGTAGACGAGAATGTGTTGACTGGATCGGCGTCTTGGAAGGCAGGTGCTCGTCCATGCCGACTTGGTACCCCTGCGCGCGATGTCGTCGACCTTTGCGCTTTGGCATCGTAGCTTTTCGGGCAGCATTCGCGTTTTGAGATGCTTGATAAGCTGATTCTGTACCAGTATCTTGGTATACATAGGTTCTGGAAGCAACGCTACCAACCGGCGTAGGATAGCCTGCATCGGACGGCGAAGGCAACTGATTGTTGTTGTACGTGTTTATCGCGGGCGGCGAGACGGTACTGAGAGCCGACATATCGTGAATGGTAGCCATAGAGCCCGAATACATGTGGCTCATATTTGCTAATGTATCGCCGCGTCGCTGGCGACGATGGATGTTCCCATCATCTTGCTTAGTAGCATGGCCGTCAAGTACTAAGTTGTCCGTGAGTGGAGGTTCTGGATTCACTGTAGTAGCATGAACTTACAGTACTTATACCGGGTACGAAGATTGCTCAAGCAATTTTTCAATTGATTTTCAGTGTAGCCAGTAGCCTTGATAAGCTCTGACTTCTCTGCAGGCGTAGGATATGGCCAAGATGCATGGGTTGAAAGCCAATCCCGTACAATTTGCGGGCGTCTTTGACGTTCAGTCGGTCCGGAAACGACATTCAATGGTCCGCGTCGAGAGGGTGAGGCTTGTAAGTGACTGTCTTGCTCTTCGATAAGATTTGGACATAACCGTAGTTGATCTTGCCTCCAGAGTTCAACATCGGAAGCGTCTTGATGCAAAAGATCTCTTGCACTATGATCGATAGCGAGGACATCATGATTACACCACAGGCTGTTCAAATCCCTGTATTCTTGCATGACTTCACCAACTTCGGAGTCGATCAGAGACGAAGGCTGCTGTGATTTAGGGGTGCGAACACCAAAAACTCCGTTGAGTGCCATGTCACCTAGGCTGACGTAGCAGCTGTAACAGCCCCAGTTGGTGAAGTCTCTAGAGATATCCTCGAATTGCGCAGTGCCAGCATCGCCATTGAAGGAGCTGTCAAGGTGGGAATGTACTCCATGCACGTTGTGCTCGAAGACGACACCTTGATCGACCCCTTCCAAGGCTCCATGAAAAGGGTAACTGGTAAGAAGTAATGTCAGCACTGTAGAGCTGGAGCTCAAAGAATGGCCTGTAATTTTAAATTCCGCGATTGCGTCTCCGCCAGCCGAAAGATTGAAGGTATGCGCGCGAAGCAAGTGACCTTCGCGTATGGTACGTGAGGTCGAGGGTGTAGTAAATAGACAACGAAAGCTAACTTTACCTTTCTACACCAGTGTTCGCGACAAAACTACTGCCCGATGATGTCGGCAAGGAAGTCGGGAATTCTGAAGGCAGACTGGAATAGACGTTGGTATCAAAGTTTACGATCCCGGTGAACGTCGACATGTTCGCCAAGCCACCAGCCGTGAGCAGGAATCGAGTACAGCACCACAACAAGTGTCTAAAAAGTGATTTTGAGAATACAAAAAAAGGCTGTACCATCTCAGCCGACTTTAAAGACTTACTTCCACTCATAATTATGAGTTTTAAGGCGTCGCAGTCCAGGGCATGCGAATTCGATGCACCGGATTACCTGTAAACCACCACATAATCACTCCGTCTAACGGTTAGCGCCATCAGTCGGGCAACCCACCCTGGCTCGCAAGCTCGTCTCAACGCGCGCAGGGGGGGCAAGAGGCACATTCAGCGCTGGCTAGGCCCAATGGCGATGTAGGCAGCCAATCATTGAGTGCACCAACGTATGTGGCGCAGCGTGACATCCATCTCAATGCAGTGATGATCTGCAGGTCGACTTGTGGCGCAACGTAGCATCGCCATGCACAGCATCACGTGACTGGGGACAACGATGCATGTCGCTTGTACTATCACGTGACTACTACCCTTGACGTATGCCGTTAGATAGATTGTTTCCGTCCCATCTTAGCTAGCACGGTAGACTTATACATGCGATTATATCCCTACACACGCCCTACAGCGGGCCATTCGCCAATAGCGTCGGAATCCTGGATGTTGCACAGAGGCCCGACCATGATAGACATTTGACGATGGCTTTGCATGAACGAAGAAACTCATCAAGAAACGTGTATACATTCGTGGCGGTCATGAGTTGTGTATGCTACTTTCGCCCTCCATGTGTGCTGTTGCCATGTAGGCAGTAAAGGAGAGACATCATGAAGATGAATATCGTAGAGCGATGATGTCATGCGAACATGATTTTGGAAGAATCCTGCCTCGAAACCCATTTACTGATCTGAAAGCCATTCTTGAAGTGTTGCGCAACGTGGTCCATCCTCGCAGTGGTAGTCTCGAAGGAACATTTGCAGAAGCCGCACCAGAGACCATCCGGATTCGGTGAGAACCCGTCTTCAGTCTCCGACCATGCATCTGGAGGCTCAAACCCTTTCTTGGTGTAGTCATTCGCGGTGGAGAGATGCTTCCCTACGACGTGTTGCTTGAGACCATCCTTGCGATCGAACACTCGCGCGCTCTTGTCCTCCGCCAAGCAGACCTGGATATTGTGCTGGTCGAAATGATTCATGTCATGGACAGTATCAGAGCAGAAGACGCACTTCATACCCGGCATGATTAGGGTGTTGTTGAGCAAGCAAAACCAACGAGTGCTGCCGAAATGATGAACTCCGGCTTCGTGCCGCTTCCAAGAGGATGGGTTCTTGAAAGACTTTTGTGGGCAGACTGTGCAGTGATATCGATTGGCGGTATCACCACTGCCATCACTGGATGAGTCTGGTAGTTGCACTGTTGACCCTGTGCCAATCGTAGGAGAAGGCCTTGACATATACCGCCTCTTACCCTTCCGCGAACTGACGGGACTTTCAAGCGAGCCACGATGATGAGAAGCACCAGGAGCGTTGACGTTAACGTCTAGATCATTACACAGTTCATCGAGTACTGAGTAAGAGTCAGTCTTTGGCCGGCATCAAACATCCCTAATACTAACCGTGTCTATCACGCTTTCTAAGATTGGTCAAACGGCAATTCCACTGGGGGATGGTCATGCCAGCAGCAGCCGCAAGCTTTATCTTCTGTTCAGTTGTAGGATATTGATTGAAGGGGTGAGCATGAAGCCAGCGCCTCGCGGGGTCCATGCGGCCATGAGGAAGGCTCCTCCCCGGTTCTTTGGACGTTTCGCATGTTTGAGAGGCAGGCGATCGTTCGTGAAGGGAAGTGAGCGAGGAGTCGTCCGTCCACGTCGAACTTAGTATTGGAGACGTGGAGTTCAGATATGCGGTGGACTCGGCGTTGTCGCACCAATCTACTAATGGACTGAGGTCTCCATAGTCAAAAGAAGATGGCATCAACTCGAGATCTGAAAGCGCTACATGTCCAGGTATGGTAGCTTGAAGAGACTCTTGGAGCCAGGGTGGCTCGCTTAGCTCTTGTAAGGAGGGGTCTGTGAACGCGACGCCGGTACCGAAATCGTCGGTACTAGTAGGTTCGTGGTCGGATCGCGCCAAGAGCCATGGCTCTCGAGCATGCTGTGAATAGTGAGGGGCATCGCTGAAAACTGGCGGCGCTTGATCGCAAGTGTTGTAACTGCCATATCATCAGCATGTCGGCAAGGGTGTTCGCATGGCCAAGCGGCAAGAGAGCAAGATGTGATATATTGCACCATCTTTACGATCAGGATGGGCGACATTATCAAGAGTGATTTGCTTACCACAAGGTCGGAGTGTCGATCGTTGCGGTGGTCGAGATGCAGTAGTGGTTATTGCGTAGGTATGCAGATGACGCTGACGGAGTGCTACGTGTCTGCCTTATTTTGTATATCTGGGGACTCGGCTGGGAAGGGCCCGCCGGCGGGAGCCGTCGATTTGTGTCCATTTTCAGCGTGGGTCAGACCTTCACACGAGTATGCAACCACGGAACGCGATTGAAACGAGTTAAAAAAAAGTTTTGATCGTAAGAGATACTCTCCGCGATTAATCTGACATTATTTCAGCCTTCTGAGATGAGTTTCAAGGCGAGAGTGTTTTTCAAGTTCGAGTAGCCCTTACGCACGGGCCACATTGCTTCGCCGCCGCATGGGAGATGGTGGAGGGAGGAGGGAGCGCTGTTTTGTTTATTTCCTACTGAACGTAATACTTCAACGAATCAATTCATCGGTACGAATGTGTTGTATCGTGTTTGTTCAACATGCAGAGAAATTATTGACGGACGAGAAATGGTCAAGGTAAAAACATCGCAGAATCGATCAGCAACAGGTACCTGGTACCTTCGGATTCATGTATTTCACTGTACGAGGATTGTACATGTACAAATATGCGGTTTTCGACCAAGACTATAGCGGCAGACATTTTCGAACGCAAATCATCACACACGTCAGAAAGATTATAGTTCAAAACACATCATCATATTCTTCTCATGTATATACAGTATAATCTAGGCCGTCAGAACATCGCGCAACCACCTAAGCCTCAGCAGCAGCCAAGATAACATCCGCCGCCTTCTCAGCAACCATGTATGTCGACATGGCAGTGAAGGTACCCGGAATCCTGGGGAAGACAGACGCGTCAACAACCCTCAATCCAGCAGTACCACGGACCTCGAAGTTGCTGTTAAGGACAGCCATCTTGTCATCATCAGCACCAATGGGGCAGGTAGAAGAAGCGTGGTGACCCCAAGCAACATCCTTTGCGTACTGAGCAATCTTCTCGGGGGTATCAACATCCTTGCCAGGAAGGACCTCATCGATGGGGACGAGCTGGCGCTTGAAAGAGTCACGAGCGAGGTTAACAGCCTCGGTGAGGGCAGTAAGGTCCTTGTCGTAGTCGCCAACACCAGTGTCGAAGTAGTTGTAAACAATGTCAGGCATGTCAAGAGGGTCGGCAGATGCGAGCTTGACGGTACCAGCGTTGTTGCGGGGGTGAGCCTTGAGGATGGCCCAGGTGAACCAGTCGTGCTCGGCAGTGGCATTGTAAGCGTAGTTGGGGAAGTAACCACGGAAGTTGACGGGGCCACCGAAAGCAAAGATGTCGTACTCGTCACGCTCGGATGCGCTGGACTTGTAGAACATGGTTGCGCCAAGACCGGGGGAAGCGTAGATACCACGGTTGCCCAAGACGCTGGTCTCCCAGCGGTCCATGCAGGCGTCAGGCTGGCTGTTACCGAATGTGCAGCCGTTGAGTGCGGAGAAGTCGGCGGGGGCTTTGCCCTGGACGTTGATCTCGTAGTGGTCCTGGAGGTTGGTTCCGACACCGGGGAGGTCGACAACGACGGGGATGTCGAATTGGGAGAGCTCATCGGCAGGGCCGACACCACTCAGCTTGAGGAGTTGAGGGGAGTTGTAGGTTCCACCTGCGACGATGACTTCCTTGGAGGCAGTGGCGGAACCAGCCTCACCCTTGGCACCGTTGGACTTGGGGCTGGCCTTGTAGAGGTACTGGCCGTCGAGGAACTCGACACCGGTAGCGCGGGGAGGAGTGACGTCCTGGTCAAAGGTGACCTTGGTCACGTGGCAGTTCATCCTGACATCGAGAGGGTACTTCTTGCTGCCGTCGTCGGCCTTTGCGTCACGGACAGCGAGGACAAACTCGCGGGATCCGCCACGCTTGCCATCGGAGGTAGAGAGAGGGATCTGGTAGAGAGCGGGCTGCTTGTCACGGCTCTCGGTGTCGGCGTTGGCATCACCGGCGACCAAGGTACCAAGGTTGACAATGGCGTTGGTAGCGTTGCTGAGAGCGAAAGCGGCACCACCGACCAAGCTGAGAAGCTGGGGGTCAGAGGTGACGATATCGATGGGGGCGTAGTCGGTTCCTAGCCAGCCATCGTAACCGTGACCCTTTTGGCCGGGAAGGAGGTATTGGTTCTTCTCGAGCTTCGTGAAGTACTTGCGCATGTTGTCGGCTGACCAGGAGTCGTCACCAGTGATGGTGGCAACATTGTCAAAGTCGGACCGGTGAGGGTAGACGGCAATGAGAGCGTTGTGCGCTGTGCAGCCACCAAGGGTACCAGTGCGGGGGTATAGCGTACCCTTCATGGTAGAACCCTCTGGTGGGTTAAGACCAGTGTACTCACCACCATCGGGTGTCTCGTAGGTAGTCTTGAAGTCGCGAGCTTGCCTCTCCTCATCAGCGTAGTGCTTGACGAAGAAGTTCCAGCTCAAGTTGGCGTCTTCCGAGGACCTCGCGCTGAAAGCGGGAACGGTGTAGTTGGCGTTTGCGCCCTGGTCGTCACCGGCTTCGATGAGAAGGGTCTTGTGACCAGCGAGGGCAAGGCGGGCGGCCAGAGGCTGTAGTTTGTCAGTGATGATTCAATCCATCCAAGTATACTTTGACTTACACCACCACCAGCTCCAGAACCGACGACTACGTACTCATAGCCGGTAAGATCGACAGCTGCCGCAAGGATAGGGAAAGCGGCGACGAGGCCGATTAGACGAGGGAAGAACATGGTGATTAGGTATTACTTTGCTGTCCAGGGTGGGTATTTAAAGAAAGAATGTGACAGAGGCTGTAAAGTGGCCTGCTTGATCCCATATCGTGCAGTCTCGCCAGTCTTTATAATTTCCCGCATCCCATCAGTCGATCGCATATGTCGGCTTTCCCCTGGAATAGGGGATATCTACCGGTGGTGGCCTGCAATGCCGAACGACCTCGACCTCGGACGAAACTCATTGGAAGGCGGTTACCAAACAGATGGTGTTCAGTAGTTGCGGTGGTTGATCCTTTCTCGGTCTGGAAAGCAATGCTTTGAGTCGGTCCGGTGCGTAGATCATACGGGTCCTCCATGGATACCCTGTACTTCGCAATTTGCGCCACGGGAGGGTACCGTCGAACTCAGAACGATTATGACGACGGTCCGTACCTGTGCTAGCTGAGAGACCTTGGAAATTCTTGCTTTTGGCACCTCGAATCTATTCGAAGAATTCATTCGAAAGTGACCACTAGATTGAGAGGCTTCTCCATCCAGACATTTTGCGATTGCATTCAGGTATGGATCTTGTGGCAAGACACGTCCGCGGAAAGGCGACGCCTTCCCCATTCTGCTCCCGCACCGACCTCAGAATCCAGTCTATTCCATGTCTCTTCCCAGGTCTGTCAATTCCAATTTCTCCTGTCAGGGACGCTTACCCTGGTCTGTCAATTCCCAATTGCCGGACGTTCCTCCCGCTTCGGAAGGGACCTCCACGGCTACAACGGATGTGGAGTAAACGGGCCAGGGACAAACGTGCGCTAGCACCTAGCGTGGGTTAGCGTCAACGTGCATTGAAAACCCTCTGCACCTGGACAGGCTTGGACTTTCGCGATTAGGCGCCCAGCATCGCACCCAGGTAACGATTATCGCCAGAGCGGACACTGGAAATAACGTGGTCATCTGTAGATTGCCGACTTCATCGCCGAGGAACAAATGACGAAGCATACCACGTGGGATGATAGTCATAGAACTGACGCAGGAACCAGCTTTTTGTCTCCTTGGCCCACGAGGCTGAGGGCAAAAGTGGGACTGACTCAAATATTCTACCCACCAAACTGCTCGCCATGCGAACGCCATGTTGAATTCGGCATTCGGGTCTAACTCCACAACACCTTTTTCCTTAATGCTCCACTCGCTCCAATCGCATGCGTTAAGGCGTACGTTCCTGCGTTCTCCCGCCCGGTAGCTGCGCCTCGTCCGAGAACTCTCCTATCCGTTACCAGGTTGTTCCCTTCCATCCCATCCGCCCCGAAACTATTCTTATTCCTTCATTCTATGGTTGCCCAGGCCATACAGCGTCGGCGATGCTCCTTACAAGCTGCAGCTTCTTCCTCATATCCTCGTAGCCGAGACTGTTACCTTCGGCGTGTGACGCGAAGCCGCACTGGGGGCTGACGCAGCATTGCTGAAGGGCATCTTCACGGGATTGGCCGGTACCCTTTGCGATCCAATCAGCAGCCTGGTTCACCCTTGCGATCATCTCATCCTTGTCCTCAAGCTTGGGGAACTTGGATGTGATGACACCGAGAACGACGTTCTTGTCCTTGGGAAGGTGTGCTAGTGGCTCGAAACCTCCTGCGCGGGGGGTGTCGTATTCCAGGTAGTATGTGTCGACGTTCAGGTCCTGATATGGTCAGTACGAAGGAGGTGTTGCACATGGGGGAGGATGGGTACCTGGAACAGTTTCTTGGCGATGTTGTCGTATGCGCCCTCTGAGAAATGTCGGCTGCCGACGTAGTTACCGCGGCACAAGTGGATGCCGAGATGCATGTCATCGGGACGTACGAAACACTTGTTGTAGAACTTGACATATGCATCAAACATCTCGTCGGCAGTCTTGTCGTTCGTCGTGTCGGCCTTCCAGCCCGCAAGCATATCTTCTGAGCAGAAGTAGGCCAGGTTTGGGTCATCGATTTGAATGTTCCTGATACCCTGCGCGTGGAGGATCTTCAGCTCCTCCTGGTATGCCTTCGCGACATCCTCAAAGTATTCCTCGTCATTTGCATAAACGTCCTTGGGGTAGGCTCTTCCGTTCATGTAACGGAAGTGGTACCACGATGGCGAAATCAACGTAATCTTGATGTTCTTCCACTCGCTCTCAGGCAAAAGGCTCTTCATAAGGTCGACTTCGCGCTGGTTGCTCGACGTGCCGGGGTGCTTAATCTTGTCGACGCAGACAGTTACATGGTTAGGGACCTGTTTCGCTTCCATGAAGGACTTGGTATCAGGCGCATACGCGCGGAACATGTCCACGGTGTAGCCCTTCAAAACGCCGAGTTGGAGTTCCTTCATTCCATGCAGTGTTTCGAAGAAGGTACCCCAGAACATGTGCCTGCATAAACAATCAGTCTAGACTTGGACTAGCAGCATGCAGCCGCCTTACCTGGTGTACTCTCCACTCGACACTACCTTGAGACCGCAATCTTGCTGAAACTTGACTACCTCTGCGACAGTCTTGTCCTCTAGAGGGACGAGCTCCTCTGGCTTAGCTTTGCCTGATGCGACATCGTAACGCTTCTGCACAAGCTCCTGGGGACGGAGCAATGAGCCAACGTGCTCGGCGCGGAACGGGGGGCTTCTCTTGAGGGACGACGACATTTTCAATGCGATAGTATGGATAGCTCAGACAAAGAGTATGAGATGAGAGCGAAGCAATTGGCAGGAGAAAACTTTGCCCCTCATCTTGTCCACTTGCCCCGCAATCACCACCGCTCATTAAGGACCGCTGGACCCTTCATCAACCCCGAAAGACCCATGCTCAGACGCCGGAGAGCTAGTAAGCGAGGCTTAGTATATAGAGCGTTGACGGGATTGGAAGAGCGATTGAAGGTGGCGGGTAGGCAATGTGGGATGCAGCTCGAGCTATGGTGGGGCCTTTGATCGATAAGAGAGGCGCCGCCCGATGTCAGCGCCGAGAGCCATGTGGTCAAAGAAGCTGGCGTCTTTAGGTTTCGCTTCCATGATGCCCTTCTTACCACAATCACATACTCTCGGATGCGCGCAAATAGCTTCTAAGTTTGTCGCAGAGAAGAAGCGATACCGCGAATACGTTCTGTTCTGGGTACTTTGAGGCGCAAGGCGTGTGCGGAGGCAGATTCGAACAAGTCGAACATGAAGATCTGGCTATGCTGTGGGGTGTACTGGGAAGTTCACAGTCCCTTTGGCAAACCAAAACGACCTGAAGCTGCAGACCAGCAGTTGTTTGCTGTGCCACGAGAAGGCGACACAAAGACACAATATGCCCCACCAAAGGTGTCGCATCGATGAGAATGACGCAATGCTCTGGGGACCCAGCATCATCGAGCCGCGGATATAACTACGAAAAGAACAGCTTTCGTAAGCAACGGCGGCAGTTACAACGGCGAAAGAGAGTGAATTCCGAGTTTCGGGAAAGCGCTACCCCGCGCTAGGTGGGATGTCGATAGCTACATATATGCTGTCATTGCCTCCGTGGCTTCAAGTCCGGACATTGACCTGAAGAAACATCCACGCAACACCTACAATCGAAATACAAGCAAGATGACGCGAGTTCTACTCACAGGAGGAAGCGGCTTCATCGCCGCACACACACTCGATATCCTGCTAGACCACGGACACAGCGTGGTTACCACGGTGCGCACGCAGGAGAAGGCGGACAAGATTAAGGAGTCTTACAAGAGCGCAGTCGACAAGGGCCAATTGAGTTTCGCAATTGTGCCGGACATTGCACAGCCGGATGCTTTTGAGAAGGCAGTCATCTCAGACCCTCCGTTCGAGGCTGTACTTCACACTGCTAGTCCGTTCCATTTCAATGTTACAGACGTACAAAAGGTGAGTACACTTTGAAGCCTTGAGATGGGGCTGTCCACTAATGAAATACAGGATTTGATTGACCCTGCTGTCATTGGAACAACTGGAATCTTGAAGTCGATCAAGAAGAGCGCGGTACGTTGATATGCATGAGGCACCTTCTGCGCGCATGCTGACATGACCATGTAGCCTTCCGTCAAGAGTGTCGTCATCACATCCTCGTTTGCCGCCATCGTCAACGGAAGCAAAGGCTTCTGGCCGGGACACTCGTACTCAGAGGACGATTGGAACCCTATCACACAAGATGAGGCGCAGGAGAACCCGATGATGGGATACAGAGCGAGTAAGACGTTTGCTGAGAACGCGGCATGGGAGTTTGTCAAGAACGAGAAGCCCAACTTCACCATCTCTACGATCAACCCCCCGATGGTGTTCGGGCCAATTGTAAGTTGCAGAAGGCTCGTTCAAACACTTTCACTGACAGAAGACAGGTACACGCTCTAGACAGTCTCGACAACATGAACACGTCAAACCAGCGAATCCTGTCGGCTGCACAGGGCAAATTCAAGGACGAAATCCCTGCCAGTGGAGTACATCTGTGGGTGGATGTCCGCGATGTTGCAGAGGCACACGTAGCTGCGTTCGAGAAGCCAGACGCTGCCAACAAGCGCTTCTTCGTCACGGCTGGCTACTTCTCCAACAAGGAGCTATGCCAAATCATCAAGAAGAACTTCCCAGAGTTCAAAGACCTGCCGAGCGACGACACACCTGGCGGTGACTACCCAGAAGGCACTCCTGAGAAGGGTCTGTATGGATACAACAACAAGCGCTCCATTGACGTTCTTGGCCTAAAGTACAAGACTTTTGAGCAGTCAATCGTTGACTCTGTCAAGTCATTCCAGAAAAAGGGGTTGTAGAGATCAACGTGAATTGCGCGTAATGGCAGACGTAAAATATTGGTACGATTCGATTCGCTATGTATACTATCTAGGCGGCGCGCTTGATCGAGCGCAAAAGCATCTGTCGCATGCATAGTGATCTAGAAGACGAGATGTCAGCATTTGAAATCCTCGCACGATAGAGAATACAAAGTGGAGATGAGCAATCAGCCTGTTGAGCTTGAATTATTTTGGACTTCACCGTGGTTTACGAAGCCACTCGGAAGTTATCGTTTGTGTTGATCATCATGTTGCAAGGAGATGAAGATGAATGGGAAGTGCTTACCTGTAGAATGTGAGCGCGACGCTGACCACTGCAAGCTGCATAAAGCTTGATGTTGGCCGGCGATGGCGCTCTGGAGTGGAAGAGCAAGCACGACGAGCTTGGAAGAAAATGACAGCGCTCGGCTCAAGGTCGGGCCGAGATCGTACCAGGACTAGCGCGTGCCCCACCAACGAAGCCCATCGATGGCGGGCAGTGACAGCAAAAGCCCAAACACTTTCTCGAGATTTCCACGTCACATCGTCATATCGCCGTCGCGTAGCAATTCCCCAACTCCGCAACCAACTCCAGCCTCCATCAGACAATTCACGTCGAGGAACCGCAAATATGTGTAAGTTGTCCGCGTCTACCCCACTACCACGGCTCCGATGCGCATGCGGTGCAGGTGTACAGCTTCGGATCGTGATCGCAAGGCTACACCGAAACTTGCGGAACTCGTAGCAGGCGCCTTCGATGTCGTTCTCGTATCGCGTTCTCTTTACACGCTCAAAACTGACTGCTCCACCTTAGCCGACTTCAACGCCATTGCTCGTATGTACCACCCGCTGCATACACCGCGCACGACCCCGCCTACACATCCTCCTCGCACGCTCCACCAGCCAAACCGCGAACGCGACTGACCCACGCTCCAGAGCAGTTCGTCGAGTTCTACTACAAGACCTTCGATGGTAACCGCGCTGGTCTCGGTGCCCTCTACGTATGCGACTCAGATGAAACGCAGATGCGCGAAAAGCAGCAGATGGCTGACAAATAAATACAGAAGGAGCATTCTATGCTCACCTTTGAGGCACAAGGAACTCAGGGTTCAGCCGCCATCGTAGAGAAGCTCCAGGTAACAATGACTCCCTGATACGCAACAGGGGCTGGGGCTAATTCGGAGAAGAACCTGCCATTCCAGGAGATCCAACATCGCACCGACACCGTCGACGCTCAGCCTTCTGCTGACGATGGTATCCTCGTTCTGGTGACTGGTGCGCTTTTGGTAAGTCGATCCCTTGTATTGCATTCCGTCTCATTTTAACATCAAACAGCTTGGGGGCGAGTCCAAGCCAATGAGCTTTACTCAGGCTTTCCAGCTCAAGAACGATGCGGGCAACTGGTTTGTGCTAAACGACGTTTTCCGTCTCGTATACCCCGCCGCATAGAGTGCTCTCTCTTCTCTCAGCTTCGCTTCATGGCGGTGGTTACAGGTGCACATAGAGAATCGCGGGGTCTTTGCGACTTTGCCACGACTGACGCGGTTTCCTTTTACGGGTTTTGAGCATTTTGGCAGGGGAAATGGATGGCGGATGATGATGGGGTTGAGAGCCGATGCGTGGCGCAGTCGCCTTGGGGAACGTAGCTACTTACGAGTTCTACATGATTGGGTCGAGAGCTGAAATCATTTAAAATTGACATTGCACTTTCTTACAACACGTCCGTCTACCCCACGTTACGTTCATGTCATGCATATGCACCGAGCCCTTTTCCACCTGCATACGGGTTTGTTTTCCGCTGCTCACTTGGCGGAAGAGAGCTTTGCCGCCGTTTCTCCGCCCCGCGCTCACTTGCCGAAGTGGAAGCTCCACGCTTTCCGAGGAACCTGGAGCTTAGCTTAGCTCACAACGACCATGGCTTCATTGTGCGGCAATAGCCAGGGCATTTTGTTCCTTGCTCGCCTCTACCTTACTCTCTGTCTCCCGTTTCGTTGATACCCTCACATCTGTCTTTTAGCGTTTCCTCACAGCAGAGTGTTAGTGACAATGGCATTCGTACAAAAGGGTCTCAAGAACATCCTCCAAAAGAATCCCCACGACGTCGTCTTTCTATCCGCACTCCGCACACCAGTCACACGAGCGAAGAAGGGTGGATTGCGGGATGCTTACGATCATGAACTCTTAGGCGCCGTATGTCAATAGTCACCCAGACACAGATGCATGTCCAAGTACTAAAACCATCACCCCAGGTCCTCGCCGCCACGCTGAAGAAGTTCCCCAACCTCGATCCCGCGAAAATAGACGACGTATGCATCGGCACCGTCCTGGCTGAGCTTGGTGGCTCAAAAGCCGGTCGCATGGCTGCCAACCACGTCGGCATACCGACCACCACGTCCTTCAGCACCGTCAACCGTGCTTGCGCATCTGGTCTCAGCGCCATAACGTCGATTGCGAATTCCATCGCCGTGGGCCAAATAGACGTCGGCATTGCTGGCGGCATGGAAAGCATGACACGGAACTACGGGTCACGAGCTATTCCCACGGAGCTCTGGCCCGAGATGAAGGACAGTCCGGTAAAAGAAGCTCGAGACTGTATAATGAGCATGGGCATAACATCGGAGAACGTCGCCTCGCGATATGGAGTAAGCAGGGCAGACCAAGACGCATTTGCAGCGCAATCACAGCAGCGCGCCGCAAAAGCGCAAGCTAGCGGGAATTTTGACGATGAGATTGTACCGGTCACTACGCGCTGGATTGAGCCTGAAGTCCCCGAGACACAGAAGAGCGTGACGGTGCACAAGGACGATGGCATCAGACCGACCACGACGATTGAGAAACTAGCAGCCATGAAACCAGCCTTTAGCAAAGACGGCACAAGTACAGCCGGAAACTCGTCGCAGGTTTCCGACGGCGCGTCCGCAGCTCTCATGATGCGTCGTTCCACTGCTACCACGCTCGGTCTTGAATCCGCCATTGTGGGGAAGTGGGCGGGTACACAGGTTGTGGGGTGCTCGCCGGATGAGATGGGCGTTGGTCCCGCTTTGGCCATACCGAAGTTGCTCGATTATACTGGTCTTACGGCGGAGGATGTCAATGTTTGGGAAATCAACGAGGCGTTTGCTAGTCAGGCTTTGTACTGCGTGAGGAAATTGGGATTGGAGAGTAAGATGGATAGGATTAATCCGAATGGAGGCGCGATTGCATTGGGTCATCCGCTTGGGGCGACGAGTGGGAGGATGTTGGCGACGCTGTTGAGTGAGATGGGGAGGAGTGGGGAGCAGGTTGGTGTGCTGAGTAAGTGTATAGGGACGGGTATGGGGATGGCTAGTTTGATTGTGCGGGAATAAGGGGAATGGATGTCTATTCAATTCATGAATTAGTTCTCTTTCCTGAAGAAAAGATTAGGCTTATTGATTAATTTCGCCATGGGTTGTATGTAGATCTGCTTCGAAGCTGGTACACTGGGTATCGAATTAAGAAAAATGCAACGCCGTTGTATCGTACACTGATTGATTCCGTCTTGCGGCTCCTGGTAGGCCTTCATGCTTTTGATTTCTTGCTCTTCTTCTTCGATCGTTCGGCCAAGATCTCGTCAAGGAAACTCTTTGGTTTGGTTCGCGCTTTCTTGGGAGCTGGTTGCGTCACGTCTGCTTCCGCTTCTTCGTCATCGTCTTCTCGCTTGACAGGTTTCGCGTCTGCCTGAACTTCCATGACTACCTTTTCTCTCGACGCCCCGTCTTCTTCCTTCACTGTGCCGCCTCCTAACCTCTTTGCCCTCGTCTCTTCATCCTCGTCATCGCTGTCGACTTTCTTGGCTTGTTGGTTCTCTTTCTTTGCCTGCCTTTTGGACTTGAATGTAGCGGCCCTCCCCTCGTCGTCATCATCCGACTCTTCCTTCTTCGCAGCCTGCTTCCTGTACTGCTGTGCTTTGGCTGCTGCAGTGGGTCTCGCAGCTTCCTGCTTTGCAGAGATATGGGCTTTTGCTTTCTTCTTCCCGATCAGCTGCTGTAGAAGCTTATCGTCCGAGGTAACTATCCTGCGGGTAAAGCTGCCATCTTCGATATCCTTGGGGAGTATGCCGCCAAGACCGATTCTGTAGGATGGAGTTAGGATCGCGAATAGATTCATGGAACATGAAAACGGTTGCATCGGATTTACCTGTCGTGAGCATAGTTTTGTTTCAGATCTTGGTCATCGTCTTCATCCCGTGACTGGGTAGCATTATTTGTGGTGTCCCAGTCAGGACGCGATCCGTACAGCGACGCCAAGAGCTTCTGTCCTTTTGCTTCGAGCAGACTTATGCGGTTTGCGATGACATCGCCGTCGTTTGTTCTCTTAGACATGTCTTTTGCGACTATGTGGGGGCTCGAGATAGATCAAGCTGGGGCCTGACATTGGAAACATTTGAAGTTCCCGGCCGCGATATTTTTGAGGACCCGGTTCATTCTCGGCGCGCTAGCAGACGTCCGCAACAGCCCTGTGAAGCAAGCAACACCAGCTGCTAGTACTCCAGCTTTAACCCCCCCTCTCAACCCACCTCTCGATATACCCCGACGTGTGTCTGCCGCTCAGACATCATGTACAACTTTGCCCGCGCCCGGCCGCTGGCTCGCGCTGTTCGCGCTGCTGCTGTACGCATACACACGGGCCTAGCCCACCTGCAAAGCTGCGAAAGCCTCTTACGCAGCGTGCACCACAAATGAGGGCCATGGGCTAACAAGGTGCCAGGAGACACCACTGATGCGCTCCCAGCAAAGGAGAGGGCTCGCCATCCACGAATACAGGTCCGCTGCCCTGCTCGAGTCGGTACGCAAATAGTCCACCTCCACCGCATATCCCCCAATTTCGCAGCACGGGTCAGATGTCTAACCAGGATTTCAGTATGGCATCGGCGTGCCCAAGGGTGGTGTCGCTACCAGCGGCGCCGAGGCAGAGAAGATTGCCAAGGACATTGGTATGCGACAACAAGAGTAGAATGCACCTGTTCTGGACTAATGCGCACAGGCGGAGAGGACGCCGTGATCAAGGCCCAGGTTCTTGCTGGAGGTCGTGGAAAGGGCACCTTTGACAATGGCTTCAAGGGCGGTGTCAGAGTCGTCTACTCGTATGCTACTACACGACCACACCCCACGCACCGCGGCCACCCTCTAACATAGCATGCAGTCCCCGCGAAGCCTCCATCCTCGCCGACCAGATGATCGGCCACAAGCTCATCACCAAGCAAACGGGAGCCGCCGGCCGGCTCTGCAACTCCGTCTTCATTGTCGACCGCAAGTTTGCCCGCCGCGAGTTCTACCTCGCTATCCTCATGGACCGCGCGTCACAAGGCCCCGTCATTGTCGCTTCGTCGCAAGGAGGCATGGACATTGAGACAGTCGCAAAGGAGCACCCAGAGGCTATCATCACCACCCCGATCGACATCCACAAGGGCGTCACCGACGACATTGCCCGCAACATCGCAACCGAACTCGGCTTCTCCGAGCAGTGCATCGAGGACGCCAAGGACACCATCCAGAAGCTGTACAAGGTCTTCATGGAGAAGGACGCCACCCAGATTGAAATCAACCCCCTCTCTGAGACCACCGACCACCAGGTCCTCGCCATGGACGCCAAGCTCAACTTTGACGACAACGCCGATTTCCGCCAGAAGGAGGTTTTCGACTGGCGCGACATCACCCAGGAAGACCCCGAGGAAGTCAAGGCCGCTAAAGTCGGTCTCAACTTCATCAAGCTCGACGGTGACATTGGCTGCCTCGTCAACGGAGCCGGTCTCGCCATGGCCACCATGGACATTATCAAGCTCAACGGCGGCGCGCCAGCCAACTTCCTCGACGTTGGCGGTGGTGCTACACCCGAAGCTATCAGGCAGGCGTTTGACCTGATTACCAGCGACCCCAAGGTTACTGCCATCTTTGTCAACATCTTTGGTGGTATCGTCCGTTGCGATGCTATTGCTAAGGGTCTGATTCAGGTTGTCAATGAGATGAACCTCAAGACTCCGGTTATCGCTAGGTTACAGGGTACTAACATGGAGGCTGCTCACAAGCTTGTAAGTTCTTTTGTTTTTTCCACACTTCGATTCGACGAAGAAGAGGATATTATGCTGACACATATTTTCTATCTAGCTCAACGACTCTGGTCTTAAGATCTTCTCCATCGATGACCTACAGGCCGCCGCCGAGAAGTCGGTGCAGTTCTCCAAGGTTGTCAAGATGGCGAGAGACATTGATGTCGGTGTTGAGTTTACACTTGGTATTTGAGCACTTTCAGGCTAGAGTTTCCCCTTTTTGCGGGCTCGGCTGACTGGGTGCGAGTATGACAGGTTTGTAGATATAGCGGCCAGTGAGCCGATGTTCTGAATCCTTGTTTGGTCGATGATGATGGCTTTTGTTGTGTGTGTGTGTGTGTGTGTGTGTGTGTGTGTATGCTGTGCCGCGCGACCTGCGTGTGCTTTTTCTTGTGCTTTGATGAGCTGTGCCACCGAGGTATCGCCTTACCACGCTGCAAATGCAGACTTCCACGTACAAGACCAGAGCTCGTTCTGTGGATCAAAAATATAATGACAAAAATTCTGGCGTTTCAGAACAGTCTCATCTCAATGTCCTTTTTACATAGAGCGCTGTCTTGCTTCGTGGACAATCACTGTACTGCGAACTTGTTCATCCACATTTCCAATCTGCTCATCCCTCGCAGCACTTACACATTGTACAAGTATTGCAGAGCGTTTCACCATCCGATCGAATAACAAAGACAGACTCGAAATCATCTAACAATTCCGGGATAGTATGTAAGAGGGATCTCAGTAGCGTGCATCTACAATTGGACTACCAATAACTATCGGTGGACAATACTTGTTGATGTGTCCGTAGTCCGGCGATAGCCTTCGCTTGAAAATTCGATCATTACAATACACTTGATCACATTGCTCATACTCCAAACTGGCCTTTGAGCGTCAGCTTGAGCAGGTCGTCCTTCACAATCTCTTCTTTGCGGCTAAGCAGATCCTCCACGTCCCAGTTTGCCGCGATGAAGCGTCCGCTCAGGAACTTGGCCTTCTCTTGACACAGCCAAACGGCAGTACCGCCAACAAGCTCGGGGCTATCCTGGTTGAAGAGCGATCGGAAGGGCTCGCGGAGCATATCAGTAGCGACTAGGCCTGGGTGCATCGACACCGCGGTAACATTTGGGTACTCAGCAGCGACGTACGTAGCCAGGGCATCTAGAATATACTTTGACATGAAGTATGCGCCGAGCGGTGGAACCGTGAAGAACGCTTGCCACGAGCTCACATTGACAATACTGGCAGGTGTATCGGGGCTCGGCAACAAACGCAGGAACGAGCGGATGAGCAGATAGTTGCCTTTTCCGTTGATCTCCTACAACCGAGGTGTCAGCTCCATCCAAAAACGACTCAGTTTACTGCGGGTTAAGGAACGGGATCGGATCTTACAAAGTTCCTCCACCATTGATCGGGGTCTGTGTCGTGCAGTTTCGGTCCGTCTCCTGTCATGGCACCGGCGGCGTTGATGAGGACATCCGCATGGCCGAACTTGTGCCGGATCGCTTCGAAGGCAGCCTCAACGGCTTTGGTGTCGGAGATGTCGAGAGCATATGTCAATGTTTCGATGGTGGGGTTGGACGCCTTGACGGACTTTTCGGTAGCTGTGAGCTTTTCGGCATTCGAAGCTAGGAGTACTACACCCTTTACGCCTGCCTTTACAAAGGCTGGTACCATGGCCTGCGGGACTAAGTCTTAGCACACGCAATCATGACACCAGGTTGTTGTGAAAGGCGATGTGCTCGGTGAATAATGTTTCAACATACCATGGCTCCAATACCACGCGAAGCTCCAGTGATAACTGCAACTTTTCCTGCCAGGCTATGCTCTGGGCTACTGGGATCGATTGCAGGGTATACGTCTTGGTGTGCATTTCTGGTGAACTGCATGGACGTGACATAGAAATCTTTCGGAAGTTTGCTTAGGTCTGCCATGGTGGGTGTGGTTGCAATTGGGCTTTGGAGGATCGGGAGGATACGACCGATATGGTGGAATGCTGTACAAGAAGGATACTAATCAGAGATGCTACGGAACCCAGACGATAGCGATAACTTATGCGAGGCTTCAGGAGTATGAGGCCCCGCATTTAGGCCGCGATACTCGCCTCTGCGCGTCGTCGTATCGCACCGGGAAGTATTCCCAGTACATCCATGTTTCACAAGCGTTGGCACGTCAGTAGCGGGGAGCCCGGCAGTGGTCGTTAAAGTTGCGGAACGTCCCAAGCGAAGCCAGCCGTGAATGATTGCGAGGAGGAACGGGATGATCATATCTTTATTCGAATTAGCGTAGGATCGCCGACCTTGCTCTTCTCACTCACCTGAGATCGATGCAGAACGCCAAATTTCCACAACGGTCCGAAATCCACTGGATCCTCCATTAGCATCACTCTGCTCGTCCAACAAATCGTGTTCGCGTTCGAAAGCTTGACCAGAGATGCGTACAGTCGTACACAAACTTCATTCCAACGCGCGATCTGTCATCTCGGGCGAAATCCTGAGGTGTGACAGCATCCATGGCGATGCACGTAGCCGAAAACGAGACAAAGTGATATCGAGTATCAGGGGCAGCAAGACAAGTCGTGATGGTGGAGACGCACTGCATGTTCTTTTCTCAGCACGCCGATCATCAGGATGCGCATCCATGCGGGTGAATGGGGCTCCGGGAAATTCTGGGACGATCTTATACGAGGCAGTGAAGGTAAAGCGTTCCACTCCCTTGGAGCCTTGGACCAGACCGTTTGCATTCCGTACTTGAGGGCACCAATAATGCTAAAAGCTCCCCCACCACTTCATGCCCGTCCAGCGTTGCGGGTTGTTTGAGAGAACCAACTCCAACGTATTACAATTCAACACTCATTCTGATCGATAGAAAATCATCATTATGGTGCTTCATGAGGTGAGTTGAACTAACATCAGACGTGTTTATGTAGAGCTGATTGTGGAGAAGGATCTAGGCCCAAACCTCACGGCGACGGTCCTCACGACAGGACTGCTGGCCTTCATAACGATGGGTATGCGCACATATGTCAGAATCACCAATCGGAGCTGGGCTCTGGAGGATTGGATAATGGCAGTTGGATGCGTACGTATCCATCCTTCTCGAATATCAAAAATCTTGCAGCTCACTCGTCACAGTTGCCTCTTATGACTCTTACCATTGTCACGACTATCGGTTCTTACTACGGCATCGGTGCCAAAGACAGTACTTTCGCTCGGCCTGGCAATCAGAAATATGTGGAGACCGCGTACTTTTGGTTCTTCTTCTATCAAATCTTTTACTGCACCTCCATCATCTTCATCAAGCTGAGCATCGCCTTCATGTTGAACCGGATAGCTGGAAGAAGGATGATTTTCATCTACATCAACTACGCCATCATGGGTCTCTGCGCAGCTACCAACTTGGCAGCCATTCTTTACATCATCTTCCAATGTCATCCTGTTGAGTAAGTACAAAGCGATCCTCGATGGCTCGAGCACTGCTAATCGTTCAACCTTCAGGGCCGCTTGGAGAGCCGATCTAATGGCAGAAGGGACATACTGCGAGCCATCAGTCTACTTGCAAAACGTTTACTTCTTCTGCACATCGGTCAACATTTTCACCGATTGGGCTACCGCACTCATGCCAATCGCTCTCTTGTGGAACGTGCAAATGAACAGAAACACCAAGATCTCAGTTGCTGGCATTCTGGGCTTAGGTATCTTGTATGACAACCATGATCCTAACCATCGTTCAACGCTAACAGCCCCTTAGCACATCAGTCTCTGGCCTAGTTCGCCTGAAGTACACCGTCGGCCTGACAAGTAGCCATGACTACCTCTATGGCCTCGCGAACATCCTCATCTGGGGCTACGCCGAACCTGCCCTTGGCATGCTTGTCGGCAACATCGCAACCCTTCGCCCACTCTTCCAACGTCTCCTGCACCTCGGCTCAAGCGGCTCTCAGCAGCCTCACTCCGGAGGTACACCGCATGGCATTAGCGGCGATGGTGGCCGTTCACATCGCTACAAGCCATTTGACCACGAAGTCGAGCTTGGCACCATCGCGGACAACAAGGATGGGGTTATTCCTTCGATTCAGGTTCGCGGCGGTCGTAGTAGCGTGTCGAGCGATAGCGAGAGCCAGAAAGAGATTCTGGAGAAGAACGATCGGTTTGTGAATAACAATAAGGATAGTATTGTTGTTAGTCGGCATGTTGAGGTTAGTCGAGAGTGAGGAGTCGCTGGTTAGCGGCTTGATGATTGCACCAGCAAACGAAAAGAAGAATGTATGCTTCACCACTCAATCGAGACACTCTGAACTCTTTTTTGCAGTATTTCGTGGCACGTTGATAGCCATGTTGATTCGATCTCAATCACTTAATCGATACTTATGCCTCATTGAAGCCCAGCCGGTGCCACAGCAGTGTAAGAAAACCTGATTCCACTATCCTGCTTGATCATGTCGTCCGTATAGTTCATTCTCAGATCATTCAAGTACTTGCTGAACCGGCTACCGACATTCATAGCATGCTTGAGATGTGAGTACTGGAAGCGTTGTCCCCTAAATTCCGCTAATTGCCTTGCGATGGTGATTGCGTTGCGAATCTCTCGTCCATTCATAGGTTCCTTACTGAGTTCGTCGATATGATCGAGAATGTCTTCCAAGTCCGCGGACGAAGATTCTTCGAGTTTCTTCATGCGTGTGATGAAGTTGCGCCAGATCTTCTTACGTTGGACGATTCCGAGATTGTCGTAGTGCAGGGCGAGTTGAATGCGGGATTTGAAGGCTTCGTCGACTATTTACCTGGTGGTTAGCGCCGCTGAGAGTTGTGCAGGGGTAACATACAGGTACCGACGCGATTTGAGGTCAGAATCAAGATGCCATCGTAGTATTCGAGGGCACGGAGAAACACAGATACTAGTGCGTTTCTCTTAAGGTCTTTCATATCGCGTTCCTCGAGAAACACATCCGCTTCGTCTAGAAGTACAACTATGATCATCAGCACCTCTTAGTACTCAAAGACCCTCAAGATCACGTACCACAATCCCACAGTTTTCCAAGTCGCAAGGTGGCACGAAGGCGCTGGTCAACCACTTCAGGTTCGGTACCGATGTCCCCACAAGTTATCCGAAGCAATGGCTTCTCCGCGAACTCAGCGACACCTTCAGCAGTGAAAGTCTTGCCGGTTCCAGGTGCGCCATGTAGAAGCATGATTAGTCCATTTCCTTTGCCAGCCACAAAATCTGTCGATCTTTTGGCATTGATTTGCTTCATGACGAGTGCTTGTACTAGTTCCTTGGTCTCTGGTTCAGCTACGAGGTCCTTGAAGGCTTGCTTGTTCCAGTTTATATCCGTAATCTGGTCGACAAGAAGTTCCCTCCATACCTTTTCTTGTAGATTGTGGGCCATGATAGTCGACGGAACCGCTAGAAGTGCGTCGCCCTCTTCAGGTGGTTGATCATTTGCCATGACTGCGGCGCTAAACGCATGCTTGAGGCGCATCTGCGCAATATTCGAGTCTGGAAATAGCATCTTGAAGGACTTAGTGTCGACTATGTACCTATCCTCAATCTAAAGCTTCCGCGTCAGTTATTGTAAAGCTTGACCGAAGTTTTCTCGTTGTGAACATACGTTGTAGAGCTCGTCCTCCTCAGAACGCATGTACGAAACAAATCGTCTGTTTCGAAGAGACCAAAATGTTCTACCTCTCTTCTCAAGCAGCGACCTCATGTTCGCTGCTGCATACTGTAGAGGGTAATATTTGAGACTTCTGATCTCGACTGAGTCTCCTTCGTTGGCAAGAGACATCGTGATGTCTATACTAGTTTCTTGTCGTCCAAAGTTGCCGTCGAATGACCAATTCCACACTGGAACTTTCCAAACATATGTAGTCATTTTGCGATCAGATATAGAGTTGACGAGAGAACTATGTCCTTCGACAAGCTGCTTTCCAACGTGCTCCCAATCTTCCAACTCGGGTTCTTCGAGTGTGGTCTCTGGGGCTCCAATCCAATCCCTAGCAATGCATGCTTGGGGAATGTTTCCTTCCGCCGCACTGCTCACAAGAACATCTCCGGGACGAACTAAGTACTTGAGATATTTACGTGCTATCGTTCCTTTCTCCGCTTGAAGCTTTACTGAAGTGTACTCATGACCGTAGCTTTCTGCAATGACTGCTTGCAACTGCTTGATGAGGTTCCGACTGCGCGTACTGAGTTTTGGTAGGACTCCAGCTATGAAAGGTGTACTGTAGTACATGAAAAGGTACGGTGCAGGGATATCCCGATCAAGGTTAAAGTGGGGGAAGTAATAGTCGAATCTGGGTATCTGCTGAACAAGCTCCTTAACCGCGCTTCGCATATCAGAGGATACAAACGAGACGGCCTCATGCGTAGGTATCGGCGACCGGTAAACACCGTCTACAGTTTCGATCTCGCTGCCATCCGGAGGGAGATCTTGGTCGTAGTTCTTGTATATAGCGAAGGCTATCTCGGGATGTTGGTCAAGATAAGACTCTAGCCTCCGGATCGGGTTTTTGGCCAGCAATTTGACACTAGATCCTTCAGCAGGTTGCCAACATGGCTCATCCAGGTACAAGACTGTCCGTATTTCGTAGAAGACTTTATAGCTGTACGCCGGCTGACTCGAAACAGGTACTTTGCAAGCATCTTGTCGTAAGCGTTCATTTTCCATTCTAAGAGCCTTTATCTCGCCCAGTGCGTCTTGCAGAGTATCTTCATCCTCTTTAGCATGTAACAGGTCCATGCCTGATGGCGTAGCATGCGGTCGAATTGGATGTCGCTGCTTTGCTAGCCGTTTCTTCGGCCGCGACTCCGAGGCACTCGATAGGATGTCCTCTTCCGCGTAGCCAGGATCCACATATGCAGGACGCTTGTTTCGCTGACGATACCTCAAGGATTCTCTTGATATCGAAGTAGGGTCACTGATGGAGGGGTATGATAGGTGATCAGGCTCATTGTCAGAGAGGTATGATCCGGGTCGTCGTCGCTTACGACCCTGTTGGACCGCGACTTCTGGTCTGGAAGCATCGGAGTCGCGAAGCATGTGTCGCGGGGCCGGTACGGGTGGGGGACGATGGGTTGTGGGACGATGGGATATTTCGTCCTCTATATAGTCCCATGAATCTGCATCCTCTTCATCACTGTTGAAACGCTCCGGAAGTTCCAGATTGCTTTCGTGCTTCAGATGTCTCCACTCTAACTTTTCTGCGGTCGCCGCATCATGTGAAAGAGGAGCGTAGCCTCTCAGAGCGTCAACAGCATCCGCATCCCATCCTTCTTCCATTTGCTCTTTGCGTAAAAGCTCTTCGTCCATTCGAGGAGATTGTGGCTCTCCCCATCGAAATACTCGAGGACGGCGGGTGCCTTCCATACTTGTGGATCTCCACGATTATACAGTGAGAAAGGGCTTGTTCTAGCTCCACTCTTCTTCATGGACTTGTTGTCGTCGTGTGCGATGGGCTGCGCGACACGCTGTGTTCGAGAAAAGGTTTCCGCATGCAGGTGCGCGCTTATATGCCGAGCCTTGTTGCTCAGCCTCGTTGCATGCAGCTGGAATCATGCATGGGGCCAAAAACTGCGCCTCAGCCATCGATCATCAACCCTTTTCATCCTCTCCTCCCCTTTCTTGTTCTTCTTCTTGTAAGCTTATGTTCCTACATAGCTAATTAGTAAAACCATGCTACATTTTCTCCTGTTAATATAACGGAGATCCTATCGTCAATGCAGTCGCAAAGTCAGTGGTATCTCAATGCGCAGGCCAGTTCCTCAGCCAATCCTGCCGAAGACGCCTTCAAAGAGGCGCTTGCCGTATTCCAGCTGGATCCCCGCACTTGCGCCAGATTCGACAGAGTACAACAACTCCAAAGCCTCGATGACCTGCAAATCATTCTCAACGAAGCGCAATCCAGATATGAGCAACAACACGAAGGGAAAAAGGTCGCTAAGTGGTTGTCGCAGTTTTCATCGCGCATCTGCCATTACGGTCAAATCCTCGATGTCCTTGTTCAGCATCATCCCGAGTACGTCAGCCTGGCATGGGGAGCAATGAAGTTTCTCTTCATCGTACGTATCGCTTCTGAACATGGGAGGATCACAGACTGATGCCTCCTTCCAGCTGGTAGAGAACCATGGGAAGCAACTGCGAGTCCTTTCTAAAGGGCTGAGCCAGATCGCAGATGTGCTGCCGCGTGTAGAATTCGCAAATGCTCTCTACCCCACCTCCCGCATGCAACAGGCGGTGTCCGAAATATATAGTAAAATCATCCGGTTCTTCCTCCGGGCGGAGCGCTGGTTCCAACAAGGCAAAATGCGCCATGCATGGGAAGCTCTGAGTCGGCCCACCGAACTCTACTATAGCGACCTGATCCAGGACGTGAGCGAGTGCACCAAAGCGATCGAGGTGTTGGCGAATACAGGCGCGCAAGCGGAGCAGCGCGATATGCATCTAGAGACCCAGCAACTGGGTAAGCAGGTGCAGGAGATGAGAGAGTTAATCATCTGTAGGTTACTTTTGCGGTCACTAGTGCTGCTTCTAACGACGCGCAGCATACCAGTCCATCCAAACAAGTGCGAATCTCGACACCAACCAGCGCCTGACTGATCTCCAATTGAACCAGATTATGGATTTCCTCTCTGGTGCCAATGCGTTGGATCCACTAAAAGCTCTGCAATATCGCGCCTTTATGAGTGCCCGAACCAGACGTCGACAGACGAGGGCAGATGTAGGCGCGCAATTTTGGTCAAATCCGAAGTTTGCTGCCTGGGAATCTGCATCGTCACCAACTATGATCATGGTGAAAGGCGAGTACACTACGCGGTTACAAGTCCAGAACTTTGCCGTTGACGTCATCAACAACCTTCGCAGTCGGACCGTCCCCACACTCTGGGCCCTGAAGTCAATACCGGTGCATGGCGCAACCGCCGCATCAGCCATAGATATCATCAAGGGGTTGATATGTCAAGCCATACAGCTCAATGTTACACAGCATACAGAACGCTCACTTGCGCTGAGTTGTGCGCAATTTCGCGCAGCTGATTCTGTTGAGCAATGGTTTGACCTCCTAGCACGCACCATCGCGAGCTTCCCGCAACTCTACATCATTGTTGACATGGAAGCTGTGGGAGGTTTGTATTTCGATGATATCTCCTGGCTTTCCCAGCTGGCTGCTATGTTCCAACGACACGCTTCCGGAAAGTGGATATCTCGGCTCAAAATCTTACTTATCAGTTACGGATCTATAATGCGGCAGCAAGACGATTTGCTAAACTTTCGCGATAATGTTGTGCCTGTAGGATCATCTCATACGAGTCTAATGCTTCAAGGACGTCCACCAGGATCCATTTCGCCAGATCTCGGGCGATCGCGACATGCAAGAGGAAGCATGCGCACGCGTTATGGCCTCAATCGAGCACGCCATTCCACTCCTATAGGAACCTGAGTAAGGCAGAAGTTCTACTCTTGTGGAAGGTTGATCAGTTTGTGATACTGCTGCTTCTTGTTGAGCTTGAGACATGCCAAAGCAAGCGAAGGCAGATCCGGTGTCTCCTCGATACAGGAAACACAAAAGAACTTTCGCGGTGGTATATCGGATACGTCCTGTTATCAATCTTTGGCCACTCCCCTCTCGGTGAGGAGTAGTCGTCAGCTCGACGTAACGCTCGTACTGACTACCTAGCGGACGTCGGCTGTAGCGGGATTGTTAACGCTGGCTCGATATCGTATTCGCTCCCGGATTCGGCTCGTAGTGTCCACCTTTCTCCACACTATCTTCTTCGGGAATTCTTTGACAATGTCGCTCCCCTATAACGAGGAGATCTGCTCAATGCTTCAGTACTTTGTCTCTTTATCTAGTGCTATACGTGGGGCTTCTTGTATACTCCTATCTTCGGCGGCTTTTGCTCGGATCCCCTACACGGTTCATCGTGATACATTAGGAGGCAGGCCAGTGCAAATACTTGGTAGATAAGCTGTAGTCGGGTGTTCGAGTGGTCGGTACAAGCCCTTCCTTGAGGCTGACGGTACTGTCAGTAATGCCGTATCCGGAAATTCGAACTTGGCGCGATCAGTTTTGTGCTAGATCTCGTTCCAAGACTCTTCTTCGAGGCCGCGCACTCGAAAGGGGCTGCAGGAAGAAGACGGTAACAAATGGGCAGTGTTCCGAAGAGCGCGCTATCTCCCGAATGAGCTAGAGTTGTTCTTCATACTAAAAGATGACTGTATGCTGATAACTCTTGCGATGATCAGTGTGGTAGAAGAGGAAGCTAGGGCGACAAACTAAGGGCTAGAATCGGACCTCGGTGCGGAGTTATGACATGGATAGTTCCGGGGGGTTTCTTACCCGGGCGACTTGACATTGAACTTGTTAAATATTCACCAAAAGACAGAATAGTTGAGCGCACTGAATAGGAATAAAAAATCATGGGTTTGCTAACTTGGATACAGAATCACGTCTTCGCAACTCGGCATGTTCTCCTTTCATCCCTGAACAGATAGTAACAACGTCGTTGCGTGCGAGGTATGTAGTAACGATCGCCATCTACTAGCTGTAGCCAAGATACTTGTACTTCTTGAAAGTCTCGCTGAGAAATTTCAAGAGCAAATGCACGGTTCTTACAGCTAGTGAGAGCATGCGGGCCGACCCCGAAGATGAAGTGTTAACGATGATGGTAACGCCTGTGATTACTGAAAGTCTCACGTTGCTACCTATCACAGTCAAGAAGAATGCATCTAGATCAATAATATGACTTGAGCGCCCTTACAGAGATGCTTAGAGAAGCTGACGACCGTGGCTCAGATCTTCTTTGCCAACAAAATATCTATCAAGACGACCTACAGGTATCTAAACATAGCATAATCGACAAACCCAAGTTCTGTTACCACAGCGAACAGTACTGTCGCCTGCCGACATAAGACAGCTCAACAGCGCTACGACGATATAGGTAGCCAAATTCGCGAAGCCTGGTAAGGCAGGAAATCATTGTTACCATAATCCTTGCTCGAAGATGTTCATCCGACTGTACTAGTCGGGTACCTCCTTTGGTAGTCAATGACTCGAATGTCAGACCGCCATGGCTTCGAGGATATCAGATTACTTTCTACATGCTTGGACTCCGGTTCTGTACATTGTTTAGGGTAAGACGGAAGATGAGCATGAACTGGTATAAAAAACCTATCGCCTCCTCTCCAGAATAGACACCACTCACTCATTACATCTACACACTCCTTTGTTCTTACAAACACTCTTTATCACCAACAACAATGAAGTTCCTCACCCTCATCGCCGCTGTTGGCACTCTCGCTGGCTTCGCTGCCGCCGGTCCAGCTGAGCCTCTCCACGTACGAGCACCTTCGGATCTGCCCATCGATGCTAGATCGCCTCAAGAGGGAGCTGGTGATGTGAACACTTGGTTCAAGGACAGGTTCTGCGCCTCGGGCTATGCCTCTTGTGGCAAAGCAGGAACCAATGGCGACCCGGGAAACCGATGCGCTATGGAATGCGAGAACTTCGCTGGAGGCGCCCCTCTTGGGCACTGCCAATGCGGTACAGGGTGGTACCCAGATGAGTGCATCACTCTTGGAAAGTACTTGGGTCGCCACAAGTGCTAAGTGTATCAAGTGCGTAAGTGCATAGTGTGGCGTTTCTCAGTCAAGTACGAGACTAATCACTTCTTATATAGACCTACATACGCCTAAGCTCTTACAATGAAAGCGACTGCAATGGAAAAAAAAGAGCTCATCAGTATTGCATAGGTGAACAAGAGCACAACTTAGTAGGCGGAGGGAGGACTGTTGTTTTGGTGGGGCCCAGGAGTTTAATAAAGCATACTTCATACTATCCTTAATCACATTACATTCTACCATGTTGTTTCACTGCTCAATATGTAGTACCGCATTCAGATTGTCTTTTGCTCCGTTCTGACATTGAAAGAACGTATCATAGAGGTAGTTGCCATATTCCAGGTAGAATTGCTAGCCATGGAAAAGATCATACATACTTGAAGCGATGTCATAATGTCGGGATAACACGAGATGACTCTGTGATACAAGGCGAAGAGATTTGGACAACCGAACCGAACATCAAGTCTGCTGTCGTTGATTCGTTAATAAACCACAGGTCCATGAAAGTCTTCAAATGCTTTTTGAGCCGGTTTTGAGAGTTCATCGCATATCTTGTAGGCTATTTACAGCTGTCTACCACATGTTTTAGATACTGCAATTCAAACGCGTCATGGAAAGGTTTTCATTTCATTTGTAGACCGGCACGTCCCACGAAACACATTCGGCAGACAGAAGCTTCTCGGCGGTTATGGGGGAATACAGCAAGGGGAAACCCCACATCAAACTTGTCGGCGAGATTTTAGTGTTGTGGTTTTGACAGTTATGCTATCCAAGCAATTCAAAACATAGAAGTGTTGCTTTATAGGCAAGAAGTATACCGACACTAGCGCTCTTCCCAGTAGATCCCAGAAGCATCATGTAGTGGTTTTGTGGATCTTTTTGGCAAAACCAAGCTGCGAGATTGTAGAGATAGTTCCAATCAGCTTCTCATAACTCTTCTCCATGTTCATTTCGAAACGCTAGATGTTGTCATCATGACTTCAGTCTGATGTGTTTTTTCGAATGTGGGTTTTTCGATACATCATTGTATTCGCCACACCTTTGGAGTAAACGTACTCAGTAGCAACACATATCGATTCTATCTTCGGTTGAAAGACTCATTTCGGTGTCTGCATATGACTTCGACGTTGAGACGCACTCAAAATGCCATGGCTTGCATGAATGTGGATTTTTGAGAAGACGCGGAAGTCCAGAACCATGGTCTACACCGTTGATCGTTTTGGTAAAATGCAATTGAGATACTTAGATGATGGAAGAGAAGAAAGCCCAAGGAGGGAGGCTTTTTATGCAAGCAGCTCGACACACGGTCCTCATGCATATTTCTGTGGGATGTTTTCTGACACACAAAAGCGACATGTCATGATAGTCATTCGATTTTGTTAACCCGGGAAGGACGGCACTTGCTGCCTATGCTATCGATTTTAACAGTATAGCAGATGAGAAGAGTCTTACGCTGGTCATATTTGCGTGTGAAATGGTTTCTTCGAGTTCAACAACAAAGCATTGGATGAGAAGATGTCGAAAACGCAGGGCATGTGAGCCTACGCATGTTTTTTGGTACGGAGGACGAAACAAACATTCAATCGTATCGTATAGTTTTTGACAGACCATAAGCTCTCATGATATACATGTGCTCGATTTTGGGAAGACTTCGCGGAAGGCGGGAACATGTTCAGTTGACATTTGCAATTGAGAAGGCGGAGGACGGAAGGCTCTATGAAGCGTACGTTTGCGAATTTTGAGAAAGAGTTTTGAAAGAAAGTGGGTGATGAAGGTAAGGGTAGGCCGAAGAAAGGGAGATATTTATACCCCGGCGAGGTGTTTAGGTGAGATGTGACGCCGTTCAAACATCACCGCCTGTGATGCAAGGCGGACGATATTTCCCTTGCACCATGTGTTGCCAGTGAGTTGTGTTGAGATACACTGTATCATACATGGTAAGAAAAAGCGCGGAGAGATCCATGCAAGGTTCAGGTGTGGATTTTCGCCGACGTTTTCGTACTTTCAGTCGCCAGGCGTCCTCATCATCAGAACCCCTGCGTTTTTGGACATGACCCAGTCGCAGCTGCGTTTTGGAAATAACGTTGTTTTAAAATGGCTCCAAACAGATACTCCATGGACAAGAAGATCGTGGTTGTTTATTCAGGCGCAAAACCCATGAGCTATGGCAGTACCAATTTTTTGATTTAGTCCCGAAGCCCAGTCATGCCTAGATGGGCAGGAGTATTTCGGAGAATGTTTTTGAGAAGGCGAATGATAGAAAGACAACTTGGAGAAGAAGAGAGCCAGCTTTTATAACATGGACGAGGCGCTCAAGCTAGTGCAAGCGGTTAGTCTTATGATGCGCAACACTTGGTACATTGAAATGGTCTGCGCAAGCTCCTGCGTGCATTTCAAATACCGAAAATCTCGTCTTGATCAATCTTCGTCATCATCAAATGGTATTAAGCCGACTTAAAAGTCTCTCGTTGGTTTTCTCCATCACCATGTATACTTCATCCCGCATGTTCAAGAAACATGCCACTCTCTACTGTCCACCAGTCTGATTCTGACCCTTCTGCTCAGCACCCACGCTCTTACCCCCAGCCTTCGTCGTATCACCAACAAAGTTACCAGCCGCTATCTCATGTCAGCCAGCATCCTTCCCCACCTTCTTCCCACATTCCTTTCCCAACCCCCAACCCCCAATCCTTCTCTCTCCTAACACCCCCAACCACTCACACACGGGAAGTAAACGTACCTTTAGTAGTATCCCCAACACCCTGCGTAACTCCCGTCACAGCATCGCCAAGCCCTTTACCACCGGCGGCAACGACATTGCCAGTGGCATCAGTAACGCCTTGTACGCCCTTTCCGACCGTGTTCGTTGCTGCGCCTAGCGTGTTTCCTGTACTGTTAGCTTGTTTTCTGACGTTACCAAGTACGGCGGTGCTGGTGGGAAGGAAAAAAAGGGCCAGAGGATAGATGCAAAGAATTTGGAATGGAACATACCGAGACCGCTTGCAGCGGTGCCAAAGAAGCCTTTTTGCTGGTTGTTCTGGTCCGACATGGTTGATGTGTGTGTATGTGTTATATATCACAAGGTGATTCTGAATCTGATTAGGAAATGGCAGATTTGTACTTGAACTGATTAAATTGGTTGAGAGTTCGGCCCGCTGTGAGTGTAGTGTAAAAGTGCTCAGCCTGCCAACTTTCTTGGGCTTTACATATGTGTCTTCCCTTTGCTACTCTGTCCTTATGACGTAACCCGCTCTTGCCCTCCTTATCCCTGCAGCAACCCCTCTGCCCACCCGTTCTGCCCCTCATTTGTGAACAACGGGCTGAGAGACGCGCAACGCTCGTGCCGTCAGCGAATATCTCGCAGAAAGGATCGACATGCTTGCATCATGTCACATCATTGGCAGGGCACCTGTCTCCCACCAAATCTAGGCCTGCCAAGGTTCGCGAAGATGGTCCGACCAGGCAACAGTATCACAGCATCAAGACAGCGCCATCAGGGCAGAATACATTTTTAGCACATTTCATTCTATCTGGATCGATATCGCAAACAAGAAGTCCGTAATGATTCTCATCATCCGTACATCATCGTTTTCGCGCATTTGCAAGATCTCTTTGTGTACTCTTCTTGCATCGTCGCACGTGTGCATGCCTGAGCAACGACATGCCTAAGCAAGGACGTTCTGCTGTCATGGGCGGACACCATATGCGATCGCCAAACCACCGCATTCTCTGAAGAGTTGCAAGCAAAGAAGAAAGAAAAGAAGAAAATGATAACATGAGAAAAAGTGCAGGATTAGAGGCAAAGAACCTCTACAGGTGGACAAAAGGTAGACTCCCTGCTACCCATCTTTTGCCCATCCCTACCCTAGCAGCGCAGGAAAACGGTGATGAACGAACCGAGGTCAAGAGAAATAACTCAATCGTGCCCAAAGAACCACCCATAGCGCTCGTAAGAAGCGTCCGCGGTGTAGGGCCGTCCCTCATCCATCCATCTTGCAAAGCAGGTCCCAGAACGCCGCCATCATGGTCCGTAAAAAACATGAAAACATGCGCATGCACATCGACAACAAGGAAACTTTTGATGAAAACCCCGGGCGTCCGAAATGCATGCAAACAATGACTGCGCGCTGTGATGCAACCCCCCTTCTATAGCAACGAAGAAACAGGCGATCGATTAGATTACCGCGTGCGGTGTGGTCTATGGGTATAAGAACCGTCACGCGCTCGAATGGTTGGAAAAAGAGGTAATCACTCGGAAGGCTTGGCCTCCGTGTCGGCTGCAGATTCGTCTGCCGCGTTGGATGCAGAGCCAGCCTCGCCGGCGTCTTCGTTGCTAAGAGCTGCAAGCGCACTGCAATAGTTGTTAGTAAAAACCTTGAATGTCATAAGGAATGGAAGCTTACTCGAAAGCGTTCGCGTGGGCAGTTTCCTGCTTCTTGACTGGTGGTGTGCCAGTGCGCGAGGAGGCGTTGGAGTCTTCACGACCGCCCATCATGCCGGGGCCAAGACCGCGACGGCCGCTACCACTGCGGCTACCGAGCATGGACGGGCCAAGGGACTGGTTGTTGAGGTTGCGTCCAGAAGCACCCTTGGAGAGCTTGCGGAGGTCGTCCATCTGTACACGGCTGCCAGTGTCTGGAGGAGGCTGCATGCCACCACCTGAGAACGAGCGAGCGTCGCCGCGACCCATGGGAAGACGACCACCACCACCGCGCTGGTTTGATCGTGTACGCTCCATCTCGGCGGCCTGCTGAGCCGCCATGGCTTCTTGATGGATCTCTGCAATGGTCTTGGGACCCTTGAGAATGTCCTTGGACTTCCAGCCAGCCTTGCGCATGTCGACGGTGTCGAGCAACATGAAGTGCATACGCGACGGAAGACCCTCCATGTTCATGACCTTCTCGATGCGCTCGAAGTACATGTTGATCATCTTGGGACCAGCCTCAGCTGACTCCATCGTGGCTCCAACAGTGCGGAGGAGCTTGACCAAAGACTCAATAGCAGCCTCATCGGGAAGGCCCTCAAAGTCGAGAAGCTTGAGCACACACTCGTGCATGATACGGAGGGTCAACATGCCCAGCTTGTACAGCTCTCCGATGAACTGAATAAGACCGAGACCCTTACGCTTGGCAGCAGCGGCGATGTAGTACTCGTCTGACAGAAGCTTGGCTTCCTTCTCGCCCTCTGGCGCCTCGGGCAGGTTGACCTCCCAACCACGCTCGAACTCTTCCTGACAACGGTTCAGGAGGTACTTGCGGAAGAGAGCGCCACCAACGACGGGGTTGCCATGCTTGTCGCGGACGTTCTCGTCTTTGATCTCGGTGCTCATAGTCTGCAACATGCGGCTACAAAACTTGGCGTACATAGAAGACCAATGAGACTCGTCGCAAGCCTTCTCGAAAGTGAGCTGAATGACCTGGCGAAGGGTGCGTCCATCAGTCTCGTCCTTGGACTGTCCAGCGATCTCGAGGATTTGGTCGGAAATCTTGTCAAACTTGTCGGGTGTCATCTTGTTGAGAGCAGCCTTGACCTTACGCTGTACCATATCGGGAGCCAAGTGGCCTGCACTCATTTGAGCCTGGACAGCCTGAGGCTGAGTGAGCGAAGTAGGTACCCAACCAGTCTGCGAACGCTTAAGTCCCTCGATTTCCTTACCAGCGGTCAGTGGCATTGCCTTGGCGTCCTGACCGCCGCCCTGGCCGCCGCGACCGCGATGGCTGCCGCCGGCGCCCTTACCACGAGAGCTGCCAACGCGAGGAGAATCGGGTACGCGGTGGGCGCTCTGGTAGGAGTTGTTGCGTCCTCCCATAGCAGGAGCGCCACCCATAGGGAAACCGCCACGACCTCCACCTAGAACGACATGAGCAAGGGGGTTCGTCATAGAGGAGCTACGTCCAGCTTGGGCTTGCTTGAAGCGCTCTTCGGATGTCGTACCTGGCGGGAGTGTGCGCCCTCCTGGCGGGAACGAACCAGGTGCTCCAAAATTGCCCATGCCGCCGCCGGCAGCACCTCCGCGAGATCCTTGACGGGGACCCATAGAACCGACTCGAGCAGACGGGGGGCCGCGAGCTGATTGAGGCTCGTCACCGACAGTCTCCTTGAGTTTCATGTCCCAGTCAACCGAAGGCTTCTCCTTGAAGACATCTTGGAATTGCAAGAGGAAGTCCTTGTCGTACTGGCGTCCCTTGCTCCTGTTGCTGTTGTTAAGAGCGGGGTTGGGGCTAGCAACACCCTGAGGGTACTGAACCTCAGCACGAACCTCGAGGAAACGTGCGGTCTTGAGCGCCTGCATACCAGCAGTTGGCTGCGCGGGCTCAACGGACTTGTTGGTCTCGAGCTTAAGAGCGGCTGGCTTGGGCTTGGTACCAGTGGGAGTCTTTGATGGTGCGGGTGCAACGACAGGAGCAGTAGCCTCGACTGGGTTTGCCTCCTCGGTCTGAGAAGCACCAGGACCAAACATGGTGTTCTTCTTCAGGCCTGCGAAGAGAGCCTTGTCCTTGGCCTCGCGTTCGGCCTTTTGCTCGGGAGTCTCTGCTGCGCGAGCAGCTTCAGCCTCTTCGGCTTCCCGCTCCAGCTTGCGCAGACGCTCCTCTTCCTGCTTGACCTTCTCAGCAGCGTTGGCCTTCTCAGCCTCGGCCTTCTTCTTCTTCTCTTCCGCGTAACGCTTCTCATCCTCTTCGCGCTTCTTCTCTTCCTCCTCCATCTCAGCAATCATGCGCTCCATCTCTTCATCTTCGAGGCGCTTCTTCTCGGCCGCGTCAGTCTCAGCCTTCTTGGCAGCTTCAGCATCCTCCTTCTCCTTGGCTTCAGCAGCAGCTTTAGCGTCTGCCTCTTCCTTAGCAGCAAGCTTTGCGTTGGCTTCGGCCTTGGCCTCTTCCTCAGTAGCTTCCCTTGCCTTCTTCTCGGCCTCTTCTTGGAGACGGAGCTTCTCCTGGAATTGCTTGACAAACTCAGCCTTCTTAGATTCGCCATCAGCCTTCGTAGCGTCGGTGGCGCTTGGCGCGCGCGGCGGGGTTGGTGTAGCAGCAATAGCGGGAGACCGAGGAGCTGCAGGTACAGAGGATGCGACAGCAGGCGGTGCAGGTGAAGCACCCTTGGGCTTGAAGTCGACAACTTCACCATCAACAGTCTTGATAGTGATAGCCTTGCTTGCCCGCTTCGGGCGCTCGAAGGTGGAGCTGGGCGCTGGGCTTGCTGACGTCATGCTCGGGGTGTGCGTGTGCGAGATATGGTTGACGTTAGTCATGGCCGGTGTGGAAGGCTGAGGAACAGCAGATGATGGCCGCTCCGACATGTTGGAAGGAGTGCGTGACATGCTCTGGGCCTGTGGCTGATGACCGTAGGGAGCAACTCCGTAGGGTGACTGCATCTGGGGAGGGTAGCCACGGCCAGGGCTAGCAGGGACACCTGGGTAGTGGATCGACTGCTGTAGTCCGTAGTTCTGCGGGTAGAAGTTGTTGTAGGGATCTAAGCCTGGTTGAGGCATGCCGCCGTACATAGCCTGTGGAGGATACTGCTGCCCCGGGTAGAATGGCATACCAGGGTTGGCAAGATGCTGCTGCTGGTGCATCGTAGCGGGGGTAATAGCGGGGCTACGGTTCTGAGTGTAGGGAGAGCGCTGCGGCATCTGACCCTGAGGGTGGAACGGCGGGGCTTGACCACCGCGACCCATCTGAGGCATGGCGCGGTGTGGCTGTGGCGAGTAGTTTGCCATCTGCGGATTGAAGTGGCCCTGGGTGTATCCACCGCGACCGCCTCGGTTGGCAAATGAGCCTCCGCGGCCCATGTTTGCGTTGCTCATGTCGCTGTGCGCGGACTGAGAAGACTCGCGACGCAAGTGTTGGGCTTGCGGGAGGGAGTGGGAGTTGGGTTGAGGGGGCATAGCAGGGCGCGCCTGTAGCAGAGTCAGTAACTGAGACGGAAGAACAGTATATAAGGGCAAGAAGGGCGCAAACTCACGTTAGGCTCAGTGCTTTCACCGCCCTGGCCACCGAAGACCAAGTTTGGTCGAGTCGGCAGTCCGTCAGGCTTGGGGCCTCCGGAGATGGGCGTGGGAATGGGTGAAGGTGAGTGAGCAGGCGAGGCAACGCGCGGGTTCTGCACCTGCGCCGGGTTCAGGCTTCCCTGGACTACAGGCGAGGCGTGGGCAGGCGCTGGTGAGCCAGCGAGCGAGCCGAACTTAATGCCAGAGGGCGGGCCACCTGCAGTCGCAACAGGCGGGGTCTGCTTGATCTGGACGGACGACTTGCGCTCGTGGGCGCTGCCGTTAGGGCCGCCACTCACGATGGTGGGCATAGCGGGAATAGCAGGCTTGATGGCACCGTTGCCATTCACCGGGGATACAGAGGAGCTCTTTCCATGCTGCGCGCTCTGTGGACCTCCCACTGCCACGGGCGGCGCTGCGCTAGACACGATCGTGGGCTTGGTCGCGTTGGCGTAGGAGCTGCGGGCAGTGGGTTGAGCCGAACCGGCGGCCACGGTGGCGGACGATCCTGTAGAGGAGTTGTTCGCGGTCGTAGACGAGGAAGCGGCGATCGGCGGGGTTTGCGAGTTCGAGGCGGGATTACTCATGGACTCGGTGGTGGGTGAGGTGAGGTGGATGTGGGAAGGCGGTCGGTAGGCTGCGCAGTCGCTACCTAGCTGAGGTCGGATGACGTTGGTGTCGCTGGAATCCCAGATTCGAGCGAGGGGACGAACTCTGCGGAATTAATGAGTTGCTGTGACAGCGACTCGGGAGGATGCAGAAAAGAGTGTCGTCCGCGGTGACGAAGGGAAGGCAAGAGGTCAACTCCTTTAGGAAGGGTGTTGAGGGCTGTCCGAGCGCTTCAATGAAGGAGTCTCTGAACAGGTTCCGGATTCGGGAGAGGTGGATTTCGCCGAATAAATTCGTGAAATCGACGGGCGGCTCCTGTGAAGATCACTGAGTCCGCTGCGTGTGTCGTGATGGGATGTTCTCGCAGTGGAGAGACGGGTGTGTGGAGGGATGGCGGTTGGGCTCTTTCGAAAATTGTTTGAGTGCCAGACTAAGCCGCAACAAGGATGTTGGCCTAGCCGAGAGTCCTTGAAGCTCAGTCCCAACACCTGGAATGCCCACGCCAATTAAGCCAGGCTTGTCTGATGACTCTGCTTGCTCAGAGTCACGGGCCAGTCAGTTCACGATTGGTTTATTGACGGGCGCGCACAAACTGTGGTTGCCATGTACGCAGTCGTGATTTCCTCGGATACAACAGGCAAGAGCGGAGGGGCCGCCCACGCTGCCTCACCAAATCCATGACTTGGGCCCGTCATCACATACACAGTAAGCGAGACAAGACTCGCAATGCTGCACCTCGCCCCAATGACCTCGTCGTGACTCCGACTAGCAGGCCGTGGCTGTTGGCACATAGCGGAGGCAAGCCTCTAGTACGTGGGGTGCCTTGCGCTGGGCTGGGCTGGACGGCGACAGCAGATGCAATCCATACTTTGAGCAAACCCCGCCGTCTTGTAGACATGTGCGTCTACCCAATGCCAAACGCCCTGTTCCTACGCGCACCATGGGACCAGGTGAACGGGTTCTTGTTCCCACTGCTATAGCTCAGCCCTGTGTCTCTTAGGATACACCCGGTAGCACAATGAAGCACAGTCGTGGCTGCGACAAAGAAACCATCCACAGACAAAGCAGTCCTAGTACCACAATGCCGCACAGGCCTTGCCGTCCATACAGTGTAAAATCGCATCACCCCTCCTGCGCAGATCGAAGAAAAAATGTAAACTCACTGACGTCTTGCTGCGCGTCTATGCACAATGACGGCGTGTTTCGCGGCGATGGCCATTCACGTGAAAGACATCTCCGCCTTAACTCCATTGTCATGTGAGATTTTCGAGTATCATCGCCACAATCGATAACGATTGATCAGACCACTCTGTGCACCTCTATGATTACCACAAGGCCCGATTGACTCAAGCAAGGGCCTCGAGCTTGACACGGACTCTGTCCGGTTGACTGGACGATGCATCGACACTTTTGTCAAAGGCGGGGATTGCCCAGCCGAAGACATGAACCAGAAAGATTCTCAATCGAGAGGATATTTATGTATGGTTCTCGTTTGTGACGCGAGAGTATGAGTGGCACCTTGCACCTTCCTGTCGCAGTACGAGCAGAAGTAGTGAATGGCAAACAGGGTTGACATGGCGGATACGTGACAATGGTGGAGGCAATGCGAAGTGATAAGATGGTGGAAATATCGAGGTCCTTTTCCATAGAGACGCTACTGTGGTGCCAAATTTGCGGATTCGACGGTTCCCAGTGCCACAAACCTGAAAGTTTACAAGAAAGGCACTCGATATGAAGTGGTCTACCGCCAACTCCACGCTCATGGGATTGCGAGAGTGCAGTTCGGGCCACAGCGCTACCATATCTCTCGAACATACGGCTTGCTGTCCTAAGCTAGAGAAATTCGACTAGCGCATCTCAAAGTAAACGAGAGGTGTAGTGGGCTGAACCTCAGGCTACTACGAGGGGTGGGGCCGCATCGCTACCATATAACTGCGGATACTGCCTGCGTAGAGGATGTGTTACCAGTGGATTCCCATAGTAGCGACGATCACGACGCAGGAACTGTTGTAGAGTAAGCGAGTGGTCCATTCAACTTCGCAAAAAGAAAAAGGACAACGTGGATACTTAGGGATTGAAGATTAGATTGGTCCAGAGAAGAGGCAGTGGTAGTACTAGCAGTGAACAGATACATCGCAACAGGATGCAGCCAAAACCTTGAGCTAGCCACACAGTCACCTGTTCATTGACTGTAGGCAAAACGCTTGCAAAGGCTGACGTTATGACTCCTTCAGGCCGTTCATTTACCGCCTGCGCATCGTCTAGACTACAGCCACATACTCCATCCTATGCATTCAACGGTCACCACAATCATCCGCCATCCATGACTCACACGAAACGGTGCCACAAGAACTCGGCTCCTTCAGCAGCCGATCGCAGCTGCCGGGATCCTTCTTATGTCGCGTAGCATTAGTAGCGCACAGCCGACGGTTTTACGTGCGTCGGCAGCAGAGCAGAAGCAATGTCGTGGTAGCAAAAGGAACGAACACGACCGATGTTGAAACCCTGCTGCGGGTGTAATGCAACGAGCCGTAAAGCCGCCAGGTACCGATGACAGTGGGTCGGCGGTTTAGTACGACGTTACCACGTCGTGAATTGGCAGCCGCCTCAGACTTCAGGTCTGAACTCACACGCGCATTTCAATGCAAAATGGAGCATGACGTCCGGTCCTGTTGTGCTGCGTGCTGCGACAGACGGGGATAGCCATGCTTGCGCAGACCGACTTGCCTCTTGCGCTGGCTCTCTCATCGCATTTCCATCAATCGCATCCGCCCCATTATAATCTCGGGTTTCCAGAGTATGCGCATTCGCATTCTGGGGGTGTGGGGGAGATGAAGGAGGAAACGAATGTCGCATCGAGCGCCGCACACGGCCACATCAGCGTAAACTTTGACCATGAGCGGGATCCAAAAACTTCCACCTCTCATCGTCAGCCACACCCACATGAACCTCGGCGAAGTGCCACTCTTACTTTCCTGCTTAGAAAAGCCGCCGGCTGTGCGCAGACCCTCCTCTTTGAACGCATCTGCCCCCAAGCCTGCATCCTTGGGGGCAAGCTCAGCCTTTAAACTCTGCGCCAGCTTCCGCTTCTCGTAATCCTGCTCCGGTGCCCCGAATGCAGGACAGAAGCGGGCCAGAAGGTTTGTCGATGGCGCAAGCCTGCCGTCGTCCGATCGCTGACTGCCATGGCTTTTCCTCGTATCCTTCGATGATCGCCCTGCGCCGTATCAACGCAGGTGCATAACGGCTGAGGAACCACCCTCGGGCACTAAAAGCGCCTCACAATCCTTTGGCGTTGATGGCATGAGATTGAGTTGGAGTCAAAATCGACATCGCATGAACTTGCCGTGGTGGTGCATCCTTTGTTTTTGCTACAAGTACCGGCCGTGGCTGCAGATGAGGAAGTTGCATGTGTGTGTGGAGATGATAATGCAGGTGGAAGAAGAAATTTGGAAGGTCGTGCTTTCGTGCCTTCCCGTCTTTGTTGTCTGCATCATCCCGTCCCGCCCTTTGCTTCTTCTGGCATGCATCGTCATGCTCGAAGGCGCGAGAGCCTGACCCACCACCACGAGCGAACTTGTCGCGAGAAGCAAGTATGCCCAACGGGCTCACGCTCGTCATGCGTATCAGCCCTTTCCAATACCTTACTGCATTTCGCTTCTCGACCGAGGCGCCGCCTAGGTACGTATCTTTACATCATGATGCCAGCGCTACCGCAAGACATTGCATCCCTGCTGACATCTGGGGCGAGATGCTGGCAGTGCAGCCTCCACGTGACGTGAGTCTTCCACCAATCGCTTCCCACACTGGCAATTCACTCCGCGCCGGAACAGGAAAGCGACCCTGACGTATTCCCAGCCAATCGCACATGCGGAGCTCAGAACCACGAACATCAACAACAACACTGCGACGCAGCTCTGACCCTCTAACCCCAAAAATCAGTCTTGTTCACCTCGCTCCACTGCACAATCCTGCTCGGCTCTTGAAGTACCAATAGGGTGTTTGGGCTGTTCTGTGCCTTGAGCCTTCTCCGCATGTCATAATGGCTAAAAAGTTCCTGTCGAACCAGCGGGTATTCAGCCGGGATGACAGGTAGTCGCAGTACCCTTACTCATCTTCAGGCACGTCGTTCCGGACTCCTTCGCGACCGTCATGGCGCGATTCATGTGTACCTTGCACCACACCACCGAGCTGACGGACAATAAAATTGGTAGCGCCTTTGCCTAACGTCCAGTCCGGTAAGCTCAGCGGTTAGCCCAGATGCGAGGACGTTTGTGAAAGGAAATGCGGAGGAAGGTGGAGAGCGTCTGGCGCAAAAGCAGCGACAGGGTACGCTAGCCAACGCTCGTCCGCACATGATGCGCTCCGCAGGACGTGAACCGTGAACGGTAGCCCTCGAGGGTTCTGTCGGAATGGCGTACCGCATTGCGGCGGCCTTACCCCATGGGTGAGCTACGACGACTTCAGCGCCGGTTTGCGTTGTCATTCAAGGTTCCAAGGTTGCTCTCGCTTGTGGTTCGGTGTGGTCCGCCCTGAGTCGCGGATCCTGGCGGTAACCTTTCCTTTCGTCTGGAGTAACATGTCCGGGCCCTTGTCGATAAGTGGCCGAAGCTAGCGAGCTTAACTCACGATACAAGCTGCTAGGAACGTCTCTAGAGGGCGCCTATCACACCGCCAGCGAGGCCATGCACGGCGAGCCTCATCGCACACGTCGAACAGCCGATCATCCTAGATCACACGCTCATGCTTCCGTACCCAGCAGCTGCAGCATATCCTTTGCCCATTCACACGACGCCTTAGCTGAACCATGTACCATGAGCTTCTCGAAGGACACCGCTTGGAAGAAGGCGTTCTCTCAATCACCCAATTCGCCCGCGTAGCCTTTACCCCGGCAATGCCCAGCCTAGATTAAGCCTAAGATCTGTTCTTGCTTGCAGAGTACCGCGGCTCCTCAATCTAACAATGCCAGCAGGAGCCGTTTAATAACTCTAACAAAGTTAAGATCCACACCTAGCATTCTGTTCCTTAGCGGAAACACCTGCTTCAGCCACTCAAAGACGCCAACCGGTGTAAGAGATTCATATCCAGTGTGTCACGTAGCTGACTGGCTTGGTTTCCCTCCCTGTTCAAGCTATCATGATCCTTGGCGATAGTTCCATACTTTCTTTGGTGATGTGTATTCTGCAGCCGGACGAATACCGAAGACCTATCCAAACACCAAGATGTACCATGCAACTTCCCCGCAAAATGCTAATCCTCGATCGTCATCAGCATACGAGCATACGATGAACGTACATGCACATGACGCGCAAGGACAGGAGTGGAAGCATCCTACTATCATGTCCCTCCACCGTTATGTTCTACACATTTTACTTCCCTACCGTACTACCATCGCACAACCTCCACATCTTTCTCTCCACAATAAAAGCCTTCCCGCAGTAAGGACCCTTCATCCGAACCCAGCAAGGTTCGTGGTCCAGAGGTAAGTAGTGGTACACGTACGTAGTACTTGTCGTGCTTCATAGCAATTTAGCCATACTTGCCATGCCTTTCCCTGCCATGATATGCGAAGCTATCAAGCATGGTACCGATTTTCTAATCTTCCATTGCTCCTCCAAGTCCTATCACACCACTTTACCTTTTGCACCCCACCACACGCTACCACGTCCTAGCCTATGCCCAACCCTGCCCTTTTGCCCTGCGCTACCCACAAAGCGAAAGCACAGTCGCCAGAAGCCCATGAACGGCACTAGAAGCAACACATGCACAACAATCCATGTCACCCATCGGTTCCTGAGCCTCAGAAGCCGAAATTAACTGCAGCTGCCTGCAAGTCTGTCTCTGCCAAGTATCCACACATGCAAGACGACATGCAAGAGAAGCAGGTTAAGAAAAGTCTGGGGTAGAAAGTGTGGAGATCCTTTTCTTCGGTTTGCCCTCGCGTCTTTCGCTCACAGGATAGGTCGAGGATGCAATATAAACAAGATTCTGGTCATGTGGAGGTTTGAGACTTTGATTAAGGGAATGAGGGCGCGGAAGGATCAACGGGAGGTGGCGGTTCGGATGGAGGCCGGCTTGGTGGATATGGGGAGGAGGGGTGGAGGGGTGGTGGAAGCTTTTTCTCGACTGGAGAAGATTCTAGTGTGCATGAACAAAACGCGTAACGAGTTTGTGTGGGATCACCATGTGTGCGTGACGAACGCCATGAGCATTAATCCAACTCCGTGTCAGGAATGAGGAGCAGAAGAAAAACGCCCTACACATGTCATCAACACACACACACAGACACACACACACATCATTGGAGAGAAATCAGCCTGCCTGTTTTGCCCGCGCTGTACGCGGGAAGTACACTTCCTGTACGCTCACATCGGAGTATCCACTTGCACCGTCTAGATCTATCCGCCCAGCTCCAGGCCAGTTTTCCCGCCGCCCGGAATCTCGGAGTAAGTACCACTGCGACAGAACTCACGGTCCTTGATGTGACATCGCGTTCCACCACCGTCCGGCCGACGGTTGCAAAGAGAGCTTGTCAAGTTGCTTGAACGCTGGGCATGGGCTCCACATACCACAATAGTCCGTTTTGCTAGAGGCTCCGACATCGCCTCAGGTATCGGGTCGACTAGCTGGATGGGTGGTTCAGCTAGTCTTCGCTTGGATATAGAGGTACATACGATTTGACGGTGGTTTACTTGGCGATGCTGCCATGTTTGCTGGCGCCACCATCTCTCTTTCAATCGGTCAACGGTTGGTGTGGGTAATCAGTTAGTCAGGCACATGCAGGACAGCAGATCCACAGTAGGTGAGGTGTAGCCGCCATGCAAGATTGTATTGGAAAGATGTGGGGTATATGTGATCGGCCGCGTCATGTGGTTCTTGTCTCCTTAGTAGTTGCTTTGTACAGGCAAGATTTTCCGTGTCGTGGATGTGGCTGTGAAGCACAGTGGCGACAGGACCAAGACAAAGTGTGTACAAGTGTATGTTGGAACATTTGATATTGCCACAAGGAATGTATGTGGGTAAATTGTAAGATGATACATAGAACGGTAATACCAATACTGCGCTGCCATAGCTCAAGCTGGTTGAAAAGGGGGTTTTTGAAGTAGAAGAGGGTAATCGCCTGCAAGTTGCCGTAAAGTGGTGATGAACTTGTGTGATGAAACAACCACCAAACCAAAAAAATCTCGTACAGTAGGAGAGAGAAGGCGAGACTGGTATCGCCAGAGAAGACTGGAATGCAGCAGTGTCATCCACCCAGTCGAAACATATATCCGTACCCTTTTTCTTCACAAGACACAAAAATCGCTGTAGGTTCATAATCTTCGCACCGGCCAAATCAAACAAGAATCAAACAAAAACAAAACGACATCGCGCGCTTGCTTAATACTGGTCGTTATGGTGGTCGTCGCTGTGTTGGCTGGCGTTCTCCATGACTTCTCCCAGCACAGAGCCAACGGCAGAATACGAGTCATTGTGCGCCGAGTCGTTCCGCATATATGAGCTAGGAAACGACGACATGTGGTGCGGTGCACTCATTTGAGGCATTCCATAGCTCGAAGGGGTGACGAGCGGTGAGCCAGAGAAGGAAGGGAAGTGGGCGGTCTGTGGCGTAGACCCGTTGCGTTGAGGGGCGTAGTGAGTGCTCAGCTCGATGCGACGGGGAACGCCGTTGGAGAAGGACCGCATTCTGTTGCCGCTTGATGTACCGAAGCCTGGTACTGGGGAATCTGGAAGTGTTAGAAGGTACGAGCATGAGCCACGTGGGCGAGGAAAACTTACAAGAGTAGCCGATACCGTACGGCATCATTGAGCTGGAGTAGGACCGACTGTCGTGGCTATCGGAGCTGTCATGGGAGCCAGTATAGCTCATGCTAGTCCTCAAAGGTGACTGTAGAGACTCTGCACGGCTCCTTGCGATTCGGTCGGCGTGAAGTGAGAGGCGAGGGATGCTATGTTGTGCAGCATACGCGGTTGGGTTGCTGACAGGCATGGAGAAGGGGTTAGACGTTCTAGGGCTAGTGTCGATTGGTGTTGAATGGAAGCCAAAGGGGGATCCCTCGTGAGCTGAGACGGGTGAGATGGTGTCGGTTGCTGATTGAGGTGGTGTGAAGGTGAACCCGCCAAAAGCAGGGCTGATGCCAGTTGGCGACATGTGCGAGTCAAGCGGTCCTCGTCGGAAGGTATCTATGCTCAGCGGCCTCATCATGTTGTTCTCAGAGAAGCTTGGGTTGTAAGATCCAGGGGAAGCCAGCGGTGTGCCGAGACCATGGGAGTTTCCGAAAGGAGAGTGGAGTGCTGATGCCATGTCGAAGTCATCTGGTAAAGCGCGAGACCTCATCATACGCTCACGGTCGTCGCTTGTTAATCGCTTCAACTTCGCTCGTCTACACAGTGTTAGTACCTCCTTGCTTCGGCGGTAGAAGGTAGGCTTACCTGTTCTGGAACCAAACCTGGACTTGACGGGGGCTGAGACCGGGGATCTCCCGAGCGAGTCGTTCCCTGTGAGCAGCGTCCGGATGTGCTTGACGAGCAAACTCGCTCATCAGGAACCGAGTTTGGTTGTGGGTAAGTCGGAACCTCTTCATCTTTCGCTTCGCCGCGCGAATCTCTGCGGCTGTCATTGGTTGCCGGTCTTCACCCTTCTCTTCGTCTTCGTCGCAGTCGTCCTTATCGTCGAGGATAAGATCATCGTCCTCCTCTTCGCGCTTCTCTACATTGCCACCGTCGTTGGTAGAAGGTGGCGTCAGCCTTGAGATAGGACTGGTAGGAGCAGAGCCTCCAAAAGTTACATTTGGGATGTCATGCTGTTCGATCTCATCGAGTCCAGATGGTGTGTTGCTACCGCTGTTCAGGTGGCTCTTTCCGTCGAGCAGGTAGGGAAAGCTCTTATGTGTTCGCATTGACGGCCGCTTCAAGTCGAAGTTGTGTCCGGAGACCTCGGCTTGGAGCATAGCCATGTCGTTATCTGAATGTGGTGGAGTGTGTTCCAAAGTTCTGAGTTCTGATGATTGCCACTCGTTGTCTGCTGAAGTCGTGCTATACGCAGACATGTGTGGCGAACTGGGAGGAGACAAAGGAACGAGGAAGCTTCCGTCGACCATTGGCGCTTTTGAAACTGTTATAGTGGTGTAGATGTAGGCTGAGCTCTGTGGCTGATACCTCTCCTGTGCCTCGCTGTTAGCGAAGAAGGGGGCACGAACTGAATCGCTGCTTACCTAGTTGCTTTGGTCACTAGGAAGGCCTCAACACTGATGATGTCGGCGTCTTCGTTCGAAGTTCGAACGAACCACAAGGTTCCGCAAGGAGTAAAGATCTGATGGAGTTTGGGGTGAACTGTTGATCGTCGCCCGGTCCCTGTGCGGGGTTTATGCGGGTGATCAGCGATAAAGAGAGAAGGCAGTCGCAATGCTTTGACGTCGAGTCCAGCGCGCGTTAGAGTCGCAAGACCGTTACGAACTAACAGTTCGAGGTGGTCGTGCTGATGAACCTACGGAGGGCGGGTATGCGAGTAGGCTGAATGCTGATGTCGCACCGAGAGTAGGATTGGGGCGCGGAGTTTTGGTGCAACTTCAAGCTTGAAATAGAAGCTACCAGGGAGGTGATACTGTGAGCCAAATAAAGATAGACGCTGGCAGTGGGCGCTTGATGCTTGACAAGAGCGAGGTGATGAACAGCCGGCTTGCTCTAGAAGAGTGAAAGCGTCGTCTGATAGTCAGCGGTGGGTAGCCCTTTGTAAAGAGGGTCAGGAACCGTCGGAGGCTATATCAGCGATAGCGGCAGGGGAGGGGAATCAGATCATTCAGACAAGAAAGGCTTGACGGTACTCTACTGTCGACGATCCGGATAAAATCGAGGTTAAGACAAGTGCGAAAGACTAGGGTCAGACTACGCATGGACAGCGGTGCCTCTTAGGGAAACATGATATCCTTCGAGGATCTGGAAGCAGCTTGTTACACGACGAGAAGCGTGACTAACGTCGAGGGCTAGCAGACCCCAAAGGCTCAGGGCACAGGGATACGGTAGCTCGGGACGTGGGCCTACTACGAAGGAGAGACGGAGCGGGAACGGGCGAATCGAAAGGCTCTGGATCAGGTGTGCTGCATGCCAGGGTGCCCTCCCCTCGAAAGAGAAGGGGAGCGAGCGGTGCGTGAACATGGTGGGCTGCAGGCTACATGCATAGACCAGGGCCCGTGTAGAAAAATGGCCGACGAGCAAGGACTAATCCGTGGCGTCTCGCAGTCGAACGTCGAGGCAGGCGGCGGCGCCATTATTGGCCAGATGCGATGCGGGAAGTCCAAGGAACCCGCAGCGAGAGAGGACAGGGATGCTACAGGGCTCGGCAACGCTTGCACGGCTTGTTGCGGGGTGTCGCTGTCAATGCTGCTTTTAGTGTGGATTGTGTGCGGACGAGATGGTGGTGTGGTGGTGAAGGTCGGACTTGGTGCCGCCAGGCTCGTGTACTCCATGCTACCATGATGCTACTGTCGTCGAACCATGACTTTCACACGAAATTGTGCTATGGCGGGCCATTCCGCCCTGGACCGGTGGCTTCCAAGTGCGTCTTCTGGCAGCTGTCAAGTCAAATGTTAATGGCCACGGTCCGCAAATTGCGTATGCGTCAGGAACGCGCTGCATCAGCCTTGCGTGTGGTTTGAGCCGCCCATCGCGCCCGCTCAGATGCATGAACAACGAACCTTGGTCACCTTCAGCCGTGACCCATGATGCTTGCCGGAAACCAAGGAACCGCGTCTAGCTACTTGCGTGTTCCTGCTGCACACCTGCTTGATCAAGTGTGGTGAGTAGTCGAGCGCCTAGCAATGACGCCGTCGCCAATAGCAGCGGGGGTCGCCAATGAGCAACAGATCTGGCTGGGCTTGACAACGATCTAACGGCCAAAAGCTCGGCCCGCGCCGGGAAAATGCTGAAAGGCGCTGTTTCTCGAAGCCTGTTCTCGCTGTAGTGCGACTGCGTGCAACACTGGTGGGCTGTCGGTAGTTGGGTGACAGCGGTGAATTATCGTAACGTGTTTGGAAATGCGTGTCCAAGCAAGCGCGCTGAAACTGTCCTGGAGCGCGCGAATGGCATCGAAGACGAGGCTGCAACGACTGTCTTTCGGCCGCACTGCAGGGAAAAATTGGGCGATGCGCAAGCCACCCATGCTACGCCGTTCCGTAGTGATCGACATTGCCCGTGTCCAAAGCAGATGAACCTCTAGCCGATACCGCGCGCTGAGCCCGTGACGAATTATGGACTGACGAATGATGTACACCGTCCGCCTCGCGCGGTCGCATTGCCTGAACTGGCCGGAAGTTGTTGTTTTTGCTGTCCGGCTGTGAAGCACGCGGGTAACCGCCAGCGTTTGGCATGTTTCGCAACGAAGAAAAGCACAGTTTCTCCCAACGCCTACGCAATCTCCAAAACGCAATGCCGAACAGGGCGTCGCGGTCGATTTCCAAAACAACGCCAAGACCGCCCGGATGGCGGATGAGGACGGCCTGTGGAAATGACAGGAGCGAGCGATAGCGAAACCGCGGATATTCTGGCGGGTCATTGGTGGGGGGACGCAACACGTCTGTGGGTTTGATGAGCGCATGGGTGCCTGTCCATTGTCGGCAGAACATGCCTGCCTCTTTTCATCATGCTTCGGTCCATCTCGTGAACATAATGCATTGAATATGATTACGATCCGTTGCCAGCAGTCTGGGCCTGTGGCCTTGCTGTGGTTCGCAACTTGTCATGACATGATGAGGTGGTCCCACCGCGTGCCAGACCACAGCAGAGAACCTTGGAAAGCCTCGGACTGCGCTGAACGGTGGTGTCAGGTAGTACAGGTCCCTTCATTTCGGAAGGATGCAGCATCTCCCACGTAGGTGGATTTTGTGCTGACAACACACTGAATGAGCCTGAAGACGGCCCCACCCCGGCGCACCACGGCACATCTGAGATCACAACATTTCCTGTCAAAGGCCTGGAAGCATGACGATGCTTACCAGGGATGAGAGCCAGAGCTCTCTCGATCGTTATTGTTACATCAGAATGAGACCCGGAAATGGTGGACATGCCCACGCGATGCTATATTGTGAAGACTTTTATTCACCAAGGTGGAACCTTTCATCTCCACAGCCTGCTTGCGCCTCAACCCAGCCTTCCGACGTCCCCTCGTGGCGTTGCAAATTGAGGGGCGCCGTTGGCGACCGGATGTACGGTCGCTCAGACTGTGGATGGCTTCCGATCTATCGATACGCTGAGAGTGGCTCGGGGAGAAGAACCCCATGTTCTCTTCGCTTGCAGAGATAAATTCGATGGGAAAGCGCCACAATGCTCCCCATACTGCACGATAACCCATGGGGAAAAGCTCGTATGTCCCTCAGGGCCATCGATAATTCACACCTAGCTGGTGCAGGCGACAACCTGCCCCTGTCACTGCCACTACGCCGCTGGTTCCGCAGTCACTTGACTGCGTTGGTCGGGCCGCTGCTCCTCGACGCTCTGATGCTCGTCTTGCGGAATTACCCCCTGGTCATCCGAAGTAGTGGGTGCAGCGTCAACACCCGTCGCCTCAATGGAAGAGGTGGCCGGCTGAAGAGCCTCCAGCCCTTTGCCATGCTCAATCCTATCAAAGGAGCTTAGCTGCGTCTTTGAAGCAAGACGAAGGCCTCGCCAGACATAGCTAGATTTCTTGTCCCCCGCTTGCCGCTTCTCATCCTCTGCGTCAGTCATTTCCAGGTCTAAGTCGGTCATCTTGACCTTTTTTGCATATGACTCTGCATTTGGCACATTGAACCTGACTGGACGTCAGAGGCTGAAATCAATGTTAGTCGGACGAGCGGAGCACATACCTGTCACGTTGTCGTAGCTGAGAGAGTCCGTTCTCTGCATCGTTGTTGTGGAGGAAGTTCAAAGTACTAGGTACCCCCATAGGCTTCGAGGCTTTCTTAGCAACAACAGCTTTCTGTGCCCCAGATTTGGCTTGTTGGAATTCTGCTGGGGGCACTCTATCTCGCGTGAACGGCTGGCAGTTCTCCATCTTCCATCGTACCCAGTTTTTGTCGCGGGAAAGCACGGTATCCACCATCCGGTAGTAGAATTTGCCATCTGGGCCTTCCTGCAGGTAATTTGCGATGGCGGTCTTGATGCCCAATGCCCACTCGGTCTGTGCTTTGTGGTCAGCCGAGAAGATGATGATCGTGGATGGCGAAGCGAGCATGGGAGCGTGACTGAGGCAGGAGGATGTGGCAAATGATGGGGACTTACGTCTTCCTCGCGGAGCGTGAAATTGTACTGCATCGCTTTCTGCGCATTTTGGTAGAATGGCTTGCTCTTGGACCCCTCGGTCAGGGTCAACAGGAAGTCGATGAGTATCAGTGCTTGGACCAGGATGTGACGTTGGAAGGCGAGATCACTCAGCTGCAAATTGTCAGTCATAGCGCAGGTCTGATAGTGGCAATCTTGCGTACCTCAAGTTTGAACAGGTCACGGCTTGTGAGATATTTAGGATTAAAGGAGTTGGCGAATGCATCGTAGTCGTCGCCTTCGCGTGATTTTTGTCCCTTCTTTCGCTCTGAATCTCCGGCCTGTATGACTTTTGGCACCTCCCTGAATTTGGCTAGCGTCGCCTCCAAGCTCTTCTGAAATTGCTTGAAATTGTCCTCTTCAAAAAGCCTTGGTGGATTTGAGAAAGAGTGCTGTAAAGACCAGAACACGGGGTAGAGACTTTCGGTATCAAGTGTGGTAGGTTTCGCATCTTTGCTTTTGTCGATATCACCAGAAAGGATGGCTGGCTCCTCTGACTTCGAATCTTCCTTGATAGCAGGAGCAGGCCCGTCGATATCGATTTGCATAGAGTCCTCTTCCGGTTTTGATTCCTTCAGAAAGTCCTCGAATGTCGTTACGTTCTCGACGTGGAAGTTTCCCCGCAGGTTTACCGAACTCTTGTCGCCCAAGGGAAAGCTCTGGAACATGAATATATAGACACGCCCACAGAAGACTGGATCTTCTGCGCGAGATAGCCGGCGGAGCAGCTCATTGCACAATCTCAAGATAACAAGGT